GCCTCCCTTTACTTTCTCTTTCCCTTATGAGCATCTCTCTATCACTTAGAGCCTATCTCTCTTTCTATTTCTTATAAGCCTATTTTTCTCATTCTCTCTCTTAATAGGCTCTTTCTCCCTCTCTTAGAACCCTCTCTCTTATCCCCTATATTTCTATAAGAAGCTTCCCTCTCCATTAAAAATCTCGTTCTCTTATAATTCGTCATGTCTTTCCCTTATAAGGCACTTCCTCTTAAAGAAGCCTCACAATTTTTTTTTTAATTTGAAAATCCTCTCATTCCCTCTTAAAAGAGTCTCTCTCTCTCTCTCTCTCAAACACAAATGCATCTCTTTTACATTGATTTCTCTTGCTCTTGACAAATAATGTTTATAAGCACTTGTTGTTTTACTTGAAAATTTGTATTTGGGTGTTTGTAAGCAAAACTAAAATTATCCTTAACACACAATAAAAAATTTCATCCGATCAAGTACAAATCTAAATAAAAATATGTTAAAGAAATAAGGGGATATCAATTATTAGCTCACTAATGCTACCTCAAACAAATCTAACATGAAGATTTTATCATTGAAGCATCCCCCAAAAAAATTTAGCTACTCAGTTAATATTTATCTCACCAAAATATAGTTTATATCTCCTATACATATCTAATTATCTATCATTTTCAAGAAATATTTTATCCAAACTATCATTCATTGCATATTTGTTGGCAAAGAAAATTTTCTTTTGTGAATAATCATATTTTCTTACTAAAAATATCCCATGAGAGAATTTGATAGAGAAGGTCTCCACTAGAAACCCCCTGAAAGACAATATGATAAGGAAGTTTCGATGGAAACTCATAGTGGACAACGTCTTCACTAAAAAATAAACGCTATGAGCACAAGCAGTTGATAGGATGTTTAAATTATTTTCTATTTTAACGATAATTGTTATATGAACATTATACATTTTTTTATATTTAAATATTTCAATTTTGACCTTGATTTATGTTATTGGAGTTGGGATAACTTAATAAACATATGAAATACTTACTCTGTGTATTTATGAAATTTTATGAAAGAAAAAAGTTTTAGCATAATAAAGGTTGATAAAGTCATGACTATCAGGAGCCTTTGTATTGAGGTTTTTTGCAGTCCAATCTTTTATATTTGATGTATTTAACAAAATTGCATTAGATTGCTGGTAATTAATTCATTTGAAATGAAATTTGGATTATTGTTTGTATTATTGAATTATGTTGGATTGATTAATCGGCTTTGATACGCTTTGTATTATGAATGAGATAACTAGGTTAAGATTTTAATCCTTCCATTAGGTTCTTAAATGTGACATAATATCCATCCGTATAAGAAGAATCAACTCTATATCCTCTTAGAACACATGTTGAACTAAGAGGAGATCAAATGTGAGGTGTAAATTAGTTGGAGACCAACAATTGAGGACATGAGAGCCATGTGGATAGGCATAGAAACTAAGGGTAATTAACCCAAAAAATGACCAATGTGGTAAGGAAATTGTCATAGAGCAGAAGCCTATCTCCTACAATAACAATATTTGCACGAAGTGTCTAAGTGTCGTGTATGAAGTGGTAAAATATGAATGAAAAAAATTGTTGAGAAGAACCTATAGATGAACATCAAGTGCATGATGAGGTTCTTAAGTAGTATGATTTGTAGCATAGCTTGTCATTTAGCTGTGGAGAGAATATGTACAAATAAGGAAAATCTCGATGGCACAAAAAACTACCAAAAGCTTGTAACAATAAATTAAGAGCATTTGCAACTAAAGGCCTTTTAAATCTTAAGAATTAATAGAGTTATAAAGGCATAAGCTTTAAATTGATTTCGTTTTTTTGTAGTTTCAAGAAAGAGCATCATGGTATTTCAGTGATATCTTACTTTATGTTTCTTGGAGATTTACCTTAGCCATCAAGTAGGGTTTATTTTACTTCTAATTAATTGATATTTATAAGTGCAAACCTAAAAACTAAGTATATCCTTTATATGTATTTAACACTCTTAATTAAGTGATGTAACACATTAATAGGAGCTCCAATATATTTTCAATATATTTATTTTAGTTTAATGTTTATGTAATTATTATAACATGGAGTCATCATTATTGAAATTTGGTATTTATGATAATATCTACAACTTTATAGTAGTAGAGACTGATATTAGGCATATTTTATTATTTTATTAGAATGAATTAAGATACAGTGAAGCTTACTTAGGCATGGACTATTCAAATGGTCATCCATGCAAGGCAATTCAAGAAGGTCATCCCAACCATGGTGGAAAATTAATTCAATAAAAAATCCAAATAAAAGATAACATATCTATAATATTCCAACATATCAAGGACATTGAAAGGTAGTTCAAATCACATGTTGCATGTGCCCCAACTACTTATCAAATCTCTCCACAATATAAGGCATCACTCATCCAAAACCATCACTAACTACATCCTCCAACTTTGGAATTTTATTTGTACCATCATGGTGATAGATAAGTGATGTCATAACTAATGTAAAAACATATTTTGTTGAATATAAAGTTCAAAGAAGTGTTCTTAAATATCATACATAGTGATTTAATCTTGAGGTTGATTTTATGGTGGCTCTCAATAGATTTGGTTCCTTGATGAAATTCAAAATTTTGTATTATATTTCATTTATTTACTCCCTCTTATCTCTCACGCCTCCATAATCATCTACCATATTTTCATCATCAATATTTAGAATAAATTCTTTAAGTTGTTCACCTCTATTTTTATTCCCACCACAAAACCTAGTCCGAGTGCAATATCTTGATTGACTCATTCCACCACTCTTAAATCCACATCCTCACATCATTGTTTGTCTACCACATGCTCCTAAAACCCTAGAACAAACCCATACACAAGGAAATAATCCCTTTAGTGCAATCCATTTCCTCACTGGAGAGCTCTCAAGCCCTCCATCTCTTTAGAAGCTAAACCCAACATAGTTAATGCCCAAGTTACACTAAAGACCAACCCTTAGTAGATGAGATGATTGAAATACAAGGAATATTGTACTATAAGTATTGAAGGATTCGAATGTAAAAAGACTAAAATTGAGACACAAGACTCGAAGGAGACCGTTGCTACACTAATAAGGTTATGATGTGAGTTTTAATGGAGGAAGCTATTACAAGATAGATGCAACATATGTATTGAAGGACATGCCCATGATACAAATGAGCTCACAATGGATGTCTATATGGAGACGATTGCAAGGAAAAATACCTTGAGGATTTAAACACCCTTTTAAACTTCAAAATAACATGATGCCAATTGACATTAACATACTTAGTTATTTTGAAAATGACATTTCAACCGTTATTCTATTTGTGGTTGAATATTCTTTCAAATTGTCGATGTCGAATGATACATATCATATCTACCAATCATTAAAACATAAATGCATGACGATTGACCTTTCTGAATTAAAAATGAATCAATAGCCATTAATGTTTTGGCATTGGTCTCCAAGTAGCCACTAGATATTTGAATATCCAATCTTAAAGTCTTTTTGCCATGAGTCCATATGAGAAGACAATTACAAGTTTTGATAGACATATCAATAAAAAAAAAAATTAAAAAAAATTAAATAAATTTATCTCAGCATTTTTATATTGAAATATATACCCATTAAAAGAGTCATTTGTTGCAAACTTAATTTTTAAAATTATCTAATAAATGTAATACATGATATATTACAAAATTGTATTCTTCTAATGTGAGGGGAGAAAGAAGATATGATAATATAAATTTTTTATATAAAAAATTGCATAATCATATTCTCATTCAAGTTTAATTTAAGGGATTTTTACATACATAACACTTAAAATTATTATATTTACTTATCTAACACCTAAAGTATAATATTTGCATACATACCATCCAAATACACTAGTTTCATCTAAATAAAGACTCCGTCAAAACACCGTGAATAGCCCGCCCTCAGTGCGTGAAATCCCTTCTTCTTCGTCATTGGCAGTGGCGAGTTAGGTCGGATGATCGACGACAGAGTAGTTATGGTTCCAGCCACGACGATTGAAACGCAAGCTGAGGGTGGATTAAACCTTAAAGATTAAGCTTGACTGTCCAATTCATTGAAAGCAGATTTTTTTTCTATTTTGGGAAATGAATGATTATTAAACAAACTACACTAGCCTTTAAAAAGATCAATCACAACTTTGTAGCAAATATTCGTTCAAGAAAACCTGTTTAAATCCTTATCAATATTCCAGTTAGAGGAGCTTCGTAAGATTAGAGACATAAAGATAGGTCGAAAATCACACATGAAAGAAGGAAGAACGATATGAAATTCAAATAAGAGGTTGCAGGTCAGAAGCAATAACAAATCTAAAAGGTGAAACAAGTCAACATTCAACTTATCATATTTACCAAGGATCCAATTACATTCTGCCATTAGCAAATCCCAAGCTTCAAGCCAGATAAAAGATTGCGGTAAAAGATTTAAAAGGTACATATAAAGAAAAACCACACATTCCACTGATATTCTTCATCAAGTTTAAGGTAGAGGAGGTGCCGATCGTCTCCCTCTTCACTTGCGACGGCAGCTCACGAAGTGGAGCGCGGGGTTCACATGGGGAAGAAGATGCCAGTGGTCGGGCTGATAGGGGAGCTCCAATTTATACTTCCGATTTGATAGCACCGAAGAAATGGAGAAGATGAAGAGCAAATCAGTTCTCGCAACAAAGACGCGACGGGTCGGACATATAGGGTAACAGAGTTGTAGTTTTGATGAAAGAGAGTGTAATTGGATGGTATGCATGTAAATAGTATATTTTAGGTGTTAGATAAGTAAATATAATAGTTTTAAGTGTTATGTATGTAAAAACCCCTTAATTTAATGATTTTTTTTAATAATTATATTTATTTTGAGATAAATTTATATAATGGATTAATGGTATTCTCTTCCTTTAAATTCAAAATATAAAGAAACTTCGTATCCATGGAAATTGTATTCTAACGATCCGCTTGGTGCGTTAAGATCTATCGAGCCATCTCACCTTCTTCCTTCGATGAAATACATGGGAGAAGGACCGGGGAGAACTAAAAGCACCAAGAGGAGCAGAGAGATGAGCAGGGGAGACGTACGCGGGCTATGGTGGAGACATCTAGTCCTCTTCACTGCGATCGCTCTGCAGTTAATTCCTGGTTTGGTTTGATTCCTTCTAATCCAAGATTTCTCGACTAAAGTTAGGGGATATGATTTAGATCTATATAACTCCTGATGTAACATGCTGGGTCGTTGCAAGTTTCATTACGGGTTCTTGAGTTTTGGGCCTGCATTTGTTTTGATTTGGGGAAAAAAAATCTAGGGCATTTTCTCCTTCGTGCTCGTATCTCTATTTCTGGAGCTGAATTTTAGGATCCCTAGAATTTTTATTTCAAATTATGTTATTGTTAATGTTCCGTTGTCGCTTGGATGGTAGATCATGTAATTTGATTTGTGAACTGATTTAGTTTGAGGATTCTTAAAAGATCTGAAAGATTAGAAGTATCATTATATTATGGGTTTTAAAGCTTGTTATAGTATCATTAAATCAGTCAATAGACAACACTCCAAATTGTAGCAAATTATTCTAAAAGAATGTAGATTATATTGATTCCCATTTCCTAAGTTATAGGAAAGGTTCCTAAAGTCTTCGTTGTATAATAACAAGGATTTAGCCTTAAAGATACCTCACAAATTCTCAGAAGTATATGTTTCATGCTTGGTTCTATTGTCATCTGATATACAACAACTAGAAAGCACGTGCATTTTAACATTGCAGGCTAGAGTGGAATTTTAAAAAGATTGGTGCCCGTTCGATTGCTTTTCATTGCTTTGACAGCAAAAAGTGGGTGTGGAATGGTTGCAGGATTTTTAAAACAATATTTGGGACACATGATGAATGATCATGGAACTACCACATGTCTTACTCTTTTTATTTATAGTTTTTAATGCTTGATAACTTTCAATTAGTTAGCTTATCTAATTTACATGTTAAATATTTTTGCCAAAGTTGTTTTTAGCCTTTTTAATTATGCCTCTTCCAATTCTAGCTTTAGAATGCTTTGTTGGATAAAATTAATTGTAGGTTTGGGTGATAATCCATCAACCTCCAAGGATGCTGGGGCTAATGAATATTCTAAATCCAATGGGAGTACTGGTCGTGTGATTCTTTTGATATTCTTAGGATTGGTTGCTTTTGTGGCTCTTTCGGTTGTTATATTCAAGATTTGGCAGAAAAAGAAGAGAAGAGAACAATATGCTCGGTTGTTGAGATTGTTTGAAGAGGATGATGAGTTGGAGCTTGAACTTGGCCTTCGAGATTGAGAATCTTTAATTCCCCATTTTTTGTGCACTATATTGCCGAGTTAATTGCTTATAAATTTTCTTGGGATGCTGGATGTATGGTAGTTTCGCTCTAAATGTCGATGGTGATTGTCTTATATACATTATAAAATTTATGCAGTGCTACACATTATTACTTGGAATGATAAATTATTTGTCGGCCTTATTTCTTAAACAAAATATTTTGTTTCCTTGATTTCTTTGTAAATAAATTAGCAAAAATGGAGTAATATATATTGATCACACTATGAATTATGAAACTTGATATGATATTCTCAATTTTTATGGTTAGAGATGCAGTTGATATGCTATTAACTTATGCTAATTTTTTATTTACTTTATCTTTGCACATCTTAATTTGAGAAATGGTGGCTGAGTAGGAGCTATCTTGGTGGGCTATGGTTCATATGATGATCAAGGGCTTGTTTTTTCAACAAACAACCCCCTCGCACTTCGGGTTGTTGATGTTGTACATTTTTTCCCGACAACTTAATTCAATTGTTGATCCAACAAGTTCATTTTAACATTCATTGGGAAAAAAGTTGTCTAGCATGGATTTGTGTGAGGATCAATTTTACTTCTCTTTGTTTTTAGGCGACCTATATAATTACATAGATGGATTTGGAGTTAGATCGCATTCCATGAAAAAAAAAATCTTTATTATTTTAATAGAGGTTCACTTTCATATATTATGGTTATGTATATTCTTAAATAATAGAGAAGGAATTATGTTAAAGTGGCGAGCACCACATTGCCTAGTGCTTTCTACTTAGGCCCATGCCTACGCAGTGCTTTAGTAATGGAGCCCATCTGGGAGTAGCATGATGCATTAAAACTTCACCTCGCTTGGGTGCCTCGACGTGCTCTTAAAGTACCTTTGATGATATTGTTTCACTCAGGTACTCCATACACCACTCTTATATGTCTTTCTTGATGCAATGGGGGCACAATTTTTCATGATTCTTTGTCCATCATCCATACTTGACTTTTGTGCTGTAACTGGTTGACTCGACTCACTTATGTTATCTACTTATCTTTGCCATGAAAACATGGATGTGATACAAATTTTTTTGGTGAAATTCTAGAAGTTGGACAAAACTTTACCCAACATTATGGGACATCGTGGAAACTTTGCTAGATTTTCATCCATAATGTGGATTTGGACATTTAACCACTAGTGAAAAATGATCCCCTTGATTGTTGTTTGACTGTACAAGCTTGAGTGAGTTGGGTAAAGTCGAGTATGAACCTCCCCACACTCATTCTTAAAGAACAAAAAATGATAAAAATAATAAATGACCTCTTTGTATGTTGTACAAACTACAAACCTTGCCATTCATATGAGAAAACTCATTTTCAATCCCATAGTTGCATGATCGTCCATATGAGCTTTGGATTAATCTTTTATTGATTGTTTAGGTGATTATCGTAATCATTTGGAATATCCACAAGGGGCGTCCATGTTTGTAGGAAATAAAAAAGAAGGCTGGGAAGATGATATGGTATAATGTACTTGGGCGGTTGGGATTGAGTCCTTAACCAGTCAATTTCCAAGTTATGCCATGTGGCAATGAACTTTTTTACCATTTCAAGAACCATCCCGATGACATGTCACAATTTTATTTGTCCACGGAACTTTCCAATTCTGAAAAGATTAATAAAATACTATATTGCCTACCTAGTGTTTATGATGCTAAGATCACTACAATTGATGAATCTAAAGATTTGAATGTGTATTCTATTGATAACTTGTTTGGCTCACTCATTACCTACGAGCAAGGCATGAGTCACGAATTACTTGATACAGGTGACATGAAAAAGGAGAAAATAGTGGCTTAGGAATGATTTGGTCTATATTTGAATTTCACGTGCATTGGAAATTGGTTAATTATTTACTTCATCATTCACATAGGAGGGAATATCTTTAGGTACATGAAAAGCACACAACCAGTTAAGTTGGGATCCATGTGAGTCTTAATTCATTGTCTACCTCGTTCATTGTTAGGCTGTTTCGGTCTTATTCTCTTATTTGAATTGGCTAAGCTTTGGTCAGGCCAAATATAAAGTGGTGATTTTGGGTTGTGAAAATTTTTATTCACAAGTTATGTTCATGTGACAACTGAGTTGAGTTGCTCCTATCCTACACTATCGATCAAGTTCTGCTACAACTGTGTCTTTTTCAAGTGAACCTAACCATCTACCTTAAGTATGTTGCCATGTATATGGTTTGGAAAGGAGTGGATTTGTTACCTATAGATGGCACTAATATAATAATGCAACAAAATTTTTCTTTAAATTTGTAGAAAAAGCAAAAAAAAGTACCTAAACACCATAGAGATGATAAAATATGATAGAGATTTTAAAGCAAGGTTTCAAATTCTATTAAAGCCATTTGAGCTCTTATTGCCCTTGATTTAAACATTTCTCTGATTCACCATTACCCTATCATGGTCTTGATGGCATTCAGTATCTTTATGCTAGAAACTTTGGAAGAAAATATCAGAATTAATAATATTGTTAACCCCCTTAAAATTTGAACAAAAATTTTCTTGCCTTCCTTGACTCATGTTCCTCATATGCTCAATTGGCTCAACCATTAAGAATTTCATGAGCTTTAGATCTAAACTCTTCTTTAGGACAGAAGTCTCTAATGTTTCTCATTGATCCTTCTTTGGAAGTTCGGTAGTAGTCCTGATAATCCTCCTTAGCCCAACGTAGGTCCCAATTTTAAGTCTTAACATGCCTCCAGTTCAAATTATTCTTCCAAGATTTACCAAAGATTCTCCATTGAGTAATGCAATTACTTTCTTTTTCTTCCCATCTTGGATTTATCTGTTTCATGCTATTATTTCTTTTCTTCTTATCCTCCTCTATTATGTAGACGCTCTCCAGAAAACCTTCTATATCCTCTATAACTTCTATAATGTATTGTGAAGTTGCAATGGTAGCTAATATCTCTTACTCTGAAAGTGGATATAGTGCTGGACCAAATCATTATAAATCTCTATCCCACATCTCTATGCTCTTTTCCTCTTTTTTAAGAATAATTACAATGTGATACTCTCTATTTTCATCTAGAAATATGAATGCTTATTCCTCTCTTGAATATCTTGAAAATGTAATAGACCGACCAAATTTGATTGGGAGGGAATTAAAAAATTTCTTAATCAAGAGGGAGTTGTTTAGGAAGGTTCTTAATCTAAAGGAATTAATTATGAAATATTTCTTAATTGAAGATGACATATTCAGGGGCGGATTTGAGGGGATTAATGAGGAAATATTTCCTAATTGAAGATGGCAGATTTATGGGATGATTTGAGCGCTGATTTAGGAGGGAAATAATTAAGGAAATATGTGAAAATTAGGGGAGGGCTGTTTAGGTATTTGTTGTTTAATTGTTCACTTTAAATAGGAAGAGAGGATTAGGGTTAGGGGTATGCAAATTATTGTAGTTATTCTTGTTCTTGGAGTTTGGTGTCTTGGACTCTAGCGGCGTCTAGGGATTGAGAGAGATAAATCCTCCTCTCGAATTGAGGATCAATTGTATCTTGGTATTTTCTTTCGTTATTATTGTAATAAAATTCTAATAAAATTCATGTTTTTTTCCTGATTTTATGCTGGGTTTGTGGATCATTCTTGTTGATTTCATCAAGATAGTTAGGTTTTACTTGGGAATTCTAAGTATTTCCTAACAAAATGCAAGTTCCCATCGTTCACACTAATGATGACAATGCCTTAGATTTGCAAGCAAAGATCATTTTTTTGGGACATTTGGGCCAATTAGCAAGCTAACACACATCACATACACATGTTACAAACTCAAAGACCTTTTTATTGGCAATTAAAGCTTCCAACTAACAGGCCAAAATGAGCTGCATAAGATCATCAATTTCAAAGTTCTCCGTGCTATGTTTTTGATTTTTTATTTTGGACATTTAGGCCATTTAAGACAAACTCATACACACGATGCATAGACAAAGACTCGAATCCCAGACCTTTTAGTTGAAAGTCTAAGCTCTCAAGTCTCAACCAAGAGGCCAATGTGAGCTGTATTCAGTGCTCTGACTTAAATGAAGATGATGGATCAAAAGTATATTTATATATATAAATATAAAAGACTCTCTTGAGCGGAAGAAAATCTGAGAGAAGCGTAGATTCTAAAGAAGGTAAATTTTATTTTAAGTGCGTGTCACAGCTGCTTCTCTGAATGGCTAAGCATCTCCCTGCATTGGCAATAAGTGAGCCTCCCCCCAAATTCAATAAAGAAAAGATATCTTGCGTGAGAGATCTACCAATAGTTCTTTCTATTACTTTCCAATAACCATTTTTCTTCTTTTAGGATTCATTTCCCTGCTCTTTGAAATCAAAATAAAGTTATAAATGGAAGCTTTGAAATATCTTAGCTTGAGCTTAGCTTAATAAATTACTCAGAAGCTAATGATACAAATTTGAATAATATCATCTCCTAAGTTAGCAATGTTAAAATATTTTCATGTTTGATCTCTTATTTTATTATTATTTTTACTAATTTAAGATAAAAAATGCTTAAATTCTAATAATTTTCTCTCACTTAGATAATAAAAAAATCAGCTCATAAATTAAGTTGGAACTCAATAAATTAGTCAAACTCGAGCTCTATTGTTGACTCTGTACATCTCTACATGACAATAATTGGTGGGTGAGAAAACAAAGCACTGAATATGATTGCAAATGCTTCCAATTCAGGCATGAAGCCTTATGTGTATAGCTAAGCCATTAGGGAAAGGAGAGCAAAATGGAAAATTTATGGACCCATGAGATGGAGATGTGGTCCTTTGTCATCATAAGGATGTAGCAGCTGGACCTTAGTAGCAAATAAGAATGTATCAGCTAAACCAGTTGGTTTAAGAGGCTATTGATCAATAAATTAGGTTGCACCGTTCGACATAGGTCTTGTTTATTTAGAAGTCAGTCAAAGCTTTATACAAGCCACCTATCTCACAACCAAAACAACATACACAGCTCATCTTGATCCGCTGGTTGAGAGTTTTGGCTGCCAACCAAGAGGTTTTAGATTCGAAGATTGAATATGTGATATGAGTATGAGTTTGTCTTAGATCATCTCCAACTGAACTGCATACCAGCTATGCAGTCGGCCATTCGGTTCATTCGAACTCCAAATCGCACGCTAAAGCTCGGTTGGTGAACAGTGCGACGCCAATATTGGTGTTGGACTATTCACATGCGACAAAAAATTATAAGCCACAAGATTTGTCGAAGAAGCGACGCCAATATTGGTGTTGGTGAACAGTGCGATGCCAATATTGGTGTAGGTGAACAGTGCGACACCAATATTGGTGTTGGAGTATTAACATAAGACAAAATTATAGGACACAAGATTTGTCATAGAAGTGCGCGAAAGAGGAGAAAATTGTTACTTCGCATGAAGCGAGCCAAAGAAGAGAAAAAATGTCATTCGATTGGAGATGAATTACTGCATTTTGGAGTGGTCGGTTGGAGATGCCCTTACAACTTTCAAATCATACACAACTCATCTTGATATGTTGGTTTGAAGCATTGACTACCAACCAAGAGGTTTTGGATTCGAATCTTGCGTATGTGATATGACTACGAGTTTGTCTTAATTGACCTAAATATTCCCAAAGAAATTTTCAAATCATTAGGTTGACTTATTCATTAACCACATAATTAGCAAAAATATTTGATAATAACTATTTTTTATTGGTCCGATTATCATGGAGGTTCCTACCTCTATTATCACTTATAAAAAGAAGTTAATGTTCTATAAATAGGGAATCCAAAAATAAATAAAAAATGATGGGCAATTTTCTTTTGACCTCTAAGATTTTCCTCTTTTCCTTTGAACCAAAGTCTCTCTAACCTTGGTCAAACTCATCCTTATTGGCCTAATGGGTTTTGGTTGAGTTCTTTATGACTAAACTCTTTACAATAATTATAGAACATCGAGTTTTTCTCTCAAATTCTTCATCACTTTTTTATCAAATAGTAGAGCTGTCAAAATTGGGTCACGGGTTGGGTTCGGGTCCAACCCGAAATTGACCTAACACTGTTCAACCCGACCCGCTTTTACAAATGGGTCGGTTTTTCGAACCCAAACCCGACCCGCTTCGGGTTCGGGTCAACCCGAACCCGACTCGTTTCGGGTATATTTCATTAATTTTTTTATTTAATTTAATTTATTTAAATCTAAATCAAATTAAGGTAAGATTTACTTCAATTAATTTAAAATAAATCAAGATTAATTTAATTTGGGCAACAATGTTTATAATTTTTTGAAATATCATTTACTTATTTCATAAAAATCCTTTAAAATCATCCTAAATTAATTAAAACCGGGTCAAACCGGGTTGATTTCGGATTTCCGGGTCAACTCGAGCCCGATCCGGTTTTACAAACGGGTCGAAATCCCTAACCCGAACCCGAAATTTTCGGGTCGGGTTCGGGTCGGGTCAAATATTGACACCTCTAGATACATATTCTTATATATAATCTAAAGTATCTTTCATCAAACAACTTTGAATCCAAGAATTATTATCATAAAAATATTTTTATTAGAATAATTCATTAAATAATCCAAACATAACAATAAAGTAAGCTTTCTATACATTGTTAAATTAAAACTACAAATTTATGTTGGGAAATATTTATACAAATACTATTATAACAGACTTAATAACTAATCGATTTATTTGAAGATTTACACTATATAAAAAGAGTTTATATTGCACTAAATTTAAATATAATTTTATAAATTTTCAAGCACATTGTAATATAATTTATATTGAAATATCTTAATTTAACTTTTATTTTTAAAAATACAACTACTATTATATATATAATTGTTAAAGTTTTTTTTTTGGAAAAAAATCGTTAAAGTTGAAAAAAAGGGCTATAACTAAGTAGAAAAATGAAAGAAGTCAAAATAAGAAGACTAACAAAATGAAGTGATCTACACTGACCTCCGGAGGTCAAGCGTCAAGCCATCCATGCAGAAATATGTTGCACGTTAACATAAACAACGCCGCAGGTTTACCACACCTCTTGTAAATGGTCGCCAACCGGTCACTTTCTTACAGCATATTGCTTCCGATGCTCCGCTGGAACACAATTAAATAGGCCCATGACGCTTCACCTGGCGTATTCTGTCCAAAGCTTGTTTCCAGCTCATTTAAAGTTCTAAATGTATGTCTTCAAAAAATTAGCTTGATCGGACACGAACTTAATCCAAATATAAATAAAATAACTTCCAAAACTAAATCCGAGGCTATCCGAAGTTAGATTTCAGCAAACTTATAGACAAAATGAATGCCTTGAATCCAACCACAACAAAATCGGTCCAATCCGAACCCAAATGGGTCCAAATCAAAGGTCTAAAGCTTATTTGGAAGCTTCATAACATTAATAGAATGACTAAATAATATCTAAATGTGACATGCTTGTAGCTGAATTGAGCAGCTCGACGAGAAGAATCCAATGAGCCCAAGATTCGTCGAATTCTGACATCGATCATTAAGACACTCAAATGATCAATAAACAATCCATGATCGAGCGAGTCGATATCGATCATCCGTTGAACTACTCACAACATGCCCTTGATCTTTTCCCTATTTACTAGTCATATCACTCACAAAAATTATAAATAGTCAACTTATTTTTCACAGAAGGAGAGGATAAAGAGAAGAAAAATGATGGATCTCTCTTACTTTCTCAAGCTTGCACCACTAGCCGGATCTTTTTTTGACCACCAACCATCGCCAGACTCCTACCACGCATCGTCGTCGAACTTCCAATTATTCATTGATTGTTGTTAGATATTTTCCCAACAGCCAACCATTTTCAAAACAGTTGCCCAATGATTGATTAATACTGAATCTCTATCCATCGTTAGACATTGATGGAATATTCTCTGTTATTCAATCTACATAAAGGGGACCAATCTTCTGAGGTATGAAAATTTTTTTAGCATATTGTCTTCTCTTTGAACTTGAGTTTAAGGGATGAGTTGATGTCATTCGACTATGATCCACTGTGACCAACGTCGCCCACCAACCAGTTCATTTTGACCACCGTCGCATGTTGATTATGGTTTCTCTGAACACTGTCACCCACTAACTACAATCCTTCTGACCACCATCTCCTGCAGATTACAGTCCATTTCGACCACCGTCACTTGTTGACTACGGTCCATCTGACCACCATCACCTACTGACTAAGATCCTTTTGACAACCATCGTTCACTTACTACGGCCCCTCTGACTAATGTCACCTACTGAATACGATCCCTCTGACCTTCGTCTCCTACCGACTACGATCTTTATGAACATCATCATTTGCTAATTACAGTCTCTCCAACCTTCGTCGCCTGCCTACTACGATTGCAGTCCCTCTAACCACATTTGCTCGCCAACTACAATCTCTCCGACCACCTTCATTCGTCGACTATAGTCCTACTTACCAAATAGACATATCAACACTTTTGTAAGAACAACTATTATGTAATGAACTCTATACAATGTATATTTGCTATATTGAGCTAGCATCCTCCTAGAATGAGGGGTATTATTTGTAATCAACTATCAATACTAATAGATTTATTCAAATTGGGCAAGATACCATGATTTTTCCCCATTTTTAGAGGTTTCTACGTAAAAACTCTGGTGGCTTATGAATGTTGCACCATTACTCTTTTATCTATTCATGTGTTAGATTTTTGTATAAGGCAATGACGTTAAGCTTTATATTTTTCTATCGTCCTGAATTTTCAGGATGCAACAATACTTAACATATATTAGACTTTAAAGATGTATGAATAAAAAATCTTATAAATATTTAAAAAATTACAACTCCTCTTATTTAATTTTAAATTATTTTTTTTCTCTTAGAATTTCTCATTTTATTATTTTAATTTAATAGCTAAGTGAATTAAAGTGATTGATTTTGCTCTTAATAGAACACCATGGAGAAAAAAGATTCGTATAACTAACAGTATTTAGTGCAATAAATTAAAACTTCTTCTTGATGTTATTGCTATTGTGTTAATTGAATTAAAATTCTATTTTCAACATGTTCAAATTAATAGAATTAAGCTTGAACTTAAATTTAATTAATTAATAAAGATCAAGCTAAAATTGAGGATGATTAGAGCTCAAATTGACTAATTTATGCCTCCTCAATCTATAAAAAAATTAATATTTAAAATTAAATCCCTTTCCCTCGTTTCAAAAAATCTCTCATTATTTCTACTCTAAATTAATCTTCTTAATTTTATCATTTTAATAAAATAATTATTTAAGTTAAATTTATTCGTTTGTAATAAATAAATGTGCTCAATTTCATAGAATAATTAATATTGAGCTACCATTTTTTTACTGTTTTGTTTTTCAAACCTCAATTAATTTTTTCTTTTTTGTCATTATTTTAATTTATTTAAAAAAAATTATGTTCCATGAAGCTCCTTTCTCAAAAGCTTTAAAAAAATTACTTTCTCCCCAATAACTTTACAATATCTTTATAAAAAAAAACTATAATCATCTCAGATAAACCCTAATTTATGCCCTCTTGTCTGTAGTTAAAGGCTTATGCATGCTTTAACATGTTCCTCAGGCACATCATAATTTCATGGCTTCCTTTAAAGGGAAACCACACAGATCCCATACGATAGCCATGCATAGGCCCATTTCCAGCATATCTCGGAACTCGCCTTCCATCTTCTCCTTCTTCCTTTCCCGGCGAGGGTTAAAGCTGCTTCCCTTCCCATTTGGTAATCCATCTCCTGCTCTCTCTCTCTGTCTATCTCTCTCTCTTACTCTCACTAAAATTGAACTGAAGATAGTTACTTTTAGTCTGTCTTCAGTAGAAGGTAAGAAGCCATGGCTTCACAGAAAAGGAACTTTTCTCCTAAGATGAAAGAGGAAAACAAACGAAATTAACCTGTAGTTTACTTAATTAGCTAGTTCTTTTATATCCAGATTTAAAAATGTAAACTTTTCTTGTTCTAGTTCCAGTTTGCATGAGACTTATAAAGGGGTAGAAAATATTGATACTGTAAAATTAGAAACCCTAACCTTAACTTAACCCTAAAAGCTTCAGTTATTTCAGTTTCAGGTGGGAAAAAGTGAAGGAGATCGATAGATGGGGAGAGGGAAGATTGAGATAAAGAGAATAGAGAACACAACAAACCGACAGGTGACTTTCTGCAAGAGAAGGAATGGACTGCTGAAGAAAGCTTACGAGCTCTCTGTTCTCTGCGACGCTGAAATCGCTCTCATCGTCTTCTCCAGCCGCGGCCGCCTCTATGAGTATTCCAATAGCAGGTCTCTTTAACTTTCTTCTTCAGCAGCTCTACTTTCTGATATGTATAAACTAGTTAGTTAGCTAGTAATTATCAACCTTATAATATTATATACTGGTTTTGTGTTAGTATTTATTAACTGATGGTTGTTAATTGTGCGAGCTATGTGACAGTAATTATTATAGTTTTTTTGGGTGATATTTGCATGATATTTATAGTTTGTGGATTAACAATTTAACCTTTCTATATATATGAGATTGTTAAGTAAAGCCAATTAAGATTCAATTATAATAAAGATTGAAGGAATTTGGTGGAAGAGAAACAAACAGATCTTAGAGAAAGAGAAATTAATGAGAGAGTTTTAGGATGAGAAACAAATAGATCAAATTAGCATTCAATTCTGATGATTTATGAGAGAGATAGAGAAAAGAAAGAAGATGAGTAGAAGTATATATAAGAAGATAATTAGGAACTTCTTAAGAATTCTAAGGCCAAAATAGAAGTGAGCAAAAAAGACTATATAAGTAGGTGTTGCACCACCCTTTTTTATGTAATTTTTTCATAGTATATTGCCCTCTCTTAGGTGGCCTCTTTTCAAAAAACATTGCAACATATTTATTAAAAAAATCATCCATGTCTCTCTCCTCTCCTTATTTATGAGAGAGAAGAAGAGGAAGTATAAGAGAAGATAATGAAGAAGGATAAAAACTAAAAAGAGCAAGATAAGTAGAAAGAAAAAAATGAATGAAAAGGGTATAGTGGATTCCCATGGGATGTCATAAGCTAATTCATGGTTTTATATATTATTTACTATTTACTACAATCAAAATAATTAAGGTTTACAAAATTATAATATATGATAAAAATTTCTGTAGAATTATTTTAATAAAATGGAGGATAATAATTTTAAGGCAATTTGTAATTTATTTCACCTCATTCAAAGTTTAAATGAGAGAGAAATCATTTAAAGAAATGTACAACATTGTTGTAAGAAAATATAATAATATGTTTCTGGCAATTCAAAGCTAAAAGAGCGTATTTTATAATTTTATAAACTATAAACTCAATTTAATTTATTAACTATTAAATGAACGATAAGTACTTAGTTTAATGTTTGCTCCATGAAAAAGAGAATATGTTTCATAAATTGTAAAATTTTTATGCACTATAAAAGAAATATTCAAATATAACATACACACACACATGCACTTAATGTAAGATATTTTGACTATTTAAAATAAAGATAAAAGGGATTTTTATTCCTCTCGAAATAGAGTTGAATAGATTCTAATAATTTCAAAGAATCATTGTTGTTATCGATAAAAAATTCATGATGAAAGAGTAAGAGAGTTTTGTGTCTTAGTTTCGCATGATGATATGATACATGAACAAATACATGAAAATAACATGGGTAATGCTCGAGGTTTTATGTGAAAAAGCTGAAAATGAGAAAAACAACGAGGCCCTACCTAGCAAAAATGATTCCACAATGTAAGCACTAATTACGATCCCTTAATATTAAGATGACAATATTACATGAGTATGAAGAGTTGGTAGAAAATATCCTTGAGTTGCTATGAGGTGAAAGGCGTGTAGACGATTTTGGCCAAGTGACAATGGTCCGATAATATTGGTTGGGCGGCGACAATCCATAATGATGATTTGATGGTTGTGGTGTATTGGTGAATGTCCATTGATTGTAATGGTCAGATGACGATAGTCTAGCGGCAATGATCTGACATTGATATTCATACAATGGTCTAATATGGCAATTGGGTGGTAGAGTTCTGACATTAGTAGCCCAGTGATGGCAATAGTTTGGCGATTTTGGTAGGGAGAGTATGGTTCAACGATAATAGTATTTGGGTAGCAATAACTTTCCTATAGTTATCGGGCAGTGACAATCACAATTTGATGTTGGTGGTCCAACGATGATAATAGTCTGATGGCTTTGGTTGGGCACCTGCAGTTTGATAACAGTGGTCAAGAAGTGGTTCAATGATGGAGGTTAGATAGTTTTTTGATGATAGCAGTCAGGTGAATAGTTTGATGTGACATGAAAGTACTTGAGTGGAGCACTTGGATTCTTCAAACCTCTGAGCTTTCTTGAATCTCAAGTCAAAGGGTATTTATATAATTTCTTTTTTATTGTTATACCCTATAAATATGAAGAAAATACATAACACTTCATTGGATTGTCCATACTAATTCTCTTGATTATAGAGCATTCGTTAAATATTTAAGTGCCTTGATGTTAGAAGAAATAAGTGTTCTTAGGCTCATTGGATTCATCTCATCGATATGCTTGATTTGAATATAAGCATGTTAATTTTGGAGATTATTTGGTCCTTCAACTTATATCTCAAAATTTCTAACTATTCTCCAAACTCTTGGCCTGGATTTATTTGGACTTGGATCAAATCATTTTTGCTGACATAGGATTTGTCTCTTCAAGACAATCAATTTGATTTACTTTTATCAAAATTAGAATTTGAATGGTCATGAATTTAATTCTATAAATTTTTATTTCAAATATGCAGCGAGTTTTATTCCTAATTAAGCCGATTTTTTATGGAATATTAATCATAATAATATTCTCAAAATCACCATAATTTTTTTAAGACTTATATCTATTATATTAAAAATATAAATAATTAAAGTTAGAATAATTATAATAAATAAAATGTTTAATGCTAATACATAACCATTACAGCAAATATTATTTACTTTTACGATTATAACACAATATATTTCGTTCATTAATTTGGACTTCAAACAAACGAAATCTCATTTTTTAATGTTCTGACAAAATTAATAATATTGCATTTTAATGTGTGTTGACTGTTGACTATACCAGGAGGTTTTTATGTGTCCAATATCATCCACGTGGCATTGATTTGGATGTCCTGCGTTCTTGCTTGACTGAGATTTCATTTGGGACGGTTTTTTTACTGTTTCTTAAAATATTTTTTTTACAAAAATTAAAATTTTTATAGTAGAAAGTTTTTTTAAGCAGTGAAAAATTCATCCTAAATGAAGCCTAAGGCTTCATTTGAGACAACTTTATTACTGTTTTTTAAAACAATTTTTTAGTATATTTTTTTTTGAATTATTTTTTTTACTAGAAAATTACTTAATTAAAAAAAAAAAAGAAAGTTGTCCCAAACAAAATCTAAATATGTTAATGAAAGAATTTCATATATCATTAGAGGTTGAGCAACATTTTAGGAGTTCCACATAGGCTTTGTCTAAGGCTATTTTCTTAATATTGCTTTCTAGCTAAATAAGCTTTTTAGCATAAAATTTTTTTAACTAAGAAGCTAGTTCAAAAAACAACAAGAAAGCCATCCCAAATGAAGCCTTATTCACCATTAGAAGCAATTAGAGAACTTAAAGGATGATAGCAAATAATGATGTGATATTTGGATTAGCCAATGAAATCTAGATGAGGGTTATTGTGTTCACTCATGAAGACATTATAAGTTCAGCTGCATGCATGCACATTGCCATAAATTCCATAAAATTGGGGTAGAAATTTTACTGAAACATCAATCATATTAATTTGATCATAAATATTCATTTCTATAATTAATATTATACAAAAGTTTCATTAAAAACTATACTAAAAGTAAGGAAATATACTTACAATAGAAACATCAAAGTCTTTCATTTATACAAGTGCCAAAGTTTACATCCTCAAAAGGAATATGCATTGCATAATCATCACCACCATTCCATATGCATTAGCTATTATATTAACATCAAATTTATAAAAAGAGTAACATTATACTTACAATAGAAACATCCTCAAAAACTATACTAAAAGTAAGGAAATATACTTACAATAGAAACATCAAAGTCTTTCATTTATACAAGTGCCAAAGTTTACATCCTCAAAAGGAATATGCATTGCATAATCATCACCACCATTCCATATGCATTAGCTATTATATTAACATCAAATTTATAAAAAGAGTAACATGATACACATCTATTAATAATATTCATATTCATATTTTCTTTAATTACACATGTCCCTTGTCTTTTTCTAAAGTCATCAATACATTATATGTAAAAAATGATGACTAAAGGCTAGTAGGTTATAGATAATGTATCCAATCATTCAATATATCTCTAACATTACCACTATAGAAACTCTCCCTCATTTTATGTCATCACATGAAACATGCCATACTCTATATTCATAGATCATTCATTAGTCATTGGATCAACTAATAATTAAATAATGCATCATCATCATCATCATCATCATCATCAATACATTATATGTGAATAACGGTGACTAAAAGCTAGTATTTTACACATAATGTATCAAATAATTCAATATATATCTCACATTGCCACTAAGAAAACTCTCCCTCACTCTATGTCATCACATGCAACATGCCATACTCTATATTCATAGATTATTCATTAATCATTGGATCAACTAATAATAAAATGATGACGCATCATCATCATCTAATAACTCATTCAAAATTCAAATGATCATAATAATAATCTTCATAAGTTGGCCTTCTAGAATTGATATCTTTACTTGGGTCATTTGGGTTTAAGACATTTTTTGGTCTTAAATGTCACTAATTAAACAATTCATCAAAGGTTTTCAAATAATTTTATCTAATCATTCTCATCTAAATCTAAATCAATGTATCATCATCATAAAATTATTTATATTAACCAATTTACTTCTTCAACTATATCATCATCATGAATTCATTAATAATAAATTACTTGTATAATACTCAAATCATATATATATTTAAGAAGTCAACACATTACTTTATCTACGTATATTAATATAAACTAAATTTTGAAGAGTATAACAAAATTCTAATCTATATATTTTTAATTTATTTACTTTTTCATTGTTAGTGACATGCATAACAAAATTATTTTCTTAAGCTAATGTTAGATATGTAAATAAAAAAATTGAATGGTATGGTTGTAAATTTTTTTTTGTTGATAAAGAATACTGAAAATAATAAATCGCGTCTGCGAGGAAGGAAGAGAGGGATAAATAGGTTATAGTAGCGGGCCAGCGGGAGTAGGGAAAAGAGAAAAATCGCATCTGCAAGGGACGGAAATGTTCGGATGCGATCAAGAAGAAGAAGCGCTGGAGCTGGTGGTAGAGCAAATGCGGTGCAGATTGCGATTGGCTCGCCGGCGTACGCAGAGAGGGTGAAGGCTGAAATGCAGGGAGGCGATCAGGGAAGGGTTTACAGAGCTACATATGTGGGGATCGATGTTTTCTTATAGAGTACGGTCGGTGAGGAACTAGGTGTGGCTTTTGTAGTGGTTTCAAATGATGCTTGGAGAGATAGGGAGAGGGATTACCATTAATGTTACTAGTATTTTTTGATGTTATTTGATTAACCATATATTACCCTAAACCGTAGATGTTCATACGCGTTTCTCATTTAGATATTTTTAAGATCGTGAAAGTGATATTAGTTATATGTTTGGTAAAAAAATAATTATCTTTGTTATTTATATATTGACACCATTATTTCTCACATTTCATATAAATATCTTTGCAATTTATTGTTTTATCTTCAGAATTATTTTGAATGCCTTAATTTTTTTAAATTGATTTCTTATGTAAAAATAAGAAATTTATGGGCATAGATGTCTCCATAATATGATAAAGATAGTATCAACATTTTGCTTTTTATCTTCAAATCATTATAAATATATTTCTTGTTTGATAAAAATTAATTGAATATGATCAATCAAACATGAGATTTTGACTTTTTAATGTGAAATTTGATAAAAAAATATATTAGGATATCTTAACATAAATTTTTTAGGATTTACAAGATAAATAACAAATTGAATCTAAATCTAATCCTACATAAACCTATGAAATTCAAAATTTAAACAAACTATTATCAAAAGGAAAATTAATACTAATTTCAAGCTAAAATAAATCTAAAGTATTTAATAAATTGAAATAACTTCTAAAATGGCTATGAAGTCACACTAAATTAAAGGAATTTTCTTATGCCCAATACCACATGGCACACCTAAATTGACACACTTGTTGCATATAGTCTCATATACCAACCCCAAGTATAAGGGATGAGAGTGTAAGAGATTAGAATGTATTCTAGAATCCATAAATCCATTATCACAATCAGTGACTAGTGACTAAAAAACTATTGAATGCTCTTGTAACGATTAAGACAGTTTGTAACCAGAATCAATGTTTTTCATTGCTAAATAATTGTAATTAAATGCTAGTACAATATCTAATTTATTTAGTAACAATTACAGCTGCATTTACTTCACATTTTGTCAAAGTCAGTTTTGTTGTGACCCAGAAATGTCACTTTAATAATCCATGAGTCTTACATTCCTACTGAAAACGTGAATTGATTATTCCCATAGCAACCCAAGTTTATGTTTGTTAAACTTTTGGAATAATTGCCTATATTTTTAATCTAATCAATCGGCCAATTGTTTTGCATATTTAGCACAAATTCAACAATCGAGAGGTACAAGAAGGCATGCGCTAACAGTTCAAACTCTGTTGTGGAGGTTAATTCTCAAGTAAGTACTTTTGATTTTACATTAAGTTTATTAACTATTCCCATTGATGGGTTCGGCATGTTGCTTACTATGTACCTAGTAAGCTTTATTCCATATTTTCATCATTCTTTTACTCAATTAAAATCTATCTCGTGAAAGTATACAATAAAGCATCCATTTTGTTTTTAACAAAAAATTGAGAATAATTGACGTAAGTTTTGATAGCATATTTTATTGGACAAACATATGGAAACATATGATGTTACAGTTGTTCAAATATATGGGTGTAACCGTCTAAATGTTTGGGAATATGCAAACTAGCTAAAAAGTTCAATGGCCACAGTAAAGAAGAAATTAGCCTATAAAAACTTTCTTAGCTTTACTAAAAAAAGGTGCTTCAACATTACTAGTAGATCAATTTCAAATGAAGGAAAACAACAAAAAATTTTATTGGATAAATAACAACAACAACAACAACATCAAGCCTTTATCCCACTACGTGGGGTTGGCTACATGAATCCTTTTTCTCCATTGTGTCCTATTAAAAGTCAAATTCTCGTTTAAATCTAATAAAGAAAGGTCATTCCTAATATTTTATAACCAAGTCTTTTTAGGTCTACCCTTACCTTTCTTAACATGTCAAATCTAATACCTCTACTCTCCTAACCGGGTATTCGGAAGGCCGCCGTTTTATGTGACCAAACCATCTAAGGCGACTCTCTCTAATCTTATCTTCTACTGGAGCTACTCCAACCTTTTCACGTATATGCTCATTTCGTATCCTATCTCTAAGGGTAAAGCCACTCATCCACCTGAGCATCCTCATCTCTGCCACACTTAACTTAGTATTATGCTTCTCTTTTAATGGCCAACATTCGGCACCATAAAGCATTGTAGGCCTCACTACCATCTTATAGAATTTTCCCTTAAGTTTGAGGGGTACATTTCTATCACATAACAAGCCCGATGCATTCCTCCACTTCAACCATCCAATTTGAATTCTGCTGATAATATCCCCATCTATTTCACCATCACTCTGAACAATAGATCCAAAATATCTAAAACGTGTACTCTTATTAATGATTTGATCGCCCAAAGTCACAATCCCCTCACTAGGTCTATTACTACTAAAATTATACTCCATATATTCTGTTTTAGATCTACTCAAGCGAAAACCTTTAGACTCTAAGGTTGACCTCCATAATTCAAGTTTACCTTCAACTCCCTCTCTAGTCTTATCAACAAGAAGGATATCATTAGCAAAAAGCATACACCAAGGTACATCCTTTTGCAAATGTCTAGTGAGAACATCCATGACTAAAGCAAAAAGATATGGGCTTAAGGCTGATCCTTGATGTAACCCAACCGAAATAGGGAAATACTTGGTCAATCCACCACCTTGTGTTTGAACACAAGTAATAGCTCCTGCATGCATATCTTTAATGATTTGAATATAAACATTATTGATTTCTTTCTTTTCAAGAACTCTCCATAGCACTTCTCTTGGAACTTTATCATATGCTTTTTCTAAATCAATAAATATCATATGTAGATCCTCCTTATTTTCTCTATATTTCTCCATCAAACCTCTTAATAAATGTATGGCTTCCATAGTCGACCTACCCGGCATGAATCCAAATTAATTTTGAGAAACATCAGTGGTAGATCTATAATAGATTTAATTTTAATTGTTTGACAAGAGTAATTGACCTCAATTGCAGTTTGAGGCTGATTGAGCTTTAAGAATCTCATGCTGCTTGTTCAAATAATTTTAGCGAGCTCTAACTGAATTTGAGCTTTAAGCAAGTTTGTTAGGCATATAAAGATGAAAAACTAAAGTAGTTAATTGAGACTATTTAGGCACATGATGTTTTTATTTCTTCTCAATTCTCATATAAACTTACGCTTGCCCTTCTTCAAGCTTGGCTGATGAAAGACTTCAAATTTAATGAGAGCGTAAAAGTGGCAACACGAAAAGATCATTTGATTGCAATATTTATCACTAACTGCTAGGTGATAAATGGTTAGATGTTTTCCTTCATTTACTTTTTTACAGCTGACATTATCTAATTACCAACATGAAGTTACTTGTCAAAAGTTACCATTAAATGAAAACGACAAGCAATACAATATAGTTTTAATGTTCTTAATAATTCTGCATACATATTAGGATCATGTAATTTTTTAATATCATGATGCTCAGATCACCTTCTCTTCAGTTTTATGTAAAAGATGACTCAGATCAGTTTATTACCAATCAACATCGTTAATTTATATTAGAATCAATTTCAGCGTTTATGTAGAAATATGCGTATAGGAATGAATATTTTTATCTGGGTGCATAAGGTTCATGTATTCATCTTCTCCAAATAATGACATGAATGCAGCAATACTATCAGCAGGAAGCAGCAAAGTTGCGTCATCAGATACAGATTTTGCATAACACAAATAGGTAAGCTGTCATATAGCAATAATTCTATTTTATATGAAAACACTGAATATGACATTGTTAAATGCTACTTGGTAAAATGTTTGGAAAAAATATCCCGTTTTTTTGGAAGCCTATCAGTGAATTACCATTTTAATGTTTGAAAGTAATTACTAAGTTTGTTCAAATATAATAACCAATATTTTCCTCCACATCACGCTTAATAATTGTGGTCGAGGATTACAAGCATTCATCCTAATGCATTAACTATCTTTCAGACACCTTATGGGCGAGGGTTTGACTTCGCTGTCCATAAAGGAACTTAAGCAACTAGAGAGCAGACTTGAACGAGGCATCACAAGGATTAGGTCAAAGAAGGTAATACATTTGGCTTTTGACTTTATCGGCTTTCGAAGGACTAAGTAGTATTTCCTCAATTAACTCAATAACAAGTAAGAAAATACAAGAAGATGTTTGAACACTGAGCCAGTAAATAAAAATTTAGAGAAGAGGCAGAATTACTTTGTTTGACCGAATTTTCTGGCACGCACCTGATAGTTTGTTCAATAATATCTTAGATCATTCTTCAAGTACTTGAAGATGCTATTGCATTTATGCTGTATTAAGGTTTACACCGAATTATATACTACATGAAGCATTTCTAGATGCATCTTACAATTTCTTTCTTACTAATTTTGTGCTCTTTTCTTTCTTAAGCATGAAATGCTGTTTGCGGAAATTGAGTTCATGCAAAAGAGGGTAGGAGTCATCATTTTGCTGTACTCCGTGAAAAATATCCTTTTCGTATTAAGTATGCAGTGTTCACTTTTTTCTATCTTCTTTTTTTTCTTACCTGTATTTTGGGTCTACAGGAAGAAGATCTACAGAATGAAAATATGTATCTCAGAGCCAAGGTAACAATAACAATACCTTCTTCAGCTCTTCAATTACTCTTGAAAATTCTCAATGCATCAACTTCTAGTATTCAAGCCAAGTTTTTATCAGAAAAACTTATCTGGAAGATATGTTCAAGAAAAGCATTGACTGGTCGAGAATATTATACAATTATTGTGTCTATTAATATGCTGAAAATACAATATCACATATCACTAATTATTATAAGCAATCAACTCCATGTGGAATAGTGTTAAAGCAAACAAAACCCACAACTTGATAACTAGTATAGCAGAGTATCTTCAATTGGTGACCCGCATGCTAGAAACACAAAAATAAAATTGAAATACTTTATATTGTGTTGCCTTGAACATATGTATAAGCAACTTGGAAGTGTATAGACTTGAAGCTTATTTAAAGCGTTTCCCCATAGAATTGGCAAAGCATGTTAGAGTCGATCTTTATTTGACTCTACATCCATAAATATGGTATATTTATTAAGCTGTCTAGAAACATAACCAGGACAAATAAGACAAATGGTATTTAGAGATTGGTAACAGAACCCAACAATTGGTATGTAATGCAATGAATCTTCCATCCTATTCCTACAACTTCTAACCCATTTCAATTAAATGGGTTGGTTGGATGCAAGTGTGGCTAATCGTGTGCACTTCTTGAAGGCTTCGTTGATTTCTCTTTTTGGAGGTTATTATTGCAGGTTTTGTTAATCCTATGAATCCCCCCAATTCAAGCTAGAATAAGACCTGCTAAAAGACTGAATCCTACTGTCATGATGTGCACGCTCTCAACCAAGGTCCCAGCACGATTTTGCCATACCCACTAAGTTCTGAAGAGCTGCTAAAAGCGGCATTGTGCCACGTGTTGTTTGCATATATCTAGCTACTCCTTTTCCGGGGAACGAATTCCTCCAGCTTACTTGTTTCTCTCCAACTATTGTCTTCTGGTTGCCTTCATGCAGTTTTATTCGTTCTCTCTTTTTCTCTCTTTCCACTCTTGTTCTCTTGTATAAACCCTTAAGCTTGACACCCAAACTTCGTCTCTCTCTCTCTCTCTCTATATCAAACCTTTATAGCATAAATCACGTCACACACCACTTTTTTAGCTATCAAGATTCATCTTGTAGCCTTTCCTATGATGTAAGCCTTGTCATGACCCGCTATGATAACTTTGGAGGTGTGCCTTATAGTCTTTTTAACATAGAAAATTATCACATTAAAATCCATTCATTTAAACTGTTTGGATAAATGTCATACCTTAAAGTCCCGATCAGCCCTTATATTTTATTCTATGCTTAGTCTTAAATGCTGTTTAGATAGAGGCTAGGAGTCATCTAAAAGATCTTTAATATTTAATGCATTTTTTCTAAATTTTAGTTTATCCAAAATTTTATGTGATGTTATGGAAATAAATTGTACAGGAAAGACTAGCCGTTAAAGACAGTTTTATTCTTAAAATAACCTATGTAAACCTAGCCGATGGTCAAAAAACTTTAGTAAACTTAGGTAAACACATCCTGCCAATAACCAAGTTAGAGCTAACAGCGAAGGCGGGATAAACTTAGAACATTGATGCTCATAATATTCGAAACAACCGAGTAGCTCATAATGACAATGCTTACTTCAGCATGAACCCTAATGTGACAATTAAGTGATATTTGTTTAAACCCTCTTTAATGTTGTCTTTTGACAAAAAATAGAGTATTTCAGAACTTTGTAAACACGGACAATTGTTTACTCCATTTTGCAAACGAGAACTAACTCTGACTTTATGCTCGAGTTTCTTGAAACTTCGATAACATTTCTAGGATTTCACTTGGAGGCAATAATAGTAGAGTTTACTATAAAACCATGAATAATATTTTGTCAGTATTTAATAAGATATTCTTATAATAATACCAAGTTTCATGGAAACCTATTAGCAACGCCATGGTTGTAAGAACCCTTGATATGTGACTATGGTTAACTATCCTTATTTGCAAAATAGGATAAACTATTATTCTTTTTTGCGTAGTTTTGAAATTACTTTCTTTTTTCATAAAAAGTTTAAACTACTGGGAGTTTATACAAATAACTCAGCTAAGAATTATAGTTTAGAATCCACATACTGATTTATGTTAGTTGTTAACAGATAACAGAAAATGAGAGACAAGCAAACATAGCCACAACTGCATCCGCACTTGATACTCTTTCCACATTCGATTCAAGAAACTACTACTCTGTCAACATGTTGGAGGCAGCAGCCAATTATCACAATCAAGACCAGACTGCCCTTCACCTTGGGTATGATAACTAAAGCTGAACAAAGCTTCATATTCTGTACTTTAAGCTAGATTTCTCTGTCCACTGAATCATATTCACCTAAGTAGACCTTCGTCCATAATATGGTAAGCTAAGTAGCTGCCTAAATTATATGATAGGACTGCAGTAAATGTTTCCAGTTGTTCAGCATTATCTTCTATCAATATGAAGATATCTTTCTTTGAGAATCTAAGATCCATAAACCAACTTTGCAGAAGATGCTAATGCATACAAATTATATTTCTTTATTGTTTGTCTCACATTTTTGGCTTTGCTGTTGACTGCTGCTTTTGGTTCCTGTTTCTTTTTTTGTTGTCTATATTTTTCTTTATGTTGGTTTTGTTTGTAATAGTTAAGTTTCGTTGGCTCTTAGGTTTTACTTCAATGATTCTATTTTTAGTGAGTCTTTGGATCTTTTAAGGACTTGTAACATCCCTTTATATTAATGCGTAAGCACCTTTGTGTGTTTTAACAAAAAAAAAAGGTTATTAATCAAAGAGAAATTATTTAGGAATGTTTAAATTACAATTGTGAGGGAATTATTTAAGTAAGAGATTTAATTTGAATTCAAAATCTAAGAGGAAATTATTTAGGGAAAAGGAGGAATTAAGAGGTGATTGTTTAGGAAAATTTTAATTACAATTGAGAGGGAATTAATTAGGTAAATAAATATAATTTGAATTCAAATTTGAGAGTGAATTATTTAGGGAAATGGAACTTATTTTGGAGGGAATTATGGGAGCCTATTTAAGGCTAACAATAGGGTGATTTTAGGAGGATGTATTGAGTTTGCTGAAATTAGAATTTCTTGGGTTGTGAGGGCTTTAGCCGACGGCTAGGGATTTGGCAGAGCCAGATCTTTCTCTCCAATTGAAGATTCAACTGTATCTTGTGTTTTTTTTCTTAGTTTTTCAATAAAGAAATTTCTTGTGTTCTTCCTAAATTTCTTGTGTTATTATTTGATTTTGTTGAAATTGCATCCACTTTCTATCACATCACTACAATATTTATTAGGAGAATTTATCATCTTGGGAAAATTATTAAGTAATTAGAAAGCAATCCAAAGAAATGATGAGGGATCTTTCATAAAAAAATAATTCATTTATGAAAGAATTATTTAAATAAGGCAACACTTGATTATACATTTATTAAATAATCAATGATAATATGATAAGTGATAAAAAAACAAGCTAATGGCCTCTTCATTATTTCACGTAACCAATCTATCATTGACATATACAAGAATATAAAGTGAAGTTGAGCCTTTCTGATAAAACAAAAATGATGGATCACTTGTGAAAGCAATTGCTGAAGCACCTGTTTTACTCCACATAGCCTTTTGAAGTAAAAAAAAAAATAGAGAAAATTATCAAAATAGTCCCTTCACTCTTTATGAAAGATCAAAATAGTCCAGAACTATATTAAATAATCATTTTGGTCCCTCAACCCCTTAAAGAGGAATCAAAGTAGTCCACCATGAGATTATTTTTCATCCTTTTTACAGATTTAAGGGATCAAAATAATTCTTTAATATAGTTAGGGATCATCTTGGTCCTTCTAAAAGAATCAATGGATCATTTTGATAAAAAAATTGAGAATTCTGATAACCTTGTTTGAATCATTTAGACTGCTTTTATCAAGTTTTCCATGAAGAAGGCATTGGACACATTCACTTGAAAATTTTCTGCATAGTGAAATAGAGTTCGGATTCTTGGGAATTTGACAATTGGACTAAAGGTTTCACTGTAATTTAATCCAAATTCTTATTTATAGCCCTGAACTACTGGATGTGCCTTATATATCTACCAAAATAGTGTGCTGCTTGTAGGTAGGTCTTGGATTGAATGAGAGCTGAAGGATGTCTTAAGCGCCGATGCCATAGCCTCGTGCTGGTATGATAGAATAGCAACTGGAGTTGTAGGAGAAGGATTCTTAATAGGATAGAACCCTCAAAAGATTGGGACCCTGATGATGGTTGTCGTTGAATGTTTAATGGTAATATCAGTGGCATCAAACAAAGCAGAACAAAGATTATATTGCAACATAGTTTTATCTTTCATTGAAGCTGATGAAGCTCATTTTTTAATTATAAAATGCGAGAACAAGTTGTAGGTTGAATTTGTTAGCGGCATTGAAGAATATAGAAAAATACAATGAAGAAGGTGGAGGAACAAGCTAAGTTGTATTGCTATCAATATAACTCCAACAGTAGTATATAGGAATTTAGTAGAGTCCAACAACAACAAGCCTTTATTCTACTACAATGGATCAACTACATGATCTTTTATTTCCATTCTATCCTATTTAGGATCATATTCTCATTTAAATCTAAGGCTTTGTTTGATATGATTTTCTTACTATTTTTTAAAGCAGTTTTTAAGTTTTTTTTTTTTTTGAAATATATATTTTTGTACTAGAAAGTTGCTTTAGAAAAAAATCATCCCAAAGACCTAAATTTAATTAGAAAAAGATTATTTTAAATGTTTTCTAACTTTTTTTTTTTAAGTTTATCTCTATCTTTCTTAACATAGGTTGGATTTAGGCTTTGTTTGGAATGGCTTCTTTACTGCTTCTTAAAACAGCTTTCTTGTACACAAATTAAAATTTTTTTACTAAAAAGTTGCTTTACGAAGCAATAAAAAAGCAGTCTCAAATGAAACCTTAATACATCAACTTTTCTAACCGAGTCATCGGAAGCCTGACATCATCCATAAGTATTAATAGATAGCTAGCAATCAATAGTTATGAATAAGTGACAATTATAAAGGAATGGATAGAATGGGGAGTGCTTGCGATCAGACATGTAATGGAAGGCTCGGATTCTTCTCTCTTAATACTTACGAAAAAAGAAAAAAATTTAAATCAAATAAAAGATCAAATCAAAACCCAGAGTTCATAATTCCATAACAATCAACATCTTACAATATCTCCACCAATAATCCCATAAACTTTTAGGCTCTACAATTTCTAATAAACTAGCAATGATAAAACAACCTCAAAGGCTACAGAGTAGGAGCTCTCTCAACTGAGCCCGATATAACAGTGAGCAAGTTATTGCCAAAAGGATCACTGAGATGCTTGGCCAGGTTCTCGACCGGTCCTTCGCCGGTCACATAAGCCTGAAGGAAGAATCCGAGCATGGCGAACATGGCGAGCCGACCGTTCTTGATCTCCTTCACTTTGAGCAGAGCAGCCTGGTCTGGATCATTGGCCAAGCCAAGAGGATCAAATGGACCTCCTGGGTGAAGCTTGTCTTCCAGATTCTATATATACAGGTTAAGATAGTTAATCAGGATGTCATCAGTTATGCGGTGGATTCGATGTTATTTCATTACCAGGCCATTAGTGATTCTGTAATACTCCGCGCCGCCCACGAGGATGACCTCGGCTGCGACGGCGAGGACGAGGTTGATGGGAATGTTCTTGCCAAAGTAGTTCAATGTGTTGCCATCAAGGAGAAGAGCTCCAGTCTGCATATTTAGGTGATTGTTTGATTGAAATTCTAAAATTTCTTCTAAGTGAAAAACAGAAAAAAGCCTTGACCTTGAACCATACGGCTTCAGGGCCACAATTTGCTCCGAATTTGTTGAAGGCCTCTGGGATGATGAAGCCAGCAGCTCCAAGCATTGCCCACCTTGCGTGGATAAGTTCAAAAGCTTGGTATCTGCAGTTTTTTTTTATTTATTTATAATAATAATAAGTATATATATATTTCCACTGGAAAAATAACTAGAAATTCCTTTTGAAGAGTGATTATTTAGGTGGATCAACATTGAACACTCACTTGGCAAAGTCAGCTGGTTTCTTGCTCAGTCCAAAAGGATCATAACCGTAGCTGCAAAACTTCTATATTAGTTGAGGATTTATAGCTATGATTATGATAGGAAATACTTGATTATTTGATAGGAAATACTTGATTTCAAGTAGTTCCTAGCCAAATCTAAAATAGAACAAGGAGAAAACTGTTGTTTTCAGCAGTGGGCAGCAGTTTTGCATAATAAAACAATGAGAGATCGTGGAAAAACTGAGAGAAAACTCAAGCAAGAGCTTGTATTTTACTAGTAGGCGAATAAAAACAGCAAAGATACAATTTGTTCTTTAATCCGACAGGAAGAATAACTTTCCAATCTCCGGCAACGCCAAGAGCCCAAAGCAAGAAACCCTAGATCTCAAATTGTCATTCAAATTCAAGCTAACCCTAATTCCCTCATATTCCTCCTAATTAACATGAAAGAAGGATTACAAATTACCTAATCACCATTTACCTTCAAATATTTTCCCCCAAAATCACATTAAGCCCCTCATGGGGCCCACAGGACTTCCGCCCCTACTTTCTCCCGTCTGGAGTAAACCAGGACCGGTCCAGCCGGCCCTTCCTGGGCCGGCGGCATATCAGATTATTACATCAACATATGTAGTGTCTGATAAATGAGAAATTATTTTGTGCAAAGAACAGATGCAGAACGTTATTCGAAGACCAACCAGAATGCACAACGTCAACGGTACCGAGCGAAAGAGTGATATGGTGCATTTTGATTTGTTTCCGAATGGCTTTCAGCGTTCGCACAGAATAATTAATCCTGATATATATAGATCAGGACACTAGCATTTAACTTCTTTTGTTATGTGCTAGATTGGAAAATAATAAATAAAAAAATTCTTAGATTTTGCGTAGAATAGTTTTTGGCCACTGCTTTTTTATTGTTATCAAAGTATTTTTATATTAAAAAAGATGTTTTAAAAAACAGTGATTCTCAAATGTTTGTGTGCTCAAGCGAGATAAAGTTTGTCCTTGTTGTTATTATTGTGACTTTAATTTTATGTATCACATTTTATCTTGAAATATAATTAAATTTTTTATATCATATATTTTTAAGCGTGAAAAATATTTTTAACCCTAAAACTTTTTCCTTCTATTTTGCACACATTTTACAGCCGATAAAACAATTCATAATAATTTTTTTTGGTTAAAAAAAATAATTTTTTTGGTAACAATTGTAACTTATTCAAGCAATCAAAAAATCAGCAATGGAAAAGAAGTGTATACTCACTCTCCGGGAACTTCTCCGGTGAGGTATTCCGGCACATCAGACCGATCAAGAAGCCCCTCCGGCAAGAAGATCCTCCTATCAGGACCTATAATTAAAGCAATTCAAAATCACTATACTCCATTAAAAAAAATACACATGAAAATGGATTTTCGTCAACAAATTTCTTTTATTTAGTTACATACCATACCACTTGGCCAGTTCTTCACTGACCGGGGAAGCAGGGACGGCCTTCGACTTGGCCGGAGCTTTCTTGGAGAAGAGGGCGACGATCTTTGATCCGGAGGCCGATGAAGAAGGTGGAGCAGCAGCACGAACGGTGGTGATTGAGCCGAGCGAGATACCGAACATCTCAGAGTGGCCTAGGGCGGCTGGAGCAGCGGCGGCGGTCGCAAGGGAGGCCATTGGTGAAAGGAGCTCCGGCGAAGATATGCGTGTGGCAGGAGAAGGTGTGGAGTGAAGGGGAAAGGGAGGGGAACTAAATGAGAAATCTAGTGGATGTGGGTTGACCAGCTGGCTTGTGGTGAGATGAAACGCAATCTAATGCGAAGATCTGATAGGCTTGCAATGCTGATGTGGAAGATTAAGAGGCTGACGTGGAGGAATTCTGTGCATGAGTTCTCCCTGTAGTGGATAGGGGGGAAATGAGTGAGGATTGAGGGCTTTTGATAAGAATTTTATATATAGCCGTATATTTTAAGTATATATTTGAAGCAACTACAGTTTTTTCTTAAGTTAACTGTCAGATTTTTTTTTTTTAAAAGTTATTATGAGTATCATAATTTTTTTTTAAAGTTATTATGAGTATCTAAGTCAAATGCTCTGATTGAGCTCGGCTTGTGGCGACGGACGCGAGCTCTCGAGGCATAATCGTCTCTTCTTGCTTCGATCTCTCTTCCATGGTTCACGCGACGGCGCCCGAGCTTTTTCTTTTGCGCTTATGCCCCTGCTTTTGCGCCTGGGTTGCACTACTGCTTTCTGCTCCTTCCAAACTCAAGCCGCTCGACGAGTAATCGAGTCGAACTTCATCTCAATTGAACTCGATAATCCAAGAAGCTTGAAAATATGCTTGAGCTTAAAACTCGATAAGTTTGACTCGTGAGCCCGTTAATGAGTCGAGCTTGAGCAGGCTCGGAGTCGACTTGACTCGTTTGCACCCCTACCCTAAATAGATCCTTGGAGTTGTGGAGCAATTATTACATTCGGTGTCCGAATGCGTTCAGAGACCAATAACCACGCGCCACGTCACCTAAAACTCGGTATTGCTCGGTATACATTCAGACCGTTCGATTTTTGATCGGATGTAATAATTTCTCGGAGTTGTAGGTGTGAGTTGAGTGTAGTATATTTCTTGAATAATTGGATTTTGGTTTATTTACATTTATTTATTTAAATAATAAAATAAGTCTTACAAAATCTTAGAAATTTGATTTAAATAAAAAAACCTCATTAGTCTATATGTTTGTGTTTAAGTAGTTCATTAAATTTTTTTATCAAACACTTCTTTAATGATGATTTTATTTCATGTTTATTAATTTATTTTATGGTTATTAGCTATCATATTTTATTTCTTGCACTATACGATGGAAATTTATACTTCAAGCAAATAGTTAATTGTTTTTTGTGGTTTAAATGTTATGGTTTGGAGATAATTTTTTTCCTTAATACTTTTTTTTTTTTTGTATTTCTAAAAATTTTAGTGCACCTCTATAAATACACAGCTCACCTTGGCTTGTTGGTTGAGAGCTTATGCTTCCAACTAAGAGGTCTTGGGTTCGAGTCTTTGTGTATGCGTTGTGTGTGTGAGTTTGCCTTAAATGGCCTAAATGTCCCAAAAAAAAAAAATTTTGCTGAATTTTTAATTAGGAAAATCTTGTCTCTTTTGGCTCCCATGGCGTCTTCTCAGTTTTTTTTTTTTTTTTTTTTTTCTGATGATCGGTCTGAGATGAAAGTCAAATTCGATCTCAATCCCGTCGATTCGAACTAACGCCCTCACACATTATATACAAACAGGTTGGGGAAGACGAGTTCGATCGGCCGGGTACATGCTCGTACGTGAACATTCCAAAGCAAAACGGAGTGGAGACAAGCGGCGTCCTGTTCGACCGGCAAGCTTGAACGGCGGCGAGCGGGAATTCATGTTTTATCGCAACCCGAGCGCGGGCATGTTGCTGACTGAAAAGGAAGTCAATATGGATCTCATTCTGCGCTCCGACTTATTCCACTTTGGGTCTATCAGCCTGATTTCCGAGCCTTGTCGCTCCGCCCATCTCGCCGCCTTGCGCGCCGCTAAAGCTGCTTGTTGTGTGCGGAATCCGAACACGTTTGGAAGCCAATTGGAGCGCCCCCACGTCATCTCTAATGGGCCTCCGAACATGACATGTTCGGATTCGGCACATAATAATTTTCCATTCTTATGATCCTAATGTCTTACACTTCGGGAGGGAAAATTATTAGGTCCGGACATCCAATAAAAATTTGTCATGTAGACTGTGTTTTGACTGTGCTTTTTGACTACGCTTTAATTGTGCTTTGACTGCGCTTTACTTTTGCTTTTGGCACGCTTGACTTAAAATTCTGCTGACACGTGCCAGTTTTTTAGTGGATGTCCTAACGTATCTCTACGTCCGGTGTCCTGACCTAATAATTTCCCCTTCGGGAGGAGGCTTCATGTCACCCGGTACGCCGCGGTATAAAAAATGGGTGATGTGGCGTGTAAGTGAGTCGAGTCGATTCATTAGTTTGACTTAATATATGGCAGAGTTGAGCTCGATTAACTAACGATTCAAGTTTGAGCGAGCCTTCAATTCGCTGGTTGTTTAAAAAATATTAATATAAAATGCAATTCAAAAATAGAAAATTTAAGAATTTTTAAGTATAAAATTATTAAAAATTAAAAAGAAATTATCTCATTTTCTCATATTGAGTGATTTTTTATTATTTTTATTCTAATTTTTCATTATTTTAATTATTTTATTATAATAATTCTTTGAATTATAATAATTTTCTCTCATTCATAATAGAATAAAGCTCGAACTAGATTAATTAATCAAGCTCAAGTAGGGATAATTGGAGATTGGTTTGACTCTTTTATATTATAATATATGAGGATGTGCCTGAATATTATTTAAATTTGCTTTAAGATTAGTAATGTGTATATGAAGAATTTGTATTACACGTATATTAATTATTAAGAGACATCTAATGATATTTATGCCTATCAAAATATAATTTGTTTAAAAATATCTTGGTAAAATTAGTAAGATCTTATTTATATTTGATTTATTAAATAAAGGAACTTATAGAAATCAGTCATTTAAATATACAAATGTTATTTTATGAAAGAATATGAGATGTTAGTATTATCTAAATTAAAATACATTAATAAGATTTTTGAAATTATATTATATTTCAGTATTGAGTCAATATTCTTTTTTTTGTTTTGGTTAGTGATGATGAAGAGGCGTTTCTCACTGATGTAGATCCTCATGATGAAGAGAAATTTTTCTGTGTGGAGTCTTGAAGGGACAGAATCGTCTGGATATGTAAATGTATACACATTGCACAAAGTGTGTGTATATATATGTGACACACATTATGTATACTATATACAGAATGCGTGTACAATCACAGTCCGGACGGTTCTTCCCGCCCGCGGTTCTTCCCGCCCGGACTCCACATATAAAAAGTTCTCCATGATGAGAGGAATGCACTCTTCCTCTGATTTGATGGCATGAAGCTCCAAAATCACAGAGTTGCACCACACTAAGAAATTCACTATAAAAAAAGGAGAAATTATATGGATCTTTCACACACTTTTTCAGTCTTCACGCTCTTTCATACACCATAAAATAATCACCATGCAGTTACAACTCACACAATTCAAAGAAAAAAAGCAACTTAGCGTGTCTGTCGTGTCGTGATGTAGGGTTTACAGTGCACAATGTTCTCTATCTCATAGCGCCTTAGCATTGGGACTACAGCTCGACCGATAGAATTGATATTTGAATCAATAATACAACGTACCCAATTGATCCTATATAGTATCATGTTGCTCTAATTTATTCCCTCATGAATTATAAAAAAATTGATTCAAAATAATCCCTTTGAGACTAAATTAGGATTAATTTTTAAAGTGGGACTAAGTTAGAATCGTTTTTTTTTATAGCAAATACATTATGAGCTCGAGGGATCATTTTGGATTAGTTTTGTACATTAAAGAGATTAAATTGGAGCAATTTATATACCCGAATATACAAAATTGAGTATAATTTTAAAAAATTTCTGTTCTAAAGTAATAATAATTGTCTCATGAAAGATGAATAATATTGTGATATTTATTTTTTATATATTTTAGTGTTTCAAAGGTTAAGGTGGGTGGATATATGAGCAATTATTACGTCCTCCGACCGGACGTAGGTTCTCCGACCGGACGTAGAGCTATGTCCGGTCGGAGCTAAAATCGCACAAAAAAATGAGAAATGCCGAGCAAATACCTAGCAATACCAAACAATAACGAGGAATACCATCATGTGAAGACCTAATACCGAGCTATACCGAGTTTTTCCTAGAAAAAATCGGTAATTTTTTTTATAACTCAGTATTGCTTGGTATAGCTCGGTATAACTCGATATTGGTCTTCACATGATGATATTCCTCGTTATTACTAAATAATACCTAGCAATACCGTATTTTTTGGTAGGATTTTAGTGCCGACCGTACGTTCCTCTACCTCTTTATTACTAAAAGTTCGTGGATATATGCGGTGAAGCCCGTGGACACAACTGGAGCTGGCGATGCTTTCGTTGGATTCTTTCTGCTTTCCATTGCTAAAGATAGATCCATCTTTAATTAAGGTTCAAAGTTTTCCTAATTTTCAAGTCTACCATTTTTGTGAGGCTTGGATTTTTGTTTTAAAGTATAGAGTTATTGCACAACTTAGGCTTTGTTTGAGATGAGAGTTTAGTTTGAGATGACTTTCTGACTACTTAAAGTAAATTTTTAGTACAAAAATTTTAATTTTTGTATTAGAAAATTGTTTTAAGAAACAGTAAGAAAGCGTACCAAACGAAGTCTTAGAGAGGTTTCTTATTGATTTCTAGAATAACTTTTTAGTATAAAAGTTTTTGAATTATAAATTTTTGTACTAGAAAGCTATTTTAGAAAGCAGTAAGAAAGTTGTCCCAAATGAAGCCTTAATTACCTTAGTTTTTTAATGACTTTAAGATTAATATAATCAGTTTAAATTTATAATATATTGATTTTAAAATAAAATTAATAATTTTGAGATCTAATATCATCAAATTGTCATGATTAAATAACGACTTTTGAATTCAATGTTGATGTAGCTTAATTCATATTTGGATAAACTCAAATTCAATCTAATTTTTCGGTGGGCATGCAGAAATATAGAGTAAAATAAAATGAAGAATAAAAAAAATATAATGTATTTTAAATATTTTGAGTTATCTGGACGAGTGTAAATTAATATAGGATGATAGTATTTTGTTTTATTTGAAGTAAAATGAATATAATGTTAAACCCCAAAATAGTTGTGGTTGGTGGCCGATGGGTGGCAAAGGCTGAAGGTGGGTGGTCGGTGTTGGCCCGCAGTGGCATCCGCAACTTGTGATGCCCATTGGCAACGGGTAGAGACTGGCTCAGGGCAGCGTAGAGGCAAGCCTCACGGGGTGGGAGAAGGCAGCGAGAAATGATAAGGAATTTATACTGTATTTGAAAATTGATAAAATCTAATTATTTTAAATTCATGAAAATTAAGCTACATGGTGCATTTTAAATATTTTATTGTATTTTTTTTTACTTTAGACCTAACACTAATATTTTTAAAATCTATGTATTTGAATATTAAAAAAAATGTATTTGGAATATTTTATAACCATTTTACTTCAAATTAATCCCCTTCAAAAAAAGGAACCCCTACAACAACCATCTTAATTTTTGGGTCCAAAGTCCAAACCCGACATCATATTGGGTCAACCGATTAGGTTTGGTTAGGTTTGCGTTGGTTTGGTTGGCCCACCCATGCTTTGGTCTATTCATAAAACATAGGCAATAGCCAATAGTAATTTAATATGCCAATCTGTCGCCAACTCTGTCCGAATGTGACATATTCAACGGTAATATTCTGTTCACCACAACCCCGATCATGTACGTAATTCCAAAAATACCCCTTATCTTTATAACAATGAAAAGTGTATGTTAGAGCTTCTTCAGATAAATAAATAACCATAAAATTTAATTAATGTTGTATGATAGTTTACCAAAATTCTAAAACATATTTTATGTAAAGGTTTACTACATTTTTTTTTTAAGTTTTTATACTCTTTTTTTTTTTCTAAAAAGATATTTAATCATGGTTTAAATTTATTTGAAATGTCAATAATAAGGAATATTTTTTATTGATAAAATTCAGAAGTTAATAGTAACACATCATCATGAATTGATTTGATCATATATGAATCTAGTTGTATATTTGAATTAAAAATTTTTCCGAATTAAATTTAGAACCATTCAAATTTTAATTTTAGTAAACTTAAAACCAAACTGAACGTATTTAAGAGACGTACTAAAGAACATTAAAAGTGATTCAATAGGAGTTTGAATGTACTATCAAATCAAGCATTTGAAGAGCAATTAGAAATTTTGATATCTTAATTGAATGACTAAATGATATTCAAATCTCATATCCTTATGGTCAAATCGAGTGCCTCGATGATATGAATCCAACGAGCTAAAGATTGTTTAAGTGTGATAGCATTAAAATACTTAAATGGTAATGGAATGATCTATGATAGAAGGAATCAATATGAGTCATCCAATGAAATGTTATGAATTTTGTTATATTTGTGAAGCATGTCACTCATAAGAAAATGTATATATGTTTCCCACTCTCTACATGAAAAAGGGGCTTTGGGGTTGAGGCACTTGACTTCAAATTCAAGAGAGCTCAAAGGCTTGAAGAATGTTAAAGCTCCACTCGAGCACCGCTAACTGACTATCACTTGACTGTCGTTGTCGGATCTCCACCCATCGCCTCCATCATACAACAACCCGATTGCCGCCGTCGAACCACAACTCGACTTCCACCATCAACTTCTAAACACTCTTACCAAACTAAAATCATGCAACCTTCATCGCTCCACAACTATCCTCCAATCAACGTAGCCCAATATGATCTCTTGACCACCATTGTCCAACTACGATTCTCTAGAAAATGTCGCCGATTGCAATCTTCTGACCATCGTTACACAACTATCCTCCAACCATTATAGCTCAATATGATCTCCTGACCACCATTGTCCAATTACGGTCATGTAAAAACTGTCGCTCGATTGCTATCTTCTGACCATCATCACACGAATACGATCTTAGAACTATAATCACCCTCCTACTGCCCTCCAACCACCATCGTCATGTTGCAATCCATCTATCACAGAACTAAACAATAATTGTTTGACCTCTATCACCTAACTATGATCCTATAGCCACCATCACATAATTACAATCATCTAACCATCATCTTCCTCCAATGGTTCTTTGATCGCTATCGTCCGACTAATCATTTGACTGCCATCATCCAATAATGATCTTCTAATCACCATAACTTGACTACGGTCTTTCGTTCTTTGTCAACTAACACTGATTCTCTTACCTACTAAAGACTATTATTGCCTAAACAACGGTCCTCCAACCTCCCTGGACAAAGTATAAATAACAAAAAAAAATATTCAATTGATAAATATTTAATTTTTACTTAAAACAACAATCTTAAAGATTATTTTCAACCAAATATTAAAAACAGTATTATTATTATTATTTAAAATAAATTGTAAATGTCTTAAACGCGAAGCAATTGATTATTTTGTTTCCTCATAAACTGCATACCTTCACGTCCCATTGTGCCAATATTTCCGCTTCATTTCCCATCCTATCTTTCTTCTTCTTCTTCTTCTTCAAATATCCTCTCCCCTCCCACTCTCTCCTTAATCCAGTCTACGCAATGCCCACGACGAAGCCCCTAGTCAAACCCTTCCTCTTCCTCCTCTGTCTCTCCCTCCTCTTCCTCCTTTCGCTCCTCCTTTCCCGCTCACCCCTAAACCCAAACCTCACCCGCCAAGTCCTTCTATCTTCTTCATCTTCCTCCCTCCTCAAGATCCGCCCTGGCTTCCGGTCCTACGACGACTACCTCAAACTACAGCTAAACAAAACTCTCAACCCTCGCCTCCGCCGCGTCTGGGCTACCCGCGACTGGAACCGTAAGATCTCCGTCTTCTCTCGCTTCTTCGCCGAGCTTCGTCAATCAGGCTTTCTATCGGACACCTCGCGCGCGCTCTGCGTTGGAGCTCGGATGGGCCAGGAAGTTGCGGCGCTAAAATCAGTGGGTGTCGCCGACTCGATCGGAATGGATCTGGTACCATCGCCGCCACTGGTTGTACAAGGAGATTTCCATTCCCAGCCATTCGCCAATTCTTCCTTCGACTTCGAGTTTTCCAACGTCTTCGACCACGCGCTTTACCCAGAACGATTTTCCAGAGAGATTGAACGGACTCTCCGCCCCGGCGGCGTCTGCGTCCTCCACGTCGCCGTTGCCCGCCGAGGCGATCGGTACTCCGCCAACGATCTCTACGGTATTGAGGGCGTCACCTCTCTGTTTAAAGATTCCGATCTCGTTCGTGTAAGGAAGGTCGATGGCTTCGGCCTTGACACGGAGCTTGTTCTGCGGAAGAAGAATCGTAGCAGGTGATCCGATATCCCTCCATTACCTTTCCTTCCTCCCAACCCTTCTCTCTCTCTCTCTCGCCCCCTGCGTCCTTCCCGAGCTTATCGTTATCGTCCACGTGTCACCATTGCCGGCCTTTTCTATATTTTCTTTTAAAATTTTAAAAGAAATGGGTAGCAAATATTTGAGCCAAATAAAAAATAATGGCAAAAATTTAGTTAGGATTAATTTAATAATTTAGAGATGAATAATAAATAAATTTTAATATATTATTTTTTATTTTATTCATCTCAGAACTAATACTAAAATTATTAAATTCATCTTAACTCAATTAATTTTTCTTAAAAAATAGTCTAATGAGTTATATGGAGAAGGGAGAAAAAGCTTAAATTTTATGTTATCATTAAAACGTAAATTTTTTATTTATTCTAAAAAAGAATTTGTTTTTCCTCAAATTTTGATTAAATAATTTCTTGCATTTATGCTAAAGTGGACTTTCTTGCTTTGTACAGCTCATTGGGTTGTATTTTTTCGTCTTTTCTTATTTTTTTATAGTGTAATTTAGAATTTTTCGAAGCATTATAAATTTATTAGAATTTTTATATCAATTTGTATTAAAGAAATATTATTTAATTAATTCATGTTGTTCATTTTTTATTCGGTTGGTGAAGATTTATTATTTTTGAAATTTATTGATGTGATGTGTTTGCTGTATATAAATCTGCTAATTTTTATTTTATTTATAATTTAAAATATAAAAAAATTTATTAAACAATTTAAAATTAAGTGAAGGGTATTTAAGTAAAAGCATGCGGATTATTTCTTTGGAACCTTTTGTAAATTTCTACTTTTGCCATGCTCTGCAAGGAATCATTCCATATGAGCTTTTGTCCTTATGAGCTGGCTACTGGTCAATACCTTTTACAACACTTTACTAAAGATTAAAATCATTTCTAATTTTTAAAAGTCTCATTTTAATCTTTTAATTTTTAAATAGAAAATAAATGACTAATTTTGTCATCAAATTAATTCTTTTAGATAGTTAGATATTATTTTTATCATTAAAAAAAAAAGTTAAGGAGACCAATTCAATCTTTTTTACTTTTATTTTTTAATAATTGAAAATTTATGAGATTTAATCTTAGTGTAAAAAATTAAGTTATGACTCATTTATAGATTTGAATTGAAATTTGATTATTATGTAAATAATGTCAAGATAAAGATATATTCAAGATATAAATTAATTTAAATGAATCTATAATTTTAATTTTATTTTGAAATGAAATAAAGATATATTCGAGAGCTTTAAATTTATTCAAACTAAAAATTTGGTTTATGATTTTTTTTCCTTCATCTAACAAAGCTTAACAACTAGATTAAGCAACCGAATTAGTTAATTAATCCTATGGCAGTTCAGCCTAATCTCTCCCTCATCATCCTCTTTGACATCAAGCAAGCCCATCTTGACAAGAGCTTGTTGGAAATCAAATGAAAATAAGGCCCGGTCCATGCTGTACAGATTGACCAGGCCTCGGATCATTGGGCTGTTAAAGAGGGCCTGGTCGGAGAACAGAAGCCCAGCTCCTCTTTGAATGGTGTTGAAGTAATTATTGTCGAAAATGTTGGGAGAGGCATCAAAGGCCACCGCCGTATTGTCACCCGCCAGGCATTTCTGTGAGAGGAATTTGGCGAAGCTGGGGTCCAAACTCGGGTCCTGTTGGTGGGTGGGGTCGAATTGGCTGAGGCGGTTCTTGAAAGATGAGCACCTTGCTACTCCAAGAGTGTGACCACCTGCACAGTGACAAAACACGACTCCCATAAAGCTGCAGAGTTATAATTTCGACATCATTAAGGTGCTCAAATGCTAAAAAATAATATGCAATCAAGGGGATTAATATGAACCGTCCGATAAAGTATTCAAATTTTAGCTTTATTTATAACCATCACTCTAAAACACAATAAATAGATCATCACTCTTCTTTTGCATGAGGGGGGAGGACTTGAGAGGAAGCTTGATAGTGGACATTTGCTTAAGAGCTCCACATCAAACCACAACTATCAAACTACTAGTGATAAACCATCACAAATGGACCACGGCCATTGGACCACTTCCATTGAACCTTTACCATCGAATCATTGTAGGTTGACCACCACAATCGATAAGTGCGACTAACCACAACTAGTAAACCTTAGCTATTGGACTACCGCCTTTGGACCTTCACTCTTTAACAACAACTAATTATGACCCTCTGACCACCATCACACAACTACGATCTTCGACCTCATCGTTCAATTATGGTCCTCTGACTACCATCACTTCACTATGATCTTTTGATCATCATCACTTAACTATGGTCTTTTGAATACCTTTGCCTAAATTATGTTATCTCAATCACCATGTGCTAACTATAATCCTCAAACCACCATCGTTCAATTATAATTTCTAGACAACCGTCGTCCGATAATGACCTTCCAACCACAATCAATTGAATGCACTTTCTCAGTCATCATTGTATTACTATGGTTCTCTAACCATCATTGCTCCACCGATGTCATCTAATTACGATCCTCGAAAAATCGTCATTCAACTATAGTTTTACGATCACCATCATCCAATTACAATCATCTAACTACCACCACTTAACTATAGCTCCTTGACCACCATCATCTAACTACTCTTCTCCAACCACCTTTACCTGACTAAAATTCTCTGAGCACCATAAACTAACTACGATCTTCGGACCACCATTACCCCACTATAACCCTCCAACCATCACCATTTTGCTACAATCCTCCCGGTGCCGTCGAACAACTACAAATGATTGATTTAGAAAATCTAATGAATGAATTCCATAATATATTTTCTATAAAATTGAATATATTGCTTATTATCTAATGGTCGTGTGAATCTAATTATGAAAAATAAGAATACCATTGCGGAATGTCTGGTTATTGTAATTATCATATGTTCTTAAGATGATGAATGCAACCTAAATACTAAACAATTAAAAAAAAAAAAAACATAATAGAAATGTGGGTTGCTATATAGCCGAAATGAATGTCTTAAAAAAAAAAAAAGTGGTTGCTATATATAGTGTGATACGTTTCAAACATAAACAAATTATTATAATTAATGAAAAGTGATTACAAAAATATTTAAAGTTCGTTTGGGATGGCTTTTTTAATGCTTTAATAAAATTACTTTTTTAGTAACAAAAATCTCTAAAATCAAAGAAAAAATAACGGCATAAAATTGTCCCAAACGAAACCTAAATCTCTGACCTGTATCCTCACTCCAATTCAAGCATAAATTTCATCTTTATGGAACCGATTACTTTCAAAGAAATATGGTTATCAGAAATATAATAATATAGTTACTTGTATGAATCAAGTTACTGAAATTGTAAAAAATCCGGTTACTCAAATGTTTGCTCCGATTAACACCGTAAACCCTAAATCAAAGGCGATACAATGGCGGGCGATGGCATTGACAACGAAGGAGAGGAGGAGGTCGCCATGATGGATCAAAGAAAAAAATCACAACACCCTTGCAATGTGTTTCAAATGAAAACGGCGACAATCGGATGGAGAGCCGGATATAGAAGTCGGTTAAAAGAGAGGACAATAACTCAAGGAGTGGCAGAACCATAATTTCAAATGAGAGAAGGCGCGAAAAGTTAGCATAAATTGAAAGGGTGAAACTTGTGTCTCCTTCAACCTCTCTCTCATTCCACTACTAAACTAGAGCTTATTGAGAAGCTTATTGAGAAGCAGATTAAAAGAAATTTCAAAGAAATTAAGAACATTAAAGCTTGCCAGATAGAACCACCATCTCCTGTGCACTGAACCCATGTTGGCCAAATATTCTAATAAGAGATGAAGCATTAAAGCTTGGCTGAGGCAAGTTTATGGTATCTTCAATTCTGGACCTTCTTCCATCCTTCCTTCCGGTTGGTATATCATATGCAGGTCCTCCAGCCTTATACAAAAACAAAAACAAAAAAACTGTAAAAATTAAGATAATCATTTGATGATAATTTATAATCAAAATTCATCATACAAAAAAGACTGAATCTCTTGCTGCCATGGCAAGTATATCTGCACAAGAGACCATTCCTGGGCACCAATCTTCAAGCAAATTCTTCGCATCGTCGATGATCTCGAAGCCTCTCAAGCTCAAATTGGCTGGAGAATCCTTCTCAGCAGTATTATCCTTTGTGGAATCAATCAGAACTGATCCATCACAACCCTTCACCAAAAAAAGAAGAAAATTTAGCTGATTCTCATAAAATTTTATATCAGAAGTAGAAGAGAAATGGAAATTACAGACCTGAATGAAACAATCATGAAAATGCATTCTTAGAAGACCAGCAGCTAAGGTTGGATCCTTATTTAGAGCTTGAAAGACTGTGTTCATAACCATGGATTCAGCAGAAGGACAGCTGAAAGCATAGTAATCCATGGACAAGCCATTGCTCCAAGAAATTGCCTGAAGAATTAGAAGAAACAGAGCTGTGATGTACCAATCACAAATCATTTCTGGTTTGCTAACTGGGATGAATATAAGATTGATTATTATGAATTTATGTGGAGGTGAAAGATCTACTCTTTGTTGCAGAGCTCAAAAATAATGAGGAGCTTGATTTGTATATATATATATACTAATAGTCCATAATTTTTTCTTTAAGAAAATGACCGGGTATTATGGGTTTTTTTTATTTAAAAATTGTAGGCAATAACTTTTTATCGCACTTCTTATTGTGGGTCTAATGATGGAAATTTTTATAAAATAATTAAAAAAAATTAATAAAAGAAAATTATGATAATGATCTATAAAATAAAGCAATGAAATAAATATTTAAGCTTTAATTAGAAATTCAGAGAGATTTGACTCAAAATATCCAATTCAATCCCCTATCATTAAAATCCAATCCAAAATAATATTTAGTTTTTCAAATCTGACCTAAAATAATTTAAACATTAAATTGAATACATTTATAATAAAAAAATAAAGTAATCACATATAAATAATCCAAAAATAATTTTGATTTTTTTTTCTAATTATTATAATTGACTTAGATGGTTTGGTCACATAAAACGGCGGTCTTCCAATGACCCAGTTAGGAGAGTAGAGGTATTAGATTTGACTTATGTTAAGAAAGGTAGAGGCAAACCTAAAAAGACTTGATTAGAAAATATTAGGAATGATCTTTCTTTATTAGATTTAAACGAGATTTTGACCTTTAATAGGACACAATGGAGAAAAAAGATTCATGTAGCAGACCCCACGTAGTGGGATAAAGGCCCGATGCTGTTGTTGTTGTATTATAATTGACTTAGAGAAAAGATAGCCATCAAACAGTAGCACAGGCCAAGATAATAAATGGAGAATCTTTGTTAAAGGACACAAATGCTGTTAGTGATGAAATAACTTTAATAAAGAATGGCTGTTACTGTAAATTTAAGTCAAGATAGAAGTGGGGAGGGATCATTGCAAGCAGCTGTTTCCCATTTTGTAGAGTGAGTGCACCATCCCATTACCACTGTCACATTATCTCTAAAATTAAGTGGAGGAATAAAGTTGTTCCTTCATCAAATTCCATTATGATTCATGCATTAAGAAATAATAAAAGCATATTGGTTAAATGAATTTATGTTATTTGTCACATACAATATATTTGATTCATTATTGCATAAAATAATGTTATTTTGAATTATAAATTTATTATGATTTTTTTTTTTTTTTAATGTTTGGCATGCATATAAGATATATGAGTCAATTATGAATTAATCCTCTAACAATATTAGATAATCAACAACAAACAACATCATAAAGCCATTATCCCGTTACGTGGGGTCAGCTATATAAATCCTTTTTTCCATTATATTTGATTAATGCTTTGTTTGGGATGACTTTCTTACTGCTTCCTAAAACATCTTTCTAGTAAAAATAAATTTTTTTTTTTATTACAAAGCTGCTTTAAGAAGCAATAAAAAAGCCATCTCAAACAAAGTCTAAGAGTCAAATTCTCATTTAGATCTAATAAAGAAAGGTAATTTCTAAAATTTTCTAAACAAATATTTTTAAGTCTACCACTAACTTTCCTAACATATGTTAAATCTAATATATTTACTCTCCTAATTGGATCATCAGAAGGCCACCATTTTATGTGACCAAACCATCTAATAATATAAGCAAATCAAATGAAAAAAAAAAATATATATTTGATAAGCAATTTAGGCAAAACATTGAATATATGAATTTTATATAGGGCACATGTCATATATAAAATAATATAAAACAAACATGATGTGAAATGAAAATGAAGGAATACACACTTAGATTTCATTTGGAACAATTTTTTACTGTATTCAAAGACAACTTTTTAATATAAAATTAAATAGCAAAAAATATTGACAAAAATTAAACCCTAAACCTAGCATTAGATTTTGTTTGAGATGTCTTTCTTACTACTTAAAACAACTTTTTAATACAAAAAATTTAATTTTTTAAACTAAAAGCTGCTTTAAGTAGTAACAAAACCGTCCCAAACGAAACCTTAGATTTTGATGGGGACGGCTTTCTTATTGTTTCTTAAAGCAGCTTCCTAGTACAAAAATTAAAATATTTATACTAAAAAATTTCTTTAAAAAACAGTAAGAAATCCCAAATGAAGCTTTAGGCTTCGTTTGGGACGGCTTTTTTATTGATTTCTAAAACGAAGTTTTAGTACAAACTTTTTAATTTTGTAATAAAACTCTATTTTAGAAAGCAATAAAAAAGCCGTCCCAAACGAAGCCTTAATCTCTTAAAGAACCCAATGCATAAGGGGACAAGTAAAGAAATGAAGATAACTTGGGCTCACTAGACTAAAAAATAGGATCAAACAACCAGTACTACTCTTCAAGATCCAGATAATCATTGAGTTGTGATTATCTCAACAATGGTCAAAGCAGTTCAAGATCAAATAGTTCAAAATCATAACAGAAATTATAAAACAAATGTTAAAAGAAGAATGCATTCAGAAAAGGCACAATTAGAACGCCCAGCCAAAGTAATTAAGTGATTAAATATCCATAATAACACTGAATATAACATTTTAATTAAGTGAAAGATTCAGACAACAACGGAAACAAAACAAGCATAAAATTCTGGGACCTGATTAATAAGTGAAGCAACAGATTCCAGCAAGAACTGAAACAAACAAAAAGTCTGAATTCTGGACCCTAATTAGCAAAGTTACACTGACAGTAACAGAAACAAAGTCTAAATTCTGGTACTAAATTAACAAAGTGAATATAATCTAATGGACAAGTTTTGCATTAGAAATTGTTTCCTTCTTTCTTTTTTTTGTGATTCTAATTCGGAAGGATTAACCTAGTACGAGAAGCTTTTAGCTTGAATCTTCTTGTATTCCTGTCATGCCCTGGCCCTCTTGTTGCTGCAGGCAGGGCATTTATACTGCTTAATATGCTCAGCCCTGGCTGGTGTGATCTTCACACACTTACCATGAAACCAACGCTCGCAAACATCGCAACAAATCCAGAACTCGTCACTTGCGTAGTTATCACCACAGGCACCACAAAGAGTGTTTCCATGTTCATCTTCATCTTCTTCTTCATCATCGTCTTCTCCACTTTCATCAAAATCTTTCTGAGGTGCCCTTGACACTTCTGTTTGGAGCTGAGACTGGAAGCAGGTTACAAAGGGAAGGGAGATAGATAAAGGGTTTGTTTGGGACGGTTTTTTGCACTGCTTCTTCTTAAAGCAGCTTTTAAATATAAAAATTTAAATTTTTGTACTAAAAAATTGTTTAAAGAAGCAGTAAGAAAGAAGCCAAAAAATGTTGCTGCAAATAAACAAAACATACCTTTGAGCTTGATTTATTGCTCTTGCTGCTGCTGTTGGGAGTTTTCTCTTTAGATTGCTTCTTGACTGTTCCAGTCACAACCTCGTAGATGGTTGGGAGATTGTTGATCATAGTGAACAGCCGCTTCCTGCCAAAAGAGAAACAGAAGCCCGGCATATCTTATTCGAGACTTCTAAATCCTAGGATTTCTATTATAATTATTATTTTTTAAGTCCTAGGATTTCTAATATATACCTATGATAAGATGCACAAAATTTTGAACATGCAAAGAAAACATTGTAGGTCCCAACTCTTAATTTTAACAATTATTCCTTGCGTAACTATGAAAATAGAAGTAACGATAAATTCAACCTAAATGAAAGCTTAATAGTTTTACCTGAAACATCACATAGGAATTTCAAACCACAGAAAATTCTCACAATTTGTTGAAGATCATGCACTCATAAAACTAAAAAAGAATCCAACTTGAATAAAATCAATCACGTATACAAGCCAATAACAACATTTTAAAGAGAAGAAATAAAGTAGAAAGAGAAAAGTAACCATATCAAACTTCTAGCTCATTCAAGGAGACCTCTTCTAGGAGGAATAGTACATTGAACCAAAGGTTTATGTAAATTTCCCTAAAATATATATATATATAAAGAAAAAAAAGCAATAAGAGACAAAGGAGCAACAAGGTAGACATTCTAAGGAAGTTGATCCATTCCACATCAATTATGCTCGGACTCTAACAAATTGTATAGTTGATACACTTCAAATAGATTTGGTTGTAACTCTTTAAATCCTTGTAGAAATATTCATAAATTATCACATGAAATTCTATTCTACACAAAATATTAACACATCATCAATAATGGACAAAATATTATCTCTAATAATAGCTTTAAGAATAAGGACCATAAGATGGATTCAACAATACGCATGTGATATGTTGGATGTGAAATTTGGAGGTAGAAAAAAATCCAATACATTAATTGGCAGTTTGAGTTCTACCATATACATTAAATATTGAATAGTACTAAGTTTTAAAGATTTTTAACATATAAACACTCATCCCAATTCAACTTACGATTTATATGACCACATTTTTCTAACTAATAATTTCTTAAAGACTACCGAAAACCTGGCAGAATTAAGACAAAACATTACGTTGTCAACTAGTTTGAATTACATCTACTTTTGGTTCACAGCTTCAATAAACTCATAATTATAGCGGTTAACAACAATAAGCTTCCTGTGAATATTTTCATACACATCACATATATGACCAATTAATGAAGTAATGTAATATGATACGTCATACACGTAATGATGATTCCAAGTAAAAATAGAAAATTGGAGAGTAGAAAAAGGAAAAAGCTGCTCATTTTCACTTCTATATTGTTTGAACAAGGAGTGGTTCTATATATATAGGCTTTTTCATAGGTCTTTTATAAGGAAAATAATCAAAGCAATTTTTAGAATATAAGAAAGAGGAAAGAAACATAAAATGGCAGCAGCATGATCCCACAAAAAAGCTGCAAATCCATGTATTCTAGGACTTCAATACTTGTGCCTTGGATAGCACAATCTGACTAGATGCAAGGAGGATTTAGCACAGGATATAGGGGGGAAGATTGAAGCTTGTGGGGTCCACAACAGGAACCCAAAATTCTGAACATTAGAAGCCTCCTAAACCTCTTAGCTGATGGGGCATTCGACAATCTCGCTTGAGTTGGTATGAAGATATCATTCACAGAAAGCACTACAGATTAGAGAGTCCTTGGTGAGAATATTAACGATTTGATTTATTCTAGGTATGCAGGCCATACATATCATCAATTCTTTCTAAGATTAAGTGTTTGTCAACCTCCATATACCTAGTTGTGTTGTATATAACAAGATTATGTGCTATAACAATTGTTGATTTATTGTCAAATTAGACTTTGATAGATTATGGGGTATGAACCTTTAATTTTTCTAGAAGTCCTTTTACCCATAACAATTCACAAAACTCAAGTGCAATGGATCGAAATTTGGCTTCAAAACTTTGTTTACTGTATCTCTAAGAAATCAAGTTATCTCCTTAAAAGCATATAATTCATATGTAAATCTTTTATCATTGATCTATCCTACCCATTCTTCATATTTATAGGTCTTTATCTACAGATGGCTTTTATTTTGGAACAAGGAACATTTACTTGAAACCCCTTTTAGATATCTCAATATATAGGACATGTATATGAAGTGGATCGGCATACGATACTGCATAAATTGGCTCACCATACTTATGGCATAAACTATGTCTGATCAAGTTTTGGCTATGCAGATTAGTCTCCCCACTAATCTTTTAACAGTATTCGCTATCTACCGCTTCATGTTCAATGGTTGGTTTTAATTTTAATTCGGGCTCGATTGAAGCTTTTGCAGCTTTACAACCAGTCATCCATGCTTCTTTGAGTGGGTCAATAATATATTTGCATTGTTTGATGAAAATACCTCCTTGGATAGGGAAAACTCCATGATCAGAAAGATTTAAACTTTGCTAAATCCTTCATATTAAATTCAACCTCAGTACTTTTTTTTTATGTCATTAACATAAACAATAAGGATGGATATCTTACTTTAGTAAAATGCTTGCTAAATAAGATATGATTGGCTAGACTTTGTTGGAAAGCATACCACCGAGCAATATTACCAAAATTTCAAGCCATGTTCTAGGAGAGTGTTTTAGCCCATACAGAATTATCTTTAACTTGCATACTTCATCCTTCCCTAAATTGCCTTCAAATTTTAAAACTCTTGAAGACATTTTATTAATTAGATAACGAGCAGTCAATAAAACATTGTCTCAAATCTAATTTGGAATATCCATTTAAAATATATTGACAGGAGCAACTTCTAATAAGTGTTTATTATTTCTTTGGGCTATGATATTTTATTGTGGTGTCTCACGTTAAGTTGATTGGTAAATAACTCCCTTCTCCGATAGAAATCATCCTAAATTTTGGCTAAAATATTAAATTCCATCGATAGTTTTAAAAATGCTAATTTTAGCTTGAAATTGATTTTCAATAATAACAAAAAATTCGTTAAATTGCTCAACCCCATATCTTTAATTCAACAAATAAGCCTCTAACATAATCTAGCTTGGTCATCAATAAAAGTTATGAACCATTTTTATTTTTATATAGTACTTTTACCTTAAAAGGGCACTAAATATCAATATGAAACAAATAAAATGATGTTGAGGCAAAGTAAGATTTTATTGAAAAAGACATAATCTTTAAGTGTAAACTTCACAATGAAGTTTAGACCAATCAATTCATTTTAATAATTTCAAAAATAAATATTTGAGATAAGGAAAACTAAGGTGTACTATTCTCTTATGTCATAATATAGCTTGATCAAAGTTAAACTGCCACCTAATCCATGAGCAATTTTGTTCCACAAAGGCTTCTCATCAAAGTAGTATATTCCATTTCTTTCTCATACAGTTCCAACCACTTATCTTGAAAAAATAAAGATGGAAGGAAGAAAAAATATTGAATAATCAAAATTTTTAGAGAGTTTACTAACAAAAGAAATATTTCAATCAAATTTGGACACATGTAAAATATTATTTGGAGTAATATTTTTTGAGATTTTAATACATTTTTCCAGCAATGAAAAAAACTCTCATCATCAATTCTCTTTTTTTTTTTTTAAATCAGGACATGGATAACAAGAACTGAAAAAATGAGTGCCACCAATCATACAGTTATAAGCCCTTGTAACACCGACAGGTTCAACATCTGGATTAAACTTTTCTGACCCGATTGGAAAAAGCCGCAAGAAGAGGATTTTTTAGCCGCTTCGGGTCATTTTCAGCCATCTTCCCAGTTCAGAAAGTTTTTCGGATCGAGGTAGGTTGTTAGGGATGATAAGGAGTAAACATCACAACAACAAAATACAAATGAAAGTAAAAGCAACAAAAACATAAGGAAACCAAGATTTAACGTGAAAAACTCCCAAAATAGGGAAAAAATCACGGAGTCACACCACACCAAGAAATCCACAATAAAAATTAGGAGAAATAAGTATAGATCTCTCTTCTCTCTTACTCTCTCCTTGCTTCTCTTCTCACATGCACCGTTTTCAATGTCTATACACTCATTATACAAGAGAAAACCAAGTAAAATAACCACAGGGGATGCAACCCTTCAGAAAAAACAAGAAAAAAAAATTGTCCAGTCCATCTCACAGCGTTGTGGCGCCAGTTTGGGGCGTCGTGACGCTCAAACCTCTGTCTTGATCCATTGAGGCGCCATATTTATATCGTTGTGGCGCTTTGCTCTCTGTCAGTCAGCGCTAGAATGCTCGGGAACATAGCATCGGGGAGCTCGGGTGCGCAGAGCTGAGGCATTGTATGGAAAAAAAAAGGGTAAACCCCTCCCCCATACCCAAACTCAAGCAGGAGGTAAAACCCCCCATACCCCCCAGTATACATTACAAGCTTTAAGGTCCGAGATAACATAATAACCAGATTGATCAACACAATCAGATTCCACATATAACATAGGTCACACAAGCAGCCTCAAACCTCTTGTGTTTTTCCTAAGTTCATTTTCTAAAAATATTACTCTCTTTTTTTCATGATCAATCAAGTTATTGATGATATGCTCTTTAAATTAACAAGTTAGTAAATTCTCAACAAAATTATTTTGGACTTATTCTGAAGTTTCATGCTTGCAAATAGTCATAATGTAGGATGTAATTGCAACCTAATAGAATCTTGAAATGAAGTTCATATAAATTTACTTGAAGCTATTATTGTTGCAAAAATAATTAATTTTCTAACACTATATAATCAAGCTCAATGTCTTAAATAGCACACTTCAAGATTATAAAATAATTAGTTGGATTAATTTGGTATGAGCAATCAGTTCACATACATATAAATCTCACCATGTATAGTAATTTGTAGTATTACGGCTAGGCTATCTTCTAGTAGAGATTAACTGATTAATCGTACATGCAAAGTATAAGATTTACCATAAATTTACAATTACCCTAATATCAACATAGATTACACCTTATTGCAATAGGGTTGAACGTCAGAAATCTATGATTACCTTGCAGCTATAACATGTTCCTCCAATTGTTGGTGGCTATGAATGTCAACAACAAGTGGCTGATGATGGGTCAAGTGTCGACGTTGGCAAACATGGCGTTGCCTGTGAGGTGAGATTGCAATGAAGGAACATGTTCCTAGTGACAGCAATTTGGGCTAGGGGAACCTAGTGAAAGGACAACGTGTACAAAAGTGACCTCTTTCTAAGCCGATTAGGAGGATATCGCAAAAGTAATGTGGCAATTAAGGAACAGGTTCCTATTGCATATTGTGGCGTACAGAAATTTTGAAAAAATGTATGTGACAGAGCGATTGCATAATATAATGTTGTAGGATTATACAGTGTATTAATAAAAAACAAAATTGATAATGAGAGTTTAGGCATAGAGGGGGGATGGATTTGCAAAAACTACACTGATTAGTGGGATCTTAAGAAGCAAGAGGGATGAATGGGTTCATGCACGAGGGTTAAGCTATGATGTCTGATTTTGATCATCTAACGCATAAGGCACACGTGGGATCACATGCAGCTTTAAGTTGCAAGAGATAAAGAAGGGGAAGGGCCAAAGGGTTAAAACACCAGCAGTTTAGTTATCACACGACGAGGGTTTGTAGTTCGTGATAGCATACGATTGGCATTAAATAATTGTGTATGGGTACCGCATGGGCAAGAAAAATTATGCTCAACTCAATGAACACAAATGAAAGATCAAGAGAAAAGATTGCTCAAAACTGGCTCTACTACCAAAACTGATAAGATTGAGAAACAGAAATACCTTGATATACATAACTTTTGATGCAACAAAAAAAAAACACACACAATTTAAGATTGCAAACTAAGAGTCTTCCTTACCATAAAAATAGACAAACACATACATAATATCATAATACTAGAATACAACAACTTACACTTTCTATTAATTAAGAGATGAAAAATACAAATGGAGCAAGAACCATGGATAGAGAAGAAGAGGTAGAAAACCAAGACGAAGTAATAAAAGGGAAGGGGAAAGGAGGCTAGCTCGCAAGCTAGAACAAACCCGCAATTTATATTCCAAAAATCATTACATATCTATGCTTCTAAAACTGCCACAAACATCCCCATTTATAGGGGAAAAATGGAAAAAATAATAATTAATACATGCAGTTAATGCGACTCTCAAACAACAAATAGGAACACCTAGAAAACTCCAGCAAATAGGGACCAAAGGGACAGCCACCAAAGGGAAACCGAAGAATCATTTCAGCTGCCAAGGGTGGGAAAAACGAAGCATCTCATGGCTATCAAAGGGGAAACCGAAAGTGCAGCTACCAGGAGGGGAAAACCTAAGCATCAAAACAACATTTAATAAACAGGGAAATCGAAATCTGTTAGGGAAACCAACAACCCACCTTTTGGGTATTAAATTCAGCATGGGGAACACCAATAGGCCGGCTCTGCCTGCATCAACTTTGATCAATCCCTATACACAACTTGGACCATAGAAGCACTCAATTGGCATTACAAATAATCAAAATTCATTCACCATCAATCAAAAATTAATTACATCATGGGTTCCTATTTATAGAAATAGGATTACAAAGAATAGGGAAAATTTTAATAGCAAATTCAATACTAACAAACATTCAAATTTGAACATAATGTCATCCAAACAAATATTAAAAAAAACAAATTAAAACAATTCAAACTAAAATGTAAGAAAATTTCTGCCATAAATAAAAATGAACTTAAAAATACTTGACAATGGGCCCAAGTTAAATCAATTATGAGATGATTTGACTCTTCATAATTGCTCTATGGCCACTTGGGCTTTTGTGGACAATTTTCTTATTTAAAGGGCAAAATGATCTATAAACAAATCATGTTCGATGACAAGATCTTCAATCTCCAAACACAATATATTAACGGCGATTAAATTTTTAAAATTGAGCATACAATTTATTTGTATAATCATTGAATGGAAAAAACATTATTATTGAAGTTTCTATTTCAAATCATGTATATTTTTTAATAATAAGTGTAACACTTTGACAAAATAATTGAGTACGTACCATTAATTTTATATTAATTATTCAATCTTTTGAGAATTAGACATTATATTTAAAAATAATCTCTAATTTATCTATCCAATTTTAAATATCTTGGATAATATGTTTGGCCAAATGTAGAAATGCAATTAGTAATCTCATAAGTAATGTTGGAACTGCTTAGAGTTTTTTAATTGATTTTATTTAAATTAAATATTTTGTTGTGCTGTTACTTTGCTAAGATATTATATTTACATCCAGAAGATGTTATTAGGCAAAACTAAGCCTGCAAAATGTCTTAAGGTTTGATGCAATCAAATAACACACAAACAAATTATAGGATTGCAAACAACTAAACGTCTTCCTTAAACATAAACCATAAAACTTATATATATTTTTTAGAAGGATACAAGTGAGGTGGGAACCAAGGATAGAGAAGAAGAGATTAGAAGACCAAGACTAATTTTAAGAGGAGAAGGGGAAAGAAGACTAGCTCGCAAGCTTTAAAAACCCCACAGATTTTTACATTCCAAACATTTTCACAAAAAAAAAAAAAAACTCTTTTTTAACTTAGGAAAACGGTCCTTATATATAGAGAAATGGCATTAAATGCAGGAAATAAAGCACCATCCATTCAGCCAATAGGAACACAGGAAAACATCAGCAAAATCCAAGGGGCAGCTGCCAAGAGAGGAATTCGAAGCAACACACAACAGCCAAGGATACAGAAAACTGTGAACAGTTGCCAGGGGGAATTCGAAGCAGCACACAGCAACACAAAAACCGAAGGGGCAGACACATAGGGAAGGAGGAAACCTGAAATCTTGCCTTTATCAATTCTCCCTTGGTGGATAAATCTCATCTCATGATGAGATAGATTCAAGACCTACAAGATGTTCTGAAGGCGTCACTCCTGTTTCCTGAATTAAAGATTCAAACTTCCTTCTGATCTTATTCTTTTCTTGTTCAAACTCGAAATGAAGTTGGCGCTTCTTAACTTCATATCTTTCAGCACACAAATTTATTTTCACCTGAATTTTGTATAGCTCATTCTGGATTGGATCTGTAGAACTTCCTTGAGACAGGATCTATCTACTTGTTAGAATTTTGTCTTCAAGAATAGTTGGCTGATTTTCGTCAACAACATATTCTATTACATCATGATTGTCCTTTTTTTAAAAATTTTTCTAAAGAAAAGAAAGGAAGACACACTAAAACCTAAGGCTCTGATACCAAATTGATGCAATCAAATAACACAAAAATAAATTATAGGATTGCAAACAAATAAATGTCTTCCTTAAACATAAACCATAAAACTTATATATATTTTTGAGAATAAGGATACAAGTGAGGCGGGAACCATGGATAGACAAGAAGAAGTTAGAAGACCAAGACGAATTTTAAGAGGAGAAGCGAAAAGGAGACTACCTCGCAACTTAAAAAAACAACAGGTTTTTACATTCCAAACATTTTCACCCAAAAAACTCTTTTTTAACTCAGGAAAACAGTCTCTATATAGAGAAAAGACATTACATGCAGCAAAAAAAAGCACCATCCATTCAGCCAATAGGAACACAGAAAAACATCAACAAAACTCAAGGGATAGCTGCCAAGAGGGGAATCCGAAGCAACACACAGCAGCCAAGGACACAGAAAACTGTGGGACATTTGCCAGGGGGAATTCGAAGCAGCACACAACAACATAGAAACCGAAGGGGCAACCGCATAGGTTAGGGTGAAACCTAAAATCATGCCTACATCAAGATCTAAGTTTCTAATGTAAATCTAAAACAAGATGCACTAAATCATGGAAGAAGCATACAAAACTTCAAAAGCCATAACTCATACGTTAACAAAATCACGCTCTCTTATAAAACTCATATGATATCTAACTTGAATAAAAATAATAATGCATGTGAACAAATAACAAGTTTAAGAAAAAAAAATTAAGAAAAAGAACAAAAAGACACCAAATCAAGAATCTCACAAGTGTAAGGAGATAACACCTCCTAAAAAAATTTTCAGTCCTAATTGATCAAGAAGAAAAAATAGAAAGAAAAGCATATCCAACTATGCAAAAATAAAATTATTTTGAACCAAAGTGGAATACCATTTCTATAAGACAAAATTCCTGTTTATTAAAAAATATCCATGAATTTCTTATAATGTTCAAAGCCATGCAAACCCATAAAAAAAGGAAAGTAATACCGCACCAAAAATCCCGCCACAAACCCGTTGTAATAGAAGTGTTTATTCCACCAGTATTGCATCTGTAATTGCAACGGCAGTCACATCCAATCACAAAATCAAGGAAGCCATTGAATTGAAAAAGTAAGAGAAAGGATCAGAGGAAAGAAGATTGGTAGGAGCCTTGTGAATCATAGGCGCAAAAGGAAAATCACGACCGAACGATTGCTAGAGAAGAATTGTAAGAACAATGGAACCTCCACAACCAAAGCAAAAATTGCATCAAATGGTAGCTGGAGAAGAATTGCAAGAACCATGGAACCTCCACTACTAAAGCAACAAAGAGGAATAAGCAGAGGAAGTGGATCTATTTTGCATCAATATCAAGCATCTATAACTTAAGGCAAACTAATGTAGGACTAGCATGTGAAAACTTGCATTATGAAATTAAACATAAGTTGAATTTAAAATCAGCAAGCTATTAATCATGATGATGCATAAATAAGATTCAAAACAAGTAAGAAAGGTAATCCACAAATGGCAATTAATCATAACCAAAGTTCTAAAATTCAATAATGATAAATCAAATCAATAACTTAGCTAACATGGGTTGGCAAAAAAAAAAGATCCAACATTTAACATAGATTAGTCACTACAAGAACCATGCACTCAATGATTTAAGAAGCAAGCAAATTTAAATTAACATGAAAATAGTGATGCCACAGAAAATTGGACTTCAAAGATATCTACTTAAGTGTATGAAGTAAGAGTAGAAAGACTTAGCTATTTGCGTCGCAGGGAAGCTTCCTTCAGACATGGTGTGGTCTCGGCCGATTGAACTTCAAAGGGTTGCTTTGCAGTGCCTTCCTTGTGTCTTGCTTCACAATGGAAAAGAAGAGATGCTGGCCAAAATTTGGAAGGAGGGAGGCCACGGTTTTTGCTATTTGGGGGAGATTAGGGATGTTGTGAGGTTAATTAGATTGGTGGGGCTTAGGAGAATGGGAGAAAGTGGGGTTGGAAAATGGAAAAGTAGTTTTGAAAAGGGGGAAAGTTAAAGTGTAATGGGTCAACTTCCCATTAATTAACATAGAGAGTTCCAAGAGAGGGACAACCATGGGAAAGGGAAGGGGTTGTGGCTTTTTAAATTCCCAACTAATTTTAAAAATGTAAAGGAGAGGAGTAACTCCTGAATTCAGAATTCCAACCAATTGGAATCCCAAAAGGTCAAATTTTCATATTTCGAAATTTTGGATTGGGGACTTGGATGAGGAGGTGGTGGTGGTGGTGGGCTTTCCATGAGCGGTGGAAGGGGAAGGGGTGGTTGGCTGAGAGAGGGAAAGATGAGAGGGCTGACCAACGGCTAGTGAGGAAGGAGGAAAAGGGGAAGAGATACAAGGGGGAAACCAAGAGCTCACCTTAATAGGTAGTTGGGTACTTCATTTGCCTTCTCCAAGGCTTCACCACTCTACCACACTCACTCTCACACAAGAGAATAGGGCTGAAATCAGAATTCATTCAAAATAATCATCAACCAAGTACAAGGGGGAGGGGAACCATATATATAAGCTCCACCATATGACAAGATAAAATACACAAACGCCCTTGGTCTTACAACATAACATTTCCCTCAAGTGAGGGGAAAAAAAAGAAGAAGAAAAGTTCACAAATTAAATTAAATCACATACAACACACACAACAACTAATAATATAACGACTCAATCGTGATCGTCGATCTCCAGCCCCTTCTATGATAAACCTTCCATGCCTTGATTTCCCCTTCACAAACACTCCTAACATTCATTATATATATATATATATTCCTTTATTTTTTACATAATTCCCTCCCTCCCTCTATGATATTGCCAAATATCCTAAAGCCATCCAATCTAGTGCTTTGCAGGCATTTTCTTTTTGTATTCAATTAGTACATAAAAAGTACCATAATTACTTCTCATACAAAGAAAGTAAATTTCAAAATTAAATACCAAAACAAGCACACAAGAGAAACAAAGAATGTAAGGAAACATGGTATCATTATTAAGTTAATGTGGAAGCACCTAATGACATAGATGAAATAATTTGAACACCAATTCCATGGCAGTAATTGTTTAGGGAAGAGGTTAAGGTCCAGGGTATTCGTTTAAAAATTTCTATCTTCCAAATATAGTATAATCCATTAAAGAACTAGATTGTACCAAAATATTAATTCATTGCAAACTTCATTGTCAAGACATAAATGACTAGCTACTAAAATTATTATTTTCAAATGCACAATGATATATGGAGCTCAAATAACAATGGAAAAAACACCATCCAATCTGCATATCATTCAAAACAAAACATAATTAATGTTTCCTTAATCGAAAGTACATTCTGCCTCAAAAATATAAATATTAACAAAAATTCATACAAAGTGGTCCAATAGAGTTTTATGCAAGTTAACTATAGTAATCATTCTAACATGACAATTACTAAATTCTTGAGAAAAGAATCAAAATGATCCATTGACTCTTTATGAAAGATCAAAATAGCCTTCAACTATTTTAAAGGACCATTTTGATCCCTCAAATCCTTAAAGAGAAACCAAAATAATCTTACTATAAGACTATTTTGATTCCTTTTAAAAACTTTAGCGATCAAAATAACTATTTAATATAGTTGGGAATCATTTTAGTACTTCATAAAGAGTCAATGGACCATTTTAGTCATTTTAACCTAAATTCTCATATCAGTGGACAATTCATGATTTTAGCATATTCATGTGTACAAAATTAGTCCATCAAACCCATCAAATCACATTTTACAATAGTCTCACAAAAACATTCAGTAAAAGAAAATTACTATTGCTTTCTTCTGATCAAAGAATAAAATAATTTCTTTTAATTTTCAGATACAAATATAGACTTTCTTGATTTACCACTAAAAAAAGTTGCAGAAGTAAAAGTTCATTTGCAAAATAACTCAAAAATTTTGAACATTATTAATCTTAAACTTTATAACAGAAATAGTGGTATCTCAAATTATAGTTTCTCTATAATTTAAAACATATCTCTTCTCATCAACCTAGGAATTGTATATCTAGAAAAGCATAAATATTTTCCCTTTGTGATGCAACACCAAGATAAAGCCCAATAACAAGATCACAAATTAAGGTCAATCATCAAAATTAGGGCCAGCCATCATGCAAAACTCTCAATACAAGCCCATGAACATCCCATAATACTTTTAAATTCATGGAGGAATGATTTCTAAGCTTAATTTAAGGCATCTTAATGGGTAGGTGGTTCATACAAGACCAAAAGTAAAATATCTTCATAAATTGATGGATTTCAAAACAACTCTGTTTGCCATTCGAATTTTCATGTCTTTAAAAGCTTTTAATTTTAGTTATTTTATTTTCTTTCTTTTTAGTATTAGGGCATGTCATCAATCCATATAATAGTATTTTATTGGTTCCTAAAGCTTTTCAAAGTTGTCTAGGCTTGGAAAAAGCCTATAAATAGGACCTTGCTTTGTACTTTTGAGTCATTGAATAAAAATTATTTTTATTTGTGCATATTTCATTTGAAAAAGCTTGGTGGTTTCTCTACTCATTGGTAAAGCTTAGTGGATGATCATCTAGGGCTTTGATGTGTCATTAGTTATCTCTTATTACTGTTTTTCCACCTCTTTTCTTACACAATATTCATCTCCTCTAATTAGTCTCAAACTTAGTCTAACTCAACCCCCAAACGTATCCAAACTCTTCAAAACTCTCCTAAATAGCCCCACGCATCTCTCATAACCTTCCAAGGCCTCAAGTCCCTAAGAACCCTAATATATCCTAGCCAAAGTTCCAATATACAGAGGCTATTTAAAAAAAATTTAAAAAAAATATATAGAGAGACAATTTCCTATTGTGAGCAACTAGACTAAAAGTTTCATAACTTCTCAACAACGGATCAAAAATCCATAAAAACAGCATCATTAGTTCTCTAACATCCCAAACCTTTGATCTAGAGTTTCTCATTATTTTTTTTCCAACAAAACTCCATTTTTTTTAGCTTAGAAGTTTCAAATTCAAATCTGTCCAAAAACCTGAATTTCAACTTCACCACACAAATAACCATTCAATCACCACCCTAAGAGGACACCAATCAAGTTGCTTCATTCACCATCAAATTCCCATTGATGACACTAAATCATTTTTAAATCATTCTCCCATAAATTTAAAAGTACTATGAGATGTTCATGGGCTTGCATGGAGAATTTTGCATGATAACTAGCCAAAATTTTGATGATTGACCTTAATTTGTGATCTTGTCATTGGCATTTATCTTCATGTTGCATCACTTTGCCTCGCCATTTTTTATTTCAATTTTCAACTTGACATTTCTTTGAATTTGACAGCGTACTTGCATTGAAGTGACATTTCATATATCTTGAAGGATTTATCTAAACCAGATTGCCTCTAGGGTACTTTTGCGGATAGTTTGCATATATTTTAAGTATATATATATAACAATGAACTTTACCATTTCATATATCTTTAAGGAGAATGTAGTCAAGCAGGTTCAGCTATCTTTGATAGTTTTGAAAGTTTGTGCTATATTTGGTAATCTTACCGGGAACCAATCATACCATTTTGCACTTAGATACAACAACAACAATGACAAAGACGACAATGAGCCTTTATCCCACTACGGGGGGTCGGCTACATGAATCCTTTTTCTCCATTGTGTCCTGTTAAGAGTCAAATTCTCATCTAAATCTAACAAAGAAAGGTCATTTCTAATATTTTTTAACCAAGTCTTTTTAGGTCTACCTCTACCTTTCTTAACATAAGTCAAATCTAATATAAGTCAAATCTAATACATCTACTTTCCTAACCAGGTCATCGGAAGGCCGCCGTTTTATGTGACCAAACCATTTAAGGTGACTCTCTCTAATCTTATCTTCCACTAAAACTAATCCAACTTTTTCACGTATATGCACATTTCGTATCTTATCTATAAGAATAAAGCCAATCATCCACCTAAGCATCCTCATCTCTGCAACACTTAACTTAATATTATGCTTCTCTTTTAATGGCCAGCATTCTGCATCATAAAGCAGAATGCATCATAAAGCATTGCAGGTCTCACTACCATCTTATAGAATTTCTCAAGTTTAAGAGGGGCTTTTATATCACACAACAAGCCATATGCATCCCTCCACTTCAACCATCCAACTTGAATTCTACTAATAATATCCCCATCTATTTCACCATCACTCTGAACAATAGACCCAAGATATCTAAAGCATGTACTCTTATTAATGACTTGATCGCCCAAAGTCACAATCCCCCCACTAGATCTATTATTACTAAAATTACACTCCATATATTCAATTTTAGATCTACTCAAACAAAAGCCTTGAGACTCTAAGGTTAACCTCCATAATTCAAGTTTACCTTCAACTCCCTCTCTAGTCTTATCAACAAGAAGAATATCATCAACAAAAAGCATACACCAGGGTACAACTTCTTGCAAATGTCTAGTGAGAACATCCATGACTAAAGCAAAAAGATATGGACTTGAGACTGATTCTTGATATAATTCAACTGAAATAAGAAAATACTTTGTCAAACCAGCTTACGTTTGAACACAAGTAACAACGCCTGCATACATATCGTTAATGACTTGAATATAAGCATTATTAATCCCTTTCTTATGTAGAACTCTCCAAAGCACTTCTCTTGAAACTTTATCATATGCTTTCTCTAAATCAATAAAAATCATATGTAGATCATTCCACCTTATTCTCTCTATACTTCTCCATCAAACCTCTCAATAAATGTATAGCTTCCATAATAGACCTAACTGACATGAATCCAAATTAATTTTGAGAAACATTAGTGTCATGCCACAACCTATGCTCTATACTCCCCCCATATTTTTAAAGTATGATGCATTAACCATTTTGCAGTTAGATAGTTCCATCCTAAATTCCTAATGCATCAAGTTGTTTATTGTCAAGTAGGGGTGTCAATAAATGACACAACCCGATAACCCAATCCAAAAAATACAGGCTCAAATTGACCCCTTTGACAAATGGGGCAGGATTGGGTCTCATTTATCAACCCATTCAAAAATCCGGTTGTGTTTGATTTGACCTTCCAACCCAAAACAACCCCGTTTTTTACGTGCAAAATCACAACCGTCCACAAAACTTTAAAGAATGCAATCGCGCACAATCGTATTTGGCATTTCTATTTCTCCCAGAGTCTCCTACTCACTCTCATTACTTTTCCAATTGCCATTACATGCAACTTCTATGTATTTCATTTTCCCATTATTCATTTCAATTTGCATCGTAGGATCACAACAGCTGCTTTGCAGTTCGTTTTGTAGCTCAACGGCTCGATACTCCTTGTCAGTTGCCTCCTCCTCCCTTCTCCATCCTCAATCGATGTCCCTCAACATACTAGTCGACAACATCACAACAGCAAGAGGTTTAGGTAAAATAGTAAATTTGTAAATCAACTCCTATCTTTCCTATATTTTGAGATGATGATTTCCTTTTGATTCCAGTTGTTGTTGGATGGATGAATTTTTTGTGTGAAAGTGAAACTCTAACTAGTCAAATCCAAGCCACCGACTCATTTTACATATTTGAACAGGTCAACAAGTCAGGTCAGGTCAGATCAAAGGGATCGAGAGTGAGTCAAGTTCAGTTTCAAGGTTTGGACTCGTTTTACTAAACAGGTTGGATTCCAATCGGGTGACACAACTCGTATCAAACCCGAACCCAACACGATGACCCATTTTGACACCATTATATCAAGCCAACAGCCAACTTAATTATTTTGAACCAATCATGACCCCACAAACTTCTTAAACTAGTGATTGAATCATTTCATAGAACTTAATAACTAATAAATTCATCTAGTCAAAACAATTCTCCTTGGAAATGCTTTTAGGAATTAGTTTCAACTACTCAATTCAAATTTAACAGTGTAGACAACATTTGCATGATGATACACACTAGCATCACTGCAATTGATAATACACGGTCATATTTTTTACATCTTTGAGGCATAAACCTAACATTGACTCTTAAGAAATGAATCTAAGATAAACTACTTATTTAGTTTATAAAATGGTAAATAGGAGAGAAGAAATATGAAAAGTTTTATGACACGGTTAGTCTCTTCAATCGCAAACTAAATTGTATTAAAAACATAATTTTGCCAAAAAATCTCATGAATAAACCAACAACGCAAACTCTTGCTAGCCCAAACCTGTTGAATATGTTTTAATTTTTAACTTGTAAGTAGGAGAATGGTGTTAGGAATTTCTGTATTGCATGTGACAATTTATGTTCTTGGCAAAACACATTTTTTGTTGAAAATTTTAAGCAGAATGATTATTTTTTTCTTTATGTAATATAAAAAGTACAGGGAAAAAGCCAGAACTTAGATAAACTACTACTCAGATAATACTGAATTCAACGTTTGCTGCTCAGTTTAGGTTGGTCCTAAGCTTTTTTTGGATAATGTTTTCTGTAGTATTTTCCTTCAAAAAAATATATGGTAACTAAAATAAGAACTGCCATGTCAGCCTCAGATTGACCACCGATAGAAGATGTCATCACTACGTTCTTTTTTGGAGGGGAAAAAAAACAATTTGCAAATTTTACATGGATTCACCACTTTATTCAAATTTTTCAGATATTGCCTTTTTTTATTACTTGGGCCAACCAAAAAATATAAAATTAACATCAAGTAAAATCGATTTTCTTGAATCCCTTTATACTCCCAAAAAGCTTGACGTATGCCACTTCATTAGACCTTCAACATAGTGCAACATCAAGTAAATTTAATAAATATTATACCCATAGAGAATAGTTGTTCGATTCCCATGATCTCTCCAAGTGAAAAGACTACTTTCATTGCAATTGAACTAGCTTCAAAGCCAAAAAGATATATGGTTAGAAATTAAGATGTTTAAACTTGACTTTCCCTATGATCCATCTATTTCTCTAAGAAAAAATTCAAGGAAGCAAGTGATCTTAAACATAAACAATATTCAGATATTCTTTGCTTAGATATCACCCACAAGTAGCAAACCAACTTAAGCCAAATTGTGATGCAAAGTAGTCAAATAGAGGTGGCTTTGAAATTAAATACATTTGCTACATGGTATTTGGTAAATTTTACTGAGAATAAAAATATAATTAGTATATGAAAAAGAAAACAGCAGATGATACGTACAGAATAATATAATTTGGTTGAATTAGGAATAAAAAAGAATAGAACCAAAATTAATATGATTAAAAGTTGCAAATTTGAGTTTATAGCTCATGTAATGCTTAATTGGAATGAATGGAAAAAGAAGAATTCATAAAGTTGATCCACAATAGTTGGAATAAGTGTAACAGTGATAAAGCCATCATCTAGCCTTACTCTATCTGTGCTATGCAACAGTGTCCAAATTTGTTATTCCAACTAGGATTTTTACAATATTTTTTTTAAAATGGATTATAATCAACAATTAACATGGGAGAAATGATAGTCATCATGAAACAAAACGCCCTAAGATAGGAAAAATTAATTTACTACTTGTCATGCTACAATAATTTCTTCGTATTTTCAATATCAAAATAAATAAAAATAGCATAACTATCCCATGTAAATTATCATATTCGCTGAGTGATATCACTAGAAGATGAAAAAAAAAACGTAATAGCTTTTGCAATAATTTTCTAGCAGAATGGCAATATGTGTCAATTGAACAAAGTAGATATCACCATAAAGTTATTATGAAGAATGGTAAGAGTGACATCCATTTAAGATAAATTAATTGAAAATAAATTTTGGCGGTTTGGATGTGAACAATAAAGTATTGAGAATGCGTCTATAAATAGATAAATAAAATTAATGCCTGACGATTAGGAAGAAGAATGGATAGGCATAAAGTGACATGAAAATGGCATGCAAAGAATAAGTTTAACATGCCAAACAACACTCAACAAAAAACGAATAAAAGAAAAAGATTCATAAATCCAAACTCAAATAGTAAGAACAATGCAAATGTTAATGAGGACCATGAAATATTGAACCAATCCGCACTTACAAAATTTCTGACATGAAAAAAGTAGATTCTTCCCGCTTAAATATGACGCTACAAACAACTATCATATAACATACTAAGAAGGATAGCAATTACTATTTGTAGACGAAAGGAACAATCCAAGAACCAAAGGGAATTTAAAAAATTAGATATATGTGCATGCCAACTTAGTCACAATGAATTATAAGAACATATTGACAAAAATTACCTAGACTCTTTGTCAAAATGAATTATAAGAACATACTAACAAAAATTACCTAGACTCTTTGTCAAATCCAAACCGAGCTCCAAAGTAGAAAGCAACAGCCAATAGCCATGAATCACTGTGAACAGCAACAAGTGACAGCCAATCCTTCTCATCCATCCCATCCCTAGCAAAGTTAATTCCTAATGCAGGTTCAGGAAGCTCAGGTGGAACTTCCTCAGCAGGTAAGGCGACTTCCCAGGTCTCATTAGGATTCCCATAAAGACACAAATTCTCCTTTTCTGACAAAAAGATAATTTCACTGTCTCAGAAGTGGCATGAACAATAGTCTAAATTTCTTAACCATGGTTTGCATAGATCACTAATAAAATGAACCCCTAAAATGTCCAGTTATACTAAAAAAAAAGAAAGCATAATCTATCCCAGGCTAAGAAAAAAGTATGAAAACTCCAACAACAGATGCACAAATTAATAAATACACATGGAAAACAAAAATTCACATGTTCAACCATAAATCAATAGAACATGCACATCAAGGAAAAAAAGGATCTAAAAGAACACGTGTTGTGGAAAAAATCAAAATTAACTGCTCCTAAATAAGACCATGAAATATAAAGTGGGCATGGCATGGATGGAGGAAAAGATATGCTTTCAATATAAGGTTCATTTATTCATTTAAATATAGAAATCATATTTTGAAAAATAACAAGTTTGTTAAATCCATCATTTGATCGGATGTATTTAGACACAACATTTATTTCAAACTCCAATAGCATTCTTAAAACTAGGTCAAAGAGATGATTTCATCTTCACATCCAATAACAAAGAAAATGAAATCATTCTTATCTAAAACATTTTCCTATTTTCAAACAACCAAATGAGCCCATAAATGAATGCTTAAAAACTTTTTGAATCGCTCAAATGAGACACAGTTCCACAAACAAAGAAGAAGATAATCAACTTAGAATAAATAGTTTTTTAATCATAAGATAGGACAAGGGAAAGGCAAGACCATTTTTAACTAGCAGAACCAAATAAATAATCATAAATACGAATCTGGCCAGGCAATGAAGCGAGATAAGCTAAAAAAAAAAAAACAGAACAATTTCTCAAATCATTCCAAAAACGCATGAAGTCCACTTTGCGAAAAAAAAAACCCAGCCGCAACCCATTAAAAACAGAAGGCCGAAAAAAAAAACCCTAAGAGCCAGAAGGTCAGGCATCGTGGAATGCAACTCACCCGGATCACAGAGCTCGTAGAACTTCTCCATATCTGCAGCAACAGAAACGAGTCAGCAAGCCAGTTCCAGATTGTCATAAACCATTGAACAAGGCAACAAATAAAACATCCAAATGCCAAAAAAATGCAGTCTTACAAGGAAATAACGATAGGAAATATGAGATAATATATAAAGATAAAGGCACCTGTAGTGAGAGCCTTGACTATGCCGGCCCGGCGGCCTCTGAAATCCCGGAAAACCTCCTCTGGCGTCCGAGGATTGTACGCCGCCCCACCCCCTTCCATCTTCCAAATGCCGCCTCCGACCCTAATGGCGGGAGGAAGCTCCAATTCGTACCTAGAACGGTCGCAGACCGAACCAAACAGAAAAAGGCGACAAGGGCAAGACAGGGCCAGAGAAAGATTAGGTATATCGAAACCGGCGGAGAAAATTAGGGTTTCCGATAGCTACTGCGCGGTTACAGCTCTAATGGAGATGGAAGGAAAACAAAAATTGAGAGTGAGAGACCGCCCATGGGTGAGCAGAGGAGGGCGAGAGAAGAAAAAATAGGTAATTCTATTCCAAATTTGTTCCATTTCTTAGCTTGATTTCCTCGGTGGTGGAGGCTACTGAGCTGGCGCTGGATCGGCCTTCTAAACTTTTTGGTCGTCAGCTCGAACAGGGTCTCACCCGCTCGGATTTGATCCGAAAAACTCGGGTCGGGTTGACTAAATGGGTGGGATTCGGTTCTGTATTTTGGACCGGTTTCATAAATCGGATCAAATTCGGGTTATAAATTTATATTTAGATAGTTTAGGATCCGGGGAAGCTTAACTAAGATTTAATTATGCTTATGGGAAACCTAGGTACTACTTAAATTTCTTAAAATCTCTGAATGGCTATGAGCAATGGCAAATTATTAGGTCCGGTCATCTGACAGATAGATAAATTCTGATTTTTCTCTGTTTATAATAAAAGCGCAGTTAAAGCGCAGCTGCTACAGTAACTACGCTTTGATTGTACTTTTACGGTAGACAGAGAAATCCGAATGTATCTCTCAGTTAGGTGACCGTACCTAATAATTTTCCATGAGCACTAGAGTCAAATTGATGAGATGAACACTTCAGAGATCATGAAGGGGCTGAGAGATATCAATCTTATTACTTGTGGTCATTGCCATCGTTGTAAATTTGTTACACATCTTATCCAAGAAGGATTAAGTTTTTTATTTTTAGATTGACATGATAAAAGTTAGTAGTGCTCTGAGTTCTCACATATAGGAAAATGAAGGCTCTGAGAGGCTAAAGCTTCATTTGGGGCGGCTTTTTTATTACTTCTTAAAGTAGTTTTTTAATACAAATTTTAAAATTTTGTACTAAAATTTTGTTTTAAAAAGCAGTAAAAAAGTTGTTACAAATCAAACTTAAGGCATCATTTGGTGATGCTTGCTTGTCTCTACGGAAGGTTAGATATATGATTTATGAGCCACTCTTTTCACATAGAAATCTTTTCATTTGAGGGCTTCATGAGATCCATAAGAGTGACTATAAGTGCTTTCCTCTCTATTTTTGACTCGGAGATAATAAAGCTTGTCTTATGGTTGAATGATGGGGCATTACGCAAGGAACCCAAGCCAAAATAAGCTCCAAACTCCAAAGTATTGTAGAATTTAATGATGTGAATAAGATTAATTATTCTGTGCGGGCGTCGAGCGCCGTCTGGAGACCAACCAGAATGCGCACGTCACCCCTTCGCTCGGTACCACATCACAGTACTACTCGATACCGCTCGGTATCACGATTCAGTACCATTGATGTAGCGCATTCTTGTTGGTCTTTGAATGTCATTCTATGTCTAGCCTCCGCACAAAATAATTTCTCAGTGAACCTATAATTTTAAACCGATATATGGTGAGGCACATCCACTCTAATAAATTATTATTATTATTATTATTATTATATAATGATTTTCTATAAAATTAAAATTTAAAAGCTATTTTGTTTATAAGCTTAAATTGCAGAGTCGTCCTTAGATATTCAAGGAACCAGGCTTAGGCCTCGACGCCTCGTGTTCCAGAATTTATGGCTCATCTACCTGCTATATTTTTGCTCCAAAAAAGTCCGGCAATTCCTCTGCTCTCCTTCTGTTCTCCTCTCTTTCCTTCTTTACCCTCTTCTTCGACCTCTTCATCATCTCCTTTGCACACTTTGAGCACATACAGGATTGGTAATGTCCGCCTTGGCGCTTTTCGTGCCAAAATTGCTGCAGGGAGTGGTAGCGTTGCTCCCACTCTACCGGAGCTTAGTGGAGGTTTGAAGGATATTTATAAATGTTGCAGCATATGGAGGTGGAAGGGCTACAGTGTTAATTTCTTCGTTAAGGGAACGGGACCACCGCTTCTTCTTGTTCATGGCTTTGGCGCGTCAATTGCCCACTGGCGTAGGTCAGGAGATGAAAAAAATCCATTTTTTGGGGCTGTTTTGTATCCTATTTTAGGCATGATTTAAGCAATATTTAGCTTAGCTAAATAGAATTTTGTGGATTCTAAATGCCATTGTCGTGGTAAATCTTGTTTTAATTCTGTTGTTGATTTGTATCATTCACGAAATTTAATAGATCTAGGGATTTGTCTTCCCAAATCTTTAGAACAAATAAACCAATAATTTATTAAGATATAGTAAAATTTAATAACTGTAATGTCAAACGGCTTTTCGGGCTTTAATCCATTCAAAATGTATTAAATTTGGATTTACAAAATTTACTAAATCTATTTCAGCTAAATCCCACTTGTAGCGAAGCAGCCCAATTGGGTTTGGTTTTTTTCTTCACGTTCATGTGTAGGTAATTTGGAGCTTTGACGCGTGCAAATGCTACTTTGAAACTTTGTCCAGTTCACTTGCTCATTTTCCTGTAAAAAAATGTTGAAATTTATTGGAGCAATGTCTGAATTCTTCATGACTGTTTGGTACTACTTATATTGATCTAATTGCTCTCACATAACCCGTGATCATTATAGAAGTTCATAGTCTTTACAGACTGTTAAAACTGTAAAAGAAAGATACAGGAAGAAATACAGTGGAGCAGAGAAGAGAACTGTAAGCTTTTTACTATTAGTACAAGTTAAGATGTCGGTGATCTGATATGTTAATTAGATAGACGGCCGTAAGAAGGGTATCAAGCCAGAGATTGAGGGGAAGGTGAGCAGTGTGAAGATGTGTACGGGTGGTCTCGAGGAGGTGACGATGTTTGCGTTCGGTGAGGCCATTTTGTTCGGGGGTGTAGGATTAGTTGATTTGACGTGAAATGTCATGTAGTCGGAGATAGGATTGGAGGGAATGATTAAGAAATTCAATGCCACCATCGCTTCTTAGAAATTTTATTTTGAAGGAGAGTTGTTTTTCCAATGCTTTATGAAATGTAATAAAAATGGAAGGAACATTTGATTTGTGCATAAGAGGAAAGAACATGAGAAACGGGCTGAATCATCCACAAAGAGTACATTGTATTTAAAACCTTGTATTGAGGTAATTGGTGCAGGACCCCATACAATAGTGTGGATTAATTCCAACGGTTTGTAGTGATGATAAGTAGATTTATAGAAAATTAACTTATAAATTTTTAAGGTCTTACAAGAAGAACAGAAAACACTAGACAAAGGTATTCCTAGAGAGCTATTTTGTTTTGAGATAGTTTTCATGACTTGCGGATATGGATGTCCAAGGTGGTAATGCCATCAGAGCGAGGGAGGAATGGTAGCTGAGAGGGTGTGATGGCTGGAGGTGGATGTGGAGCTGGTGGATAGCGGATAGAGTTTATTACGATAGGGTCCTGAGAGAAGCATTGTGTTTTTCATCGGGTCCTTAATGTGGAAGCCATATGCAGCAGGTAATTGAAAGATTAGTATCATGAATAAGATGAGAAATAGAGAAGAGGTTATGTGAGAAGTGCGATATATGGAGAAGAGTAGGAAGAACAAGCTTACAATGTGGTGTTGGAAGGAGGCCTTGGCTGGAGTGGGCAATGGGAATAGAATGATCGTCGTCGCTGATGCTGACTTGCTCAATATCGAAGTATTCGACTGGCTGGAGAAGATGGTCAAGATTGTTGGTCAGGTGAGATGATGCTCTTGAGTTGAGGATCCATTCAGAATTGGAAGGCGAGGACGCTGCAACCAGAGCGGTAGACGACTGTAAGGGAGTGGGATACTGAGTGTTGAGTCGATGCCAGCAAACGTTCGTCGTGTGTCCTCTCTTGCTACAAATCTTACACAATATGATTGAAGGGGAGGGAGAGTAGGCCGAGGTAGGAGATCTGGCTGTGCGGGGCTGAATGTAGCGACCTCGACCAAAGGTATTTAGTAACAAACCACCGCCCCTATCGTGACCATGATTGGCGTATAAAGCGAAGTGCAGATTTGGTAGGGGTGTCAGTTCGGGTCAACCCGTCGGGTTCGGGTCGAACCCGACCCGACACGGATCTAAACGGGTCAACCCGAACCCGACCCGTTTGCAAAAACGGGTCGAGCAATATTGACACCCCTAAGATTTGGGGTCACAGATTCTCTGTTGGATTCTACGGTTGTGTTGATTTCTTCGCTAATGAGAAGGAAGTAAAGATCTTCAAGACTGATGGGTGTGATTTTAGTGCGAATCAAGGTCTTGAAAGCCTGATATTGAGAAGGGAGGCTGTTGAGGGTGTATAAGATGATAACCTTAGGGTCGACAGAGGAGCCGGCTGTAGCGATATTATCGACCAATGTTTTGGTGGAGGTGAGGTATTGAAGCATGGCAGAGCTGCCCAGGGAGATGTGTTGAAGTTCACTTGTGAGCTGGACGTTGCGTGATCGGTTGGTTGCTTGTAGTCGTCGTTCCAAGGTCAGTCATATATCTAAGCAGTTGTCGAGATGGAGAACATGGGGAAGGATGCTACGAGAAATGTAGATGGCGGCTGCCAGATTTTGGTCTATTAGGTTCCATAGCTAGTAGAGATGGTTAGGGTGGGATGTGCCGTCAGCCTGAAGGAGGAGGTGAGGTGGAGCGACAGTGGAAGGATGCAAAATTGAGGCATAATTGTTGGCACAAAGAAGTTTAAGGATCTGCAACTTCCAAGTGGGGTAGTTGTTGCTGGATAGTTGTACTGGAACAATGTTCCAAATATTGGAGTTGAGGAACTTTAGTGACACGAGAATAGGACTGGAGGAGCGTCGACAACGGTGTCGATGGATATCTCGCCGGTGTGAGAGGAGGGTGCATATGCCATATAAGAGGGATCGGGGTTGTGAGCCTGTGTGCTCCTATACCATATAGAAGTTCACTGTCTTTATAGACTGTTAAACCTGTAAAAGAAAGATACAGGAAGAAATACAATGGAGCAGAGAATAGAACTGTAAGCTTTTTACTATTAGTATATACCGATACATTACTGTATATACACCTCTGAGAGGACAACCGCTTTACAATTGTAAGATTAGGATTGTGTGAGTTTGTTACGATTCTACAGCTAGTATTAGCTTTGCCTTGTAACAGGCTTAACCGTTTGGTAGTTCTCTTGTCAGGTGGTCCAGGAGAAGCTGCTCTTAATCATCATCAGCATCATCCTACTATTTTAGTTGGCTTTATGACTCCATCAATTCATATTAGAATATATTTTCCATACTACTAACCAGTCCAAAGTTGCATGTTTAAGTTACTATGATGTTGTTATTATTAGCCATATTATTTGAGTATTGAAAGTTCTCCTCAGCTTAGCTTAGTCTTTCTTATATGGTAGGACTTTTTTTGTCCCTGCTCCTACCAAGATTTTGAGATGTCTATTTTGTTTAGGTGGATGACTTTGAACTCTTGTAATAATCTTGTATTATTTTTTATATTGTGCAATCTTCAGGAATATTGGAGTTTTATCTGAAAACTACACAGTTTATGCCATCGATCTTCTCGGATTTGGCTCTTCAGATAAGCCACTGGGATTTTCATACACAATGGAAGTTTGGTCCCAGGTATTTTTTTATGTTTATAGCAGTCCATGCTTTTCGCATCTGGCAACTTTTTATGCATTCTAACTGAGAATTCTCTTATCTTAATAGTTGATTTTGGATTTCTTGTCTGAAATCATTAAGAAGCCAACAGTTTTAATTGGAAATTCAGTTGGAAGCCTCACATGCGTTATAGCTGCTTCAGGTATGCTAAATGTTTTTTTTTTTTTTTCATTTAATTCCGATGGCATTCAAGATTAAGAAGCTTTGTTTTTTCAATAAATATAAAGTATGAAAATTAAATGCTCAAAGTTTTTCTATTTCAATGTAACTAGCCTTTTATTAATTATTTTGTGCGGACGCCGAACACCGTTCGGAGATCAACCAGAATGCGCCACGTTACCCCCCGGCTCGATACCGCTGATGTGGAGCATTCTGGTTGGTCTTCAGACGGCGTTCTACGGACGACGTTCTACGTCCGATCTCCACACAGAATAATCTCTCCTTCCAGGATGACACAATAGTAATTCGAACTTGGTCATTTCTTCCTTTTCTCACTGATCTTAACATTGGAGAATTTGTTGCCTCATTAAAGCTAATGGAACATTTCTGTATTGCATAACCTTAAAATTAATTACAAGAGAAGGAGAAGGAATTTAGAGTAAGTTATCTAATTTTTATTATAGAAAAAGTTTTGGTGCAAATTTAAGTCAAGGTTTAAGTGATTGATTAGAACTTCATTTCAGCATTTATTTTTTTATAGGATTACTCTTCAAATCATTGAATTTGCTTTGAGATAAATGTAACACATGCTACTCATTCAAAATTTGCATTGCACTGATTTTAAGCTAAGACTTCATTTGAGACAGCCTTATTGTTGCTTTCTAAAACAACTTTTTAGTACAAAAAATTTTTGAATTAGAAAGTTTTGTACTAAAAAGTCATTTTCGAAAGCAATAAAGAAGCCATCCCAAACGAAGCCTAAATCTAAAGACTTTTAGATCTATCAAGATCAAATTCTGGTCAGAATATTGAAGTACAACAGATCTTTTGAGAGTATTCCTGTCTGTGAAGTGAGAGTATTCCTGTCTGTGAAGTAATTGTTCAATTTTTCCATGCAATCAGAAGCCACCCAAGGTATGGTTAGGGGAATTGTGCTACTAAACTGTGCTGGTGGAATGAATAACAAGGCAATTGTTGATGACTGGAGGATAAGACTTATATTGCCTTTGTTCTGGCTAATTGACCTCTTACTAAAGCAAAGGTCAATTGCATCTGCTATATTTGAAAATGTTAAAAAAAGGTACTCTGTCATTAACACTCTATTCAGTATTTTAAAAAATCAAACTGCCTTATGGTTTTGAGCTATGACAGGGAAAACCTGAAGAACATTCTGCTTTCTGTTTATGGAAACAAGGAGTCTGTTGATGAAGATTTAATAGCGGTACTCTTCTTTTATGCTTCAATTTTTATTTTTATTTTTACATTCTCTTCTATAAACTCCTAATGCATTTGACTTAGGCTTCGTTTGGGATGACTTTCTTACTGCTTCTTGAAACGACTTTTTAGTACAAAAATTTTATTTTTATGTACTACAAAGGTTTTTGTTTGAGTAGATCTAGAACTGAATATATGGAGTGTAATTTTAGTAGTAATAGACCTAGTGAGGGGATTGTGGCTTTGGACGATCAAGTCAATAATAGGAGTACACGTTTTAGATATCTTAGATCTTTTGTTCAAAGCGATGGTGAATTAGACGGGGATATTATCAACAAAATTCAAGTTGGATGGTTGAAGTGGAGAAATGCATCGGACTTGTTGTGTGATAGAAAAGTCCCCATCAAACTTAAGGAAAAATTCTATAAGATGGCGGTGAGACCTGCAATGCTTTATGGTGTAGAATGTTCGTCATTAAAAGAGAAGCATAATACTAAGTTAAGTGTTGCAGAGATGAGGATGCTCAGGTGGATGAGTGACTTTACCGTTAGAGATAGGATACGAAATGAGCATATACATGAAAAGGTTGGAGTAGCTCCAGTGGAAGATAAGATTAGAGAGAGTCGCCTTAGATGATTTGGTCGCATAAAACGGCGTCCTTCCAATGACCCAGTTAGGAAAGTAGAGATCTTAGATTTGACTTATGTTAAGAAAGGTAGAGTTAGAGACTTGGCTAGAAAATATTAGAAATGAGCTTTCTTTATTAGATTTAAACGAGAATTTGACTTTTAACAGGACACAATGGAGAAAAAGGATTCAGATAGCCGACCCCACGTAGTAGGACAAAGGCTTGATGTTGTTGTTGTTGTACGAAGCTGCTTTAAGAAAATTTCCACCGATCATACGCAACACTGAATGAAATATTTGCATGATTCAGATACATCAATGTAAACCTGGCTGCTGTCGTTTTTTAATTTTATTTTTGAATATGCAGATTATTAAGAACCCAGCAGATGATGTGGGTGCTCTGGATGCATTCATCTCCATTGTTACAGGTCCACCAGGGCCAAATCCCGTCTCACTGATGCCAAAAGTAACTGTTCCTGTTCTACTTCTATGGGGTGATAAAGACCCCTTTACTCCTATTGATGGTCCAGTGGGAAAATACTTCTCTTCTCTTCCTTCTCAGCTCTCTAATGTTAATCTCTATTTGTTAGAAGGAGTTGGTCACTGTCCTCATGATGACAGACCAGACTTGGTTCATGAAAAGCTGCTCCCTTGGTTAGCTGCTCTTCCTGCCTTGTAATCTGCTTCTATTCATTGCAATGTATGTAGAATCATTTGTGAAATTATTGCGAGATGAATAAAATTTTAAAAAATTGCTGTGATTATATTATTATCATTATTATTTCTTTGCTGTTGTTTTTCTTGTGTTTTTAAAGGAAATAGATGTGAAAGATATGGCCTAAAACAAATAGGTTGTGTTTTAGAGCCGTGCATTGGGTACCAATATTCACACCCACCCATGGGTGAGTATGGGTATGCCCATGACTTTGTGGGTAGGTATGGGTGAGAGTATTCAGCATCGAGGGATAAATCAATTTGCAATTACTAATCACCGTATATATTATATTATTGCAATCCTCAAGTACGTAGTATGCAACACTTAACCACGCTGCGACTACGATAAATTTTGATATGCGGCTTGAAAGTTTGTAATGAGAGCAAATGGCAACAAGCCTCAAGGTTATCAGTCCGTGACAGACTGCATTCAAAAAGTATGAAAAATGGGTGGGTATAGGTTGGATATGATATCCCGAAAGTCATAGTAGGTGAGCATGGGTAGACGAAGCCCATTCGAGTAAAGCATGGGTACGCAACTAGGATCCTATGTACGACCCCATTGTGTTTATCCAATTGAAGGAGATAATAGAATTTGTTTTAAGGATTGGGAGCCTGCGATTGGGATCACTTTTATTTTTTATATTTATTTTATTTTATTTTATTTATGCTTTAATTTAATATAAAACAAAATGTATTTGATATATAATATTATATTTATTATTAAATAATTTAATTTATGAAGCGACGGAGGTCATAAATAGGTGCTGCTGGTAGTGGCAGTTTATTTACAATACTTCATTGCTCTTTTAAGTATTTTTATGAACAATTTCTGTGTTTAAAAAATGTAAAATAAGAAGTAATTAAAAATTTAATAGAGTATTTTTAAAATAAAGACAAAAATAATACCAAGTTAAATCGAGCTATATCCAATTATCCGGTTAATAAATTAAATTTGAGCTTGAACTCAATTCTATGAGTTTGAGTCTATTCATAAATAGTTTAAAGTTTATTTAAATAATTTTTAATAAACAATAAAAATAAAAATATAGTATAAATAATGACGATCCACTTAATATAAATAAGAGAAATACCATCTTTCAAATTTTAAATTCTAATTTTAAGTTTTTCTAATAATATTTTTAAAAATAAGTTAATGAAGCATTTACCCAACTGAGGAAAAAAAATCGCACAATATAAATGAATAAAAATTTATAAAAAAAATTATTAAAGCGAATAAACTTTTTGTTCCTGCTGCCATTAAAAATACCATCTTATAAACTATATCATCTCAAGTCATAAAAAATACCCACCAAGTTATTTAAATTGCACATCTTTTTCAAGTATAAGCTTTGATGTGATTTCTTACTTCGTATTTCTTTTTTAAGCAACTTTCTAGTACAAACATCAAAACTTTTATTCTAGAAATCTATTTTAAGTAGTAGTAATAAAGCCGTCCCAAACAAAGTCAGCTTTTTTTTTGGTTTCTAAAGTAATTTTTCAGTACAAAATTTTAAGTTGAAAAAATTATATATATAAAGCTGAGTACAATATAAGAGAGGGTTAATCATTCATATATAGCACTCATTTCAATATAAAAACCCTAAACTTCATATTTCAATCTGACTTTCTCTCTCTAAACAAAATCATTTTTAATAGCAGCAAAAATGTATATAAAACGGTCAAGCTTACATTTTTCAATTCAGATGAGCAGTCAGTCTTCTAATTGTCACAATTCTTCTGATAAATGAACCCACTGAGATATATAGGCGGCCTTGTTGGAATGTCCCTGGAAGAACTTTGATGGTTCAAATACTTGTCCAATGATAGTAGAACGAATAAAGCCGTTGAATGGACCCAGATTTATAATAAAGCCTGAATATCAATCTCAACAAAAGAACATGGATCGGGAATTCCAAATTTCTCCAACACCTGAAAACAATTCCATCATTAGAATCAAATGAACTTATTCTCACAGCTAGAAAGAAAAAAAAAACATGAAGAAGAGAATCCGAGCTTCGCTTGGGATGGCTTTCTTATTGCTTCTTAAAATAGCTTTCAAGTATAAAATTTTAATTTTTGTACTAAAAAACTGCTTTAAGAAGCGGTAATAAAACAGTCTCAAACGAAGCCTAAATCTAATGAGTATGCTACTGAGATAATTGAGAATATAAAATAAAATATAAAGAGCATACGTTATGGTTATTAAGGAAAGCTTACTAGATCATCATAAAGTATACTAGTATGGTGTTGGACACTTGGGGACACACATTCTAGGACTGCCTCATTTTTAATTTTCTAAAAAACTTTCTATAGTTCCTTGGCTTCACATGACATCTTAGACATATATTGGACACCTTTAATATAAACTAATTCATCTAGATAAATATTGATTTATTTAGTGCTCTTAATTTTGCTCCAAAAAAAAAAATCTAATTTTTAGAAAACTATTAGACATCAGCATATTGTATTGGATTTGAAAAATTATGCAATCTAGATGCGAAATATGGATACAAATATGATGGAACAACCAATAACTATGAAAACCTATCAAAGAAGAAGGAACAAACACATTCCACAACTCGCAAATGACAACAACATAGATTTGACAATACAAGAAACTGCCAACCTCGGTTTCTCCTCTCCTAACATCTATAGCCTGCTCATTCCCATTTCTTTCCCCTGCAAACTGAATTCAAACCTTCCAATTCTTTCAAGAAAACATCAGGTATTTGTTCTTGTTATCAAGAGCCCCATCTTCTTCCGCTTTCAACAGCCCTCACATAATTTTTCAACATGAAGAACGCAGATTTAGCGGAAGCTCTCCGGGCCATGCAAACCAATCAAGAATTACAGTTCCGTGAAATACAAAAATCTCTATAACAAGTCAATGTTCACTTTGCTTACATTAGCTCATCCCTTCAACAAATCCATGCTTTCATGGACTTCATAGACAAGAGACTTGATAGTTTGTGTATTGACCATCCATATATTCTACTTCACAAAGATATTTCCTCTTCCGCCGGCATCCTTGATTCCGCCAGCCGAATCTTTTCTCCGCAACAGCCACCTTCTCCCACAGATATCTAATTTCTTATACGTCATCTACCATTATCAAAATCTACCATTACCAAGTTAGGATATGATCTAAAAATATTCATAATATTCATGAAGATCACTATGATTTTCTCCTTATACCTTTTTTCCTATTTTTTTTACTAACTTCCTGGTCTAGTTTGATTGCAATGGAAATTACTTGTAATCCTCTTTTCATCTTTTCCTTCTCTCAACCATGAGGACAAGATTGTTTTTCATGGCAATGGGAGTGCTAGACATCAGCATATTGTATTGGATCCGAAAATTGTATAATCCATATGCAAAGCATGAGCTATAATTATGGCAGGACAACTATGAAAGCTTACTAAACAAGAAGGAACAAACACATTCCATAACTCACAAATGACAACAACATAATTTTAGCAACCTAAATGACAAAAAGATCCATAAAACACTAATCTAGCCTTTCTTTTATTTGATTTAGATAAATTGGTTTTTTAGTGACATGTTGGTCTACCTAAGTAATATAAATCTCCCTCTGGTTGTAAAGACTTATTATGGAATGAATAAAATTCCGGTTTCTCTCTTTTATCTCTTCTCTAGGAGTCTACACCTACTCTAAAAGTGTCTACCTTTATGGATCTCCAAGAAGATTATCAAACACTCGCTGATTTTGTGTGCTTCCAATTTCTCACTTAACTTCTTAACTATTTTCGATCAATTCATTATTGGTTGGATTGGATTTTAATTCAAATACGATCTTTTTACATTTAAAGAAAGCAAGTGATTGAATTATTTGGTAGCTTGAACTGTGAATCAACAATTTCATTTACATCGTATTACTTGCATTATGAAATTCATTAAAAAATTCAAACCTTGAATCATCTTGCAACATGCAATAAACCAAGTAGTTTTTTAAACTTCACAAGCCCACTTTACATCTACGCATGACCCTATCTAAAGATTGAGCAAGAATAAAAATTTTGATCATCGCCTTTACCGTCTCAAAAACTGACAACATACCTCTGGATGAACAACACCGAAAGCGCCAATCTGCTTATCTTTGAAGATAATGTAACATTGGCGATTCGGAAAAAATTCAGGTTCCTTCAATTCCCAACAAAAGAAGACAAATATCAGTAGAAATTTTATTGGCGATCAAAAATTTCATATGGTAAACCTTACATTTGAAGGCCTTATGAAGTTATCATTAGCAGGTTCATGAGGTTTTCGAACAACTTGCATAATTCTCATCACCAAACCCAAAATTTCCTGCAAAGAGAATGTCAAAGAAATATTCCATTAGGGAAAAAAACAGGAAAGTTAAAAACAGCTCAGATATCCAAGAAAGCCAACGAAGAGCTCCAGATAACTAAGATACAACTTTTATTCAGTAATTGCCTAGTCCAATAACAGAAAAAGCATAACATGTTTAAGCATAGTGTAATAACTTAACTCTTTTTATCAAATACCTTCAAATTTGTTGACAACTCAACCAGGAAAAGTCAATGTTCATTATGTGAAGTGCAATAAAATTCGAGTAATTTACATTCAGTTCTCATGTTTCACACATTCAGCAGTAAAGTTCCTTGTTTCTACACAATAATTCTCATTTTTTGTTAAAATGTATATATATATATATATATATATATATCGTTGAACTCATATAAATGAGCAGCCAACGTACCTTCAACTGCATATTCAATAGAAGGATCAAATCTTACATAAATCCAGAAAAAAATATTACAGAGTAACTAACAAAAAGTAAAGGCCAAAATACACAAAGGAAATAATGATAGATCAGCCAAAGGCATTAAAAGATGCTCTCAAAAAAGGAAACTAGTGCCATGAAGAAGATCGGGAGTTGAGGCATACCTCAAATCCTGAGGTAACATTGCAATACAAAGCAGCTAGTCTGCGATTGTTAGACGCACCAACATCGCGTGTCCCATCAAGGCAAACAACATCCCCGACTTCAAATATCTACAACAGTATAACATTCATAAGAAAATCATAAAATAAATGAGGAGGTGATGATAATATGGTACCTTTATGGGTCTTCGATGGTCTATGTTATGCTTTAGAGTTTTCAGCAGGCCAGGTAAAAGACTCGTCCGAACAACCTGCTTCCATAGAGCACATTAATGGCTTAGGAAATAAAATAATCAAGTAAGATTCAAGGCAACAGGACGAGTATGGTTCTCCATGGTTTGAATGCATCACATAGAACTAAATAACAAATATAATAAACATTAAAAGTTCAATAAAGTTTGTTCAAAATAAAAAATTAACAAGCTTATAATTACAAAAAATAATCAAAGCCATAAGAATTAAAAGTTTATGATGGTCTTAAAGGAACACCATTGATGACTCCAAAACAACTAACTTTAACATGGAATAACACTCTTCGTCTCTATCTCTCTATATAGCTATTCCCCCAAACTTCTTAGTAAAAGAACCCAGACCATAGAATATGAGAAGATGCTGCAAATTGTTTAACTTTCATAGTTGATAAACAAACCTCAAATTCTGATGAACGAGGATTTTCAATGGTGACTGCTTTTGCTCCATCATCTTTTCTTTTAACCATTGCAAAGTTTTCTTCATGTGAACACAAAAGCCAAGTTAGAACCTCCATATACCCTGCACTTGAGACCTAAAAAAAGAAAAAAAAAAGTGAGAAGGAAAAGCATAATGAATATTATGCAAGTGAAAATATAACTAACTTTCTATGAATTTGTTTTTCATATATTGAATAATAACAACATAAGAAAATAGAACCATGTCACCCTTCAATACCTTTCTCTAACTTTTCAACATCTTGCATTCATTACAAAAGCATAAGGAGACGAGATTTACTTAATCATTAGCTTGATCACGCACTTTTATACCCCATTCAACTAATGACAATGAATCACGACTCAGTTTTACACCTAAACATTTTCATGTTTCCATGAATGTAAATTGAGCCCTAAGTCATCTTCACAATGAAATATCTCTGCCAATCTATAAACAAAATGAAATATCTTTTATATTCCATAAAGCACTCTGGTTAAATCTTGAAACCTAAAAAAGAATGATTGGATATCAAGAACTGATATTTTCCAAGAATCATAGTTACAAACAGGAACTACTGTAAAAGAGAACGATAGCATGATCACATTTGGCAAAATATTGCCCTACATATTTGAAACACATCCAGCTTTGCCGGTCTTTTTTCCATCTTTGCTTGTTCTGATTTTATCCAATCATAAGCAATTTTAAGGGGCTTTTCGAGAGAAGTAACAGAACACAAAATGGGAAGAAAATAATCTAGGCCACAGTCAAAAGCCATGAGTTATTTAGTGACCAGCTTTAGTTATAGTTTGCGGTATATTTCTACTGATAGGAGTATAAGATGTGTATCAAAACATAAAAATGAATATATGTGTGTGTGTATTTCATTGCTTAATATGAAAATTTTAAGGGTAAAAAAATAAAAAGAGTATATTACTGCTTGAACAGAAAAATTATAAATGCAAAAATAAATTTTGGATGATCATTTATAGCTCATCCACAAAAACGATTTGACCAAAAAACATGCTCAACATTACTTACTAAGCGTGTAGATGTAAGTTCTATACATGGCAAATTATAATAGTAGGATTTGCGGGGACAAAGCAGAAAACTTAAGAAATAAACAATTTAATTTCAACATATAGTACATTCGATTTTTTAAACCTCAGTGGTGCATAGCTATTGCATAAGTTTTGGTGATGCATAGGTTATGCATGCCTGCAAACAAATTCTTGGACAAGCCATATAGGTGATCATATGGTTTTGGGGATGTTTTCAAAATTGTTTACCGATCATCTTGTGCTTTATTACTGTACAATATATAGATTGTTGCTTCTAACAGTCCATGACAGAAAGTATTAACCAAGCTTAAAAAAAACATCAAGAATCATCAATGTAAATCATATTGTTAGGATTTAGATTCTATCGAGTATGAGACAAACAGGGGACACAAGGATAATTGCAATCCAGATGGCATGAGTTTTCTTAAGTACCTCTCCTCGGATCTTGTCAGAAAATACGTTTAATGGTTGCTGCCCACCTATGCATTTAGGCTTTGTTCTTGGAATTTTATCATATCCATATGCTATAGCAACATCCTATAAAAGAATTTTGAAAAATTAGAGGTCACATTAATAAAAAAAAATGTGTTCTTCAAAAGGAATTTTAGAAATTAAATATTAGTAATTATTATTAAACCTCCATGACATCACAAGGATGAAGTATATCACTTCTAGTTGGAGGAACGTGTACAGTAATAACATTATTTCCAGTAACCAACTTTTCCTTAGCATGCAGTTGCATTTTGTTCAATAAGGGAATCACCTGCCATTCATAGAAAATAATGGGGTATCTAAATTAAATATAGCAGGACATAACTTGTGAGCAAGCATGAAAACTATGAAACTTTTAATGAGAATCTTGAAAGCAAACTTATTGCGCTAACTAAGCAACAGAAGAGAAAGGGAAAGAAAAAGAGAACATGAAGAAAGGAACATAGCATGAATGCCTTCTGCCAAAAATAACAAGGAATATAAAAGTCTACAAAACTAAAGCAAAAACATGAATATCACAAAAAAAAAAAAATGAAATAAATGACAGTTTGCAGCCAAACACCATTTGAAGTCAACAAATTTGACACAGCAAAGAAAGATTATCCAATGTTAACCTACTCTCCAGCACACGAGGAAACTTCATTCACAAATATTACTCAATTTATCAAAAGGCATGTTATAGTGATACAACCGTTGAAAGTGTAATAATAACAGAATAATGTTTTCAATAATTCTTACGTTGCTTGTTTAGTTCCTTCCTAGGTTGAACATTCTGTTAGTTTACAAAGTTCTCATATGAATTGGAATTGGATTTAGTCTGAAACCATTATTTCATATATTTCAAGCCATAGAACTGCCCCATTTTTTTTTATTTGCAAATGGAGCCGCTTTCTAATGATTTTGAATTGCAACAAACTCTAGAAGAAACAGAAACTCAATCAAAGAACCTGATATAAGTGATTAACAGTAGTTTCCAAATCATGCACGACAGCAGACACTGCCCCACTTTCCACTAAGTGGCAATGGAGGTGATCTGATTTCAAAAATCATCATAATGGGTGAAAAAAATGGTAGGGAAGCCAGCAAATTTTAAAATCTGTTTGACTTTAAGATCAAAAGAAAAAATATTAATAGATGCAGTAAGAAACAATGACTAATTAAAACTTCAGGTAGCCACTAATATATATCAACTTAAAAATACTGGAAAAGAAACAAACTAATGAATGGCAAGAGCAATTATAAAGCAAATCTCTTTCTAGCTAGAATGGCTTTCAGATTTATGAAATACATAAATCTTTTATTAATTATAATGACGATTATATTAAACATCATGCTAACGAGACCAATAGTATAAAGCGTAATCTAGAAAAGCAATACCTCAGCAACTCCCAGTGTAACGCCAATGGGGCATGTAATTACAGAAAGAGGGATGTCCATAACTGTAACTGCAAGATCTGGATAAATGTTCTTTCCTTTAAAAATCCCTTCTGATGTGCAATCCTCAAATTGTCGGTCATCCGGATACACGACCTCAACTGGCTCAACCTCAAATTTTGAATCACAATACTCTGAAAACATGGTTACCTTGAAAAACATAGGAAAAAGAATGTCACATTATCATAAATGACAATCATGGCAGAAAATTTTGAAAACAACAAAAATGACCAAAATTATTGCTCACCATCGTATTCAAAACAATCTTTGCCTTGGTTAGATCAGTTGCTGTGCACTCAATGAAAACATTTTTTGTTCTAAGAGAGAGAGCAGAATGTGCGCTGTTGATTATTGGGGGCAGTGATAGAACAGTTCTGCAATCACAACAGAATCTCTCATAGAAGGAAAACCAAAACTGTTAAAACTTGAAGTCACAAATTGAAAATATTTTGCAAGACAAGGAGATTATTTTACATGCCAACTGGCACCATGAAGCTATATATGGTGGTAGATGACACGATTTGGAAGTGAAAAACAGCACAATAAACAAGAAGAGGCGTAGCAACAAAAAGATAGAGGCTCATTTTTTTAAATCACAAAGGAAACCTAATTTTAAAGAAAGCAGATGTATTACCTATTCCTGTCATATATGACAGGGTATACAGGAGAATTTTCAATAATGTGCAAAAACTTCTTCAGCTTCAAGTCCGACTGCAAAAAATGAAAAGAAAAATATCAGAAGAAAAAAAATACACAACAAATTATGCTTTGACAGCATGAAAAAAATTCTTACAACAGGTCAATTATTATGAGAAAAATGAAGGTAGATGTATGTAAAAGGTGGTCCAGTATCAAATAAAAACAAATCAGAGCGCACCTTGTAAAACTCCAGTAGTTCATCAGCCCTGAAGCTTTTAACCTAGAGAAATAAAACAGTAAGATAAGGAAAATCTCAAATCAAGAAAGAATAACTATCATAATAGTGCAAACAAACTTAGACCAACCACACATAAATAAGGAAAACCCAAATCTGAAAAACAAAAATGTCATTCAGGTTAAAATAGCATGAAGCCAAACACGAGCTTAATAACCATAATAAAAAAAAATATTGTAATAAAGTTTTTTGTAGATAAAAAATCATAAGCTGCAAATTGGAAATTAAATAGGTGGTTTCAATAAAAAAACTCGTAGGCGGACACTGTATAACACTTCATGATACTGCAAAAATTTATTTAAATAAAGCAATTATTCCCACTAACCTGTTTTAGGGGGATGAAGGTTATATCTTGAGGTATCAAAGCCTGATTATGCAAGAATTTAATTATGCATGCATTAAAGAAAGATAATATATATCATGAAGATTGAAAAAGTGACTTGGTAATAGCTAGTTCATAAAACAGAAAATACTTACCTCATAAGAAAAAGGTGTATCAATTGTGTCCAAATCATGAGTACCAATGGCTACGCGAGTTCTTTTTCTGCAAAAAGACACAGAAATAGGCAATGTGGGGTTATGTGCAGTGAATTATGAGTACAATCATTGAACCAATACAAAATTAAAAAAAAAAATACTTGAACAGCACATCTTAAACAGATAGCGAAAGCCTGGAAGCTACTTCCATACCGGCAAATATTCTGATGAAGCTTATCTTGCAAGTCGATAAAACTATTATAGTTTGCTCTGTTAAAGCTTACTCCTCTTAAAACAGCACCGACAACATAAGGACGAATCTGACTAGTCTGTTGAACAAGCTTTTTAGTCGTTAGAATACCTCCACAAGATCAATAAAGTAAGAACTTCTCAAAGATGTTTTTTTTTTTTTTCCTATTTTGGTTCAAATGCCACCTTGAATTATGGAAATAACATTTCTGCAATTTAGGGTAAAACATCAACCCTGAATTGGCAGAAGCCAGGTGACTAGGACGTGTCTTTTTCTTCAATTCTAAAATGCTTGCCAGAGAATACTTACCGCCTTGGAAACATTAATTTGAAGCATTGATTCACGAGGGATTTCACGGAATTTATAGATTGGGATTTCCTCTTTCCCAATAAATATGCGGAGGGCCCTGGCAATGCCCTCAAGGCAAAGAAGATCATATCTGCAACCAGATAGATATCAAGGTTAGTATTTCTAACAAAAGATGAGCGCCAAAAGAACCAAACATTTGAAATACAAAATCAAGCTCCCAATTTTCTTTTCTTGATATATTTAAGCTCCGTATTCAATGGTTACTTTTAGCAGATAGCAGGATCAATCATAGACAACGAGAGAGAAGTAAATACAAAACTAAATCATCCTTCCAAGGGTGCAATGGTGACTGAAATTTACACAAGTTCTCTGAATCGAACTAAGAAAGAAGCACAATTCACAGTATTCCATTTCATACCCACTTCAAGCAGTTGAATTACCTATTAGCAGCAACCTCAATTTTGTATATGACCTCCTCCTCATCCTCTCCGCCGACTTCCGTTTCCAGATGTTTTTCCTTCCTAATAATTTCTTTCTCAGTAGTCTGTAAATTCCAAAATTCGAAAAAAAAATATATAATTAGGATTTCTCAACAGAAGAAAAATCCAAGCAAAAGGGAGAGAAGATTATCAAGGCAAATGTCATTGGGCAACTCACCACATCGTCAAGCTCAATCCCGAACTCAAAGCAAAGTTCCTCAAATTCTTCTTGCGCTGGAACACGGGAAATCAAAATGAGTAAGAAAAACCACGAAAAAGAAGAGGAAAAAAAAAAGTCTCATTTCTTACTGTAACTTCGGCCAAGGGCCTGAAAGAGACAATCTCTGCCGACGCTCACAGTCGGCATTGAAACAAGTTCTAAACACTACCGACGACGACGGAAAGAAGGTTTAGTGGCTGTTTGGCAACAGGATTTGCAGGATTTATGATAAATCCTACCAAACGGCACTTGAGCGCCCCGTAAATCTCACGCCTAAATAAATCCTCCTTTTCCCTCTGTTTTCCGTAAATCCCGGATTTACTGAATCCTGTAGTTCGGCGGATTTACCGGATTTGGCCGAAGAAGCGCGAGAAAGGGATTAAGTTATCTTCACAGCTAGCGAGCTGCCGTTGTTGCTTCCGATCAAAATGTCGTAACTTTCGATCCGACAGGAAGGGAACGCCGGCGAAGGAGCGAATTCGAACAGCAACGAAGGAGCGACTTGGGAATCTCTACACCTCCTGCGAAGCCAACGAAGCCGAACAGCAAAACGGGACAAAAAACAAACCCTAGACGCCTCTAATTTATTGTTGATTAACTTACTTAATATAAACAACAAAACACAACAATAATGCCGGACTAAGTTAACTATTAATTTAGTTTATTAAAATTTTTAATTGGATTGATTTTTATAACTAATTTTAAATTTCAATAATTAGATTTAATTGGGAAAATTAAATATATTAATTAATCAAAAATATATAAAGTTATTAATTGTTAGTTAGTTACTTATACCTATTTGTACTGTCTAAGATAACTAAAGAAAGTGTTAGGCATTAACTAACATAGCTAAGTATGATTTTCATAATTAATATGTAAATTAAACTAATCATTTAACATTGTTTAATTATAACTTTATTTAGGCAACCAACGGTTTGTCTGGGGCAGCTGTACTTCTTTCATAAATATGATTGTAAAATTTTAGGTAATATAATATTTTAAAGGTTGTTATGACTTATGAGTGTAATAGATTTTTTTTTTAAAGGAAAGGAATAATAAAAAAAAATTCTTTATTAAATTTAAATGAGTCTTTGACTCTGAGCATGGAACTACTGAGAAAACAGATTCATGCATGTAGTTGACCCCATGCTAGGGGTGCAAATGAGTCGAGTTGAGCTGGAGTCGGGAGGTGTTCGAGCCGAGCTCAGTTGTCGAAAACCAAGCTCGAGCTCGAACGATTTTTGAGCTCGACTCGACAGAGAGAAAGCCAGCTTGTCGAGCGGGAGATCGAGTCGTCTGTCGCAGCAACGTCCATCCATCAAGCGTAAATGACGTTGAGCTCTCGTCAGACCGCTTCCATGTCGTCTGTCGCAGCAACGTCCATCAAAACTACCACCAAGATCTCGTTCGTCCTCTTCCGCTTTAGCTTCGTCGGTCCGAGCGTCGCAGTTGTAACCGTCGCCCATCCGTCGCAGCGTCATCGAGATCGAGCTGCTCGTCGAGCAGGAGATCTTGTTCGTCCGAGCGTCTCAGAGGTCGTGTTTAGGATTTCCGATTTCCCGCTCACGCGATTTGGAATTCCCGCTCGCGATTTAGATTTCCCGCCGTCGAGCTGCTCGTCGAGTCGACGAGTCGAGTCCGGCGCATGTTCGAGCTCGATAAGCCTTCGAGCTCAAAACTGTGTTCGAGCTCGACTCGCGAGCTCGATAAGCTCGACTCGTCGAGCCAGTTACCGAGTCGGGTCCGAGCCGGCTCACTAGCCGACTTTACTCGGTTGCACCCCTACCCCATGCAGTGGGATAAAAGTTTGATATCGCTATTGTTATTGTTGAAAAAATCAAGGATTTGCTTTTTTATAGTTATCGTACTTTAGCATATTTAGTTATAAAGTAGTTTTCCATCAAAATTTTCTTAAAAAGTAACAATAAATCAGTAGCAAAATGACCACGTGGTAATGGTTCGAAAAACATAACTATTAAAAAGTCGACCTAAAATTATTCTACGCGGACATCGGACGGAGAGAATCGTCCGGATTTGCTACGCTTTTACTGAGTATTTGCTCCGCTTTTGTAAATACTCAATAAAAATACATCAAATAGAAAAAAAAAAAGTGTTTTACTGCAATCATGCCAAAGATATTGTTATTTTGATGTCATAATTGAGGTTTTCCACCATGTCAACTTATTTTAGAAATGATAAACCGGTGGATGTCAAATAAATTGCTCTATTAAAACTATGCTTGGATCTTTCGAAGTTATAATAAGGGTTGCTCATTATCTTAGAATCATATCTCATAAATGGCATTAAATTATTGCATGTTCGAACATTCATGGTGATAGAATAAAAAATGTTTAACGTCCTAACTTTGTATAGAGATAAAATTAAAGTGTTGTAAGAGACATAAGTAATTTTCGCATGAGAAAGGCCAAAATGGAGAAAATCATGAGACTAAGGATGTAAACGACTAAACGAGTCAAGTGTTTTCTTAATTGAGTTAAGCAACTTTAATTCTTAGGGAGTTTGACTTGAGCTTATTTACTAAGCTTGAGCTATGCTCATTTAAAAAAAAAATTACATAGCTTGACGGATATTGCTTGAGCTTGTTTACAAAGCTCAAGCTTGGCTTGATTGTTTAAGTCATTAAATCAATATTCTATCTCTATCTAATCATGATTGATGCAGCAATCTGAAATTTTGTAGTGATTATATATATATATATATATAAAAGATATTTGAGTTGCTTTACAAGCTTACAAGGTGAATCAGGCTAAGCTCGAGTTCATGGTGATAAGCTCAACTTGTGAGTTCGTTAACGAGTCATGCTTGAGCCGATTCAACTCACTTACACCCCTACATGATACCTAATCCTACTTAAATGATTCCATCATTATTTGCCATAAATAATTTACAGCTTTGTAATTATGTGAGATGTTAATACAATATAATATACATAAACTATATAAAATAAATTTCATTATAAAAGTTGGAAGAACATTCTAATGTGAGGCCTTTATGACAATATCACTTAACAACCTTATAAGTAATCACATGTGTCAAAGTTGTTGGTGATTGTAGGTGATGAAATTAGTCGATGTTGATGTTGGTGACAACGATCGATAGTGGTCGAAGGATCATAGTCAAACGATGGTGGTTAGAGGATCTAATGTGATGATGATAATTCAATGATCATAATTGGGTGATCGTGATTGGATGATTGTGGTTGGGCAATGGTAGATGGAATATCGTTGGACTATGACTTTTAGTGAACTATTGTTGGAGACATCAGCCGGAGTATATAGTTAGGCGACGGTGATCTAATGTTGGTTCAAATGACAGTGGTCATATAAAATTGGTTTAATAGTGATATTTGAACATCAGTGGATGACAGTGATCTAATGGCGATGGACGAGCGGTGATGTTCCAACGATTATGGTTAGAAAACAATGTTTCGATGATAGTGATCGAATGACGCTGGTCTAAAGGTCGTCGGGCAAAGCTCTATGTACACTTTCATAGTTTTAATCAGTTTAAAATCATTAAATTGTCTCGATGACTACTCAACAATAAACAATTCTCATAAAGTAAGCTCATTTATGGCTTAGGCTTCATTTGGGACGACTTTCTTACCGCTTCTTAAAACAACTTTTTAAAATAAATTTAAAAGCTAGTTTAAAAAGCAGGAATAAAACCATCCCAAATAAAACCTTAGTCAATCTAGCCAAATCTGGGCCGTAAAAGACAGTCCCATGATCTAGTCAAATCTGAGCCGTAAAAGATAGTCCCATGAAGACTTAAATGTGCTGAAAGCAGTATGGAGGCTCCATAAAATAGCGCGGCCCACCCCACAATCTGCACATGCCGGCACTCTTTTATATTCCTTTTATTAAATACTTCCCGTCCGGCCAACTATATTTTCGTGCTTTTATTTCTCATTCGGCCACTTGCCAGCAAATGAAGGCTTGAAGTATCAAACATTTTAAATGCATGAATTTTAAAATTATTAATATTTAATTTTATATAAAATAAATATAATATAAATTTTTGATGTATTTAAAATCATTATTATTTTATTTTTTATGTATTTAAATTTCTTTTGATTTAAGCAAGCTCTAAATTCACTTAAAATTTATTGTAATTGTTGTCGGTAGTCGACAACCATCTACCATTGCTGACCATCGCATGCCACAGTTGGCAGCTCCCCGACCAACCCATGTCACAGCATGCCGCCTTGACCAACACCAACTGTTGCTGACTAACACCGCCTCAGCAATCATGATCAACCCTACCGTTGGCAGCCATCGACCACTCCATCGTCACCCGCCAACCAGCACTGATGGTCGTCCACCGCAGGTCACCCCTACCGCATCCCGCCATCGCTGGCCTTCGATCACAATCATCAGCAGTTAGCCAACATCCACATGCCACACACCATTGTCTTGCCATTCACCTCCACCAACCACCTCTGTCCATCATTGCTGGCACACCCTCACCACAACTCCAATTCTAAAATCATATTAGCTTAATGTCTAACAATAACACTGAAAAAATAGATGTTGATATGGCTTTACATTCTAGAGCTTTTTGTTCATTATATCGCCTTCTTCTGCTCTCACTTATCTGCTATATCTTTATGTAATATTTGCAAGCTCTCATAATCTCAATTTCTTCCTTTCATGACTCCCGAGCATTACATTATCTAAGACTTAGGTAAAACACCTTATATCTAAATAAAATATTTTTACATTAAAGAAAGTCTTTAATTTTTCATAAAATCTCTTATATATTTGAAAAATCCTATATTTAGATGAAAGAACTAAAATTAAAGTACACTTCCTTATCTTAGAATTAAATATCTTATATGTGATAAAAATGTTATATATTGATATATCATCAAAAATTATCTTGATAAGGCACGAATCTAGAGGCAAAATCAAGCCAGAAACTTCAAAACTCAATCCAGGATCACCTGAATTTTGATTTCAGCAAACTTATAGTCAAACTGAGCGTCTTGGAAATACAAACCCAACGACACTAAATTCTACTCAATATGAGCCCAAATGAGTCCAAATCAAGGATCCGACGCGCTATTGGAAAGTTCAAACCATAATTTGAGTTATCAAGTGGTTTCCAACTTGACGTGCTTATAGTTGAATAGAGCGGCTCAACGATATGAATCCAACGAGCCCAAGATCGCCAAATTCCGACATCATTGAGGCCTTCAAATGTCTGACGAACGATACACGATCAAGGGATTCAATATTGCCCATCCATCGAACCACTCCACATTTGCCCCTGATCTCCCACCTATTTACGGACCATGCCACTCCAGAAAACTATAAATTGACCATCATTTCTCTTGGGAGGTGACCCAAGCAAGTAGAAGAAGAGAGAGTAGGAGGGAAGAAACTCCTCGCCGCCGCCGGAATTCTGTCCGACTTTCAAGTGACACCGGAATTCTACCTGACTTCCACGGGACGCTGGAAATCTGCACAATTGAAGTTGGAATTCTGCCCGACTTCCATGTGATGCCAGAGTTCCGCTTGAGTTCCAAGTGACGCCGGAGTTTCGCCTGACTTTCAAGTGACGCCGGAATTCTGCCAGACTTTCAGGTGACGCCGAAGTTCCGGTTGACTTTCAAGTGACGCCGGAGTTCTGCTCGATCTCCAAATGATGTCAGAATTCTATCCGATCTCCAAATGACTATGGAGTTTAGCCCAAATACCATCTAACGCCGGAGTTCTCCTCGGCCTTCGACTAACGTCAGACTCCTACCCAATGTTGGACCTCCGCTAGTCGCCATAATTCTACCCAGCGCCTTCCTTCTGACCTCCGTTGTTAGACAACGGCCCTACCGATCTTCGTCGCCCGCCGACTACGATCCTTGTAACTTACATCACTCATCGACTACGGTCCTTCTGACCAAGCAAACACATCTATGTTGATTATTGTAAATCCCACCATGTAATGCGCTTTATATGATGTACATTTGTGACATCAAGCCAAGATCTTCTCCCTATGAAGGGCCTCATTTGTAATCTGCTATAATGATAGTGGATTCATTCATACTGGGCTAGACCCCCGTAGTTTTCTTCTTTTTTTCAGGGGTTTTCCACGTAAAAATCTTGGTGCCTCTAGTGAATGACGCACCCTCTCTCTTTATCTGCATGCATGCTGAATCTTCATACAACGCTAAGACGCTAAACTTTATTTTTCTCCACCGTTACGAATACTGCAGGACACAATATATCTAGATTATAATCATTATATCAATTAATTCTAAAAAAAAATAAATTTAATATAAAAAGTTAATTGAAAAACTTGTGCAATATTTCAAAACTTTTATTAACTAACTCGTTACTCACATATGGAGACATAATCCTCTGCACAAATTCTTATGTCATTAGTTGTTCTTAGTTCACACAATGTGATTCTATTTAGAATGGACGATATTATCCTAATATTAATATTTAATATACCCCTCAATTATATAAAGACAAGCTCATGTGCTTTGAAAACTTCCATAACTTACAAAATTCATTATTACTCCCTCTCAAAATAATAATAATAATAATAAAATGAATGTTGACCTATACAGCTTTATTGGAGAGAGAGATAAAAAGAAAAATAAAATAGTATAATAAGGTTTGTTTAGGAGAACTTTTTAGTATTTTATTTTTCATATAAAAATCATACTTTTATTTACTATTTTTTTCCTGCTGATTTTCATAAATTTTTTAGAAATTTTTATAATGAATAATATATATATAAACAAATATATATTTTTAAGTATTAAAAATATTTTATTTTCACAAGCTATTTTTGTTCCTAATATATATACTTTCGGTGCTAACAGTTATTGGCTTACTTCTACTCTTCTTCTCTCCATGCGATCTCTCACTCCATACTCCCATTGAACTTTTTTGTGCTTCTGAATCGCATCACATTGGACGAGAGAGAAGGAGAGAAGGAGAGAAGGAGAGAAGGGGAGAAGGAGAGAAGGTTTGGGGTTGAGGGTGGCTAATGGAGGAGGGAGAAGCCGAAGGCGCAATAAAGCTGGAGTTCACTCCGACATGGATCGTCGCGGTGGTTTGCTCTATTATCGTTTTCATTTCCCTCATCGTCGAGCGTCTACTCCATTACCTCGGCAAGGTGATCTTTCTTTCTTTCTCTCCCTCTATATCTATCTCTTCGTTTGTTTTTTTTATCTACCTCTCATTTTCTCATCATCTTGCAGTTTCTGAGGAGGAAGAGCCAGAAATCACTATTTGAGGCCCTTCAAAAAGTGAAAGAAGGTTTGCTTTACTTTATTCGCCGCTCATTTGATAATAGAAAAGAACTAGGAACATCTTTTAATGGGTTTGTGATGGCTGATGGGGAATGATCTGTGAGTTTGGTTTTCGGCGCAGAGCTGATGCTGCTGGGCTTCATATCGCTGCTATTGACGGTTTTCCAGGGTACGATTGTGAAGATCTGCATCTCCAAGGAATGGACGGGCCACTTGCTCCCCTGCAAAGAAGATTCTTCTGCTGACTTGGTCCGCCCTACCGGTGGGAAGCGTCGTCTTCTCTCTTCCCGAGAGTCTTACTGCGATGCTAAGGTCCCATTGTTATTCTAAACCATGTTTCTTTAATTTGACCTCTTATTATTTTTCTTCGGACCACTTTTGTCCAATATCCGGTATTTTTTTGTTTTTTTCAATGGCTTGTTGCGACTCTTGATGTGCAGGGTTTAGTATGAAGGAATAAAAGTTTGATGAATTGTTTAAATTGGTTGAGGAATGGATTATCGTGCTCAGAGTTTAGTTTAGAAAGTACATTGAACTCTCGCTTAGATTTTTGGCACAAAATTTGGGTCAAATCATAGCTCTATTTTTAGATTTGCATAATATATAATTAATCAATTATCCTTTAAACAGTATTCTTTTTTGTATCTTAGCTCTTTGGTTGCTGTGGCCTGCAATCGCAAATTTGTTTTATTTTGATCCTTTTACTTTGACTTATACAATTCTTTGGGGTTGAAATGTTCAAATTAGAGGAGGGATCACTCCTTAGTACTGGATTTGCGGTACATTTGATTCTCTTCAATTATTTTATGATTTTCAAATTCGCAGAAAGAACTAATGGTTGGGCTGCCTTTTCCTGCCAAATTGTTTCTATATTTCCTTTATTTCAGTTATATGGAAAAAATGTTCAACAGGCTTATTACTATAGTTTTTATTGGTGCCACCATCTAAATGCATATCCTAAATAATAATTTATTGGGTAATTATATAAGTATTTAAAATACGATGTGATAAATTTACACCAGTGCTTATTGGCGTTATTAATTTTTCAGTATGAAGTTCCACTGTTATCGGTTGAGGCATTGCACCAGCTACACATCTTTATTTTTGTTCTGGCAATCACACATGTGGTTTATTCGGTGCTTACTATGGTCTTAGCCGGGCTAAAGGTAAATTTGCTAGCCAACTGTCTTTTAATTTTATTTTTGGGAGCCTTCATTATGCGGATTCTGATTTGTTTTACATTTTTTTTATCCTTATCATTATTTAGATACGAGAATGGAAGCATTGGGAGGATTCAATTAAAAAGAACGACTCGGGAAGTGGTACGAGGAAATTATCTTCTTGCAGTCAAAATGGGGATTATTGCCTGGAATGCTTTTTATTGAAGAATTTCTTTCTGACATGTCTGCTCTAACCTGTGCAGTTCCAAGAACAATTGCTCATGTGCACCAATTTGAATTTATCAGGGATCATTTTATGGGTATTGGCAAGGATTCAGAGATTTTAAGTTGGCTGGTAAATAGTTTTTTTTTTTAATTATGTTCACCCGTTTCTTAATTTTCTCAATATTTTTTGTCTGGAAACATTAAACGATGATGTATTTACGTGCTTGTGTTTTACTTATTTTTTCAGAATAATGTCTACTCATGACTTGGTCTATGTTTTACATATGTCATCAATACTTTATGGAGGTGGGTTAACTTTTAAAGTTCCACGCTTTTGAATATGATTTACAATTTTCTAAAACAAGTTTCTTAGTTTAATCTAGAAGCATTACCTGCGATCTTTTTTTTCATTGGCCTTTTTTTAATTTGTAATGTGGTAAATCATTGTCCTTATTCGTACATAGTGGCATCTTCCGGACATAATGACATCTACTAGCATCTTATTGTGATATATTTATGAGAAACATAATTAAAACTTCTTTTGTTCGTAGTAGTAGCTGCAATTTTATGTAAATGATTGAAAAGTTCCTCATGTTGTTAGTTCTGTGTGATATTTGATTGAGTTGATCAATTGGGTTGTACTGTTGTCTTGGATCTCAATTCAGTCTGTTGAGCTCGCTAGGGGGTTATGGGGGATCATCCTCCCCTTGCTTAGGTTCTGGTGTTTTGCACCTGAAAATTTTTTTCCCGTACTTGGTGCCCTTCGATGTGCACCCAAGCGACCTGTTGTTGCATAGTTTGCTGGAAAACGACAGAGAAGCGGAGTGCTGCTGATGTGGGTTCACATTAGCTTAACCCTTCCCGCAAGCACACTCTATTACCCACATGGCTTAGTTACACAACCACTACCTTATTTATGCAATTTTAACTAATGATTAGGGCAAGGACGCAATGTGGGTGACACAATCCAGAATACTCAAACAATTGGATGAGCTCAAGACAGATTTCCGCCGATTTACCACATAGATGCATCTTGAAATACAAAGCCTCAAGTTAGGCTCTGGGAACCAAACGACGAATCGGGGACATCTCCAGACCATCGGCAGGGGCGTCCGAGAGAACGTCCGATGAGCAGATCCCATCCAAAAAATCGTGTAGAAGGCCCTGAAATCACTTTGTCAGATGTGGAAGCTGAATTCCATCAGCATGTTTACATGTCGGATTCTGTCGATGAGGAAGACATGCCTGTGGAGAGACCAAGAAGAATCGGGGTACTACATAGATAGCAAGGTGAGGACCAAGTGAAAATGGATATTCAATTTTTTGAAGGCTGCTTGCACATCGAAGATTATCTTGATTTGGAACGATCCGTCGAGACTTTCTTTGAATATATGGATATCCATGTTGATAAGCAAGTGAAATATGTGGCATGCAAATTGAAAGGCGGAGCAAGCGCTTGGTGACAACAAGTTCTACAAACGAGATATAGAGAAGGGAAGGGTCCTGTCACGAATTGGGCTCAGATGAAGCAACTCCTTTGTAGTCATTTCTTACCCACTATTTTTGAGCAATTACTATATATGCACTACCAACATTGCAACTAGGGCAACCGAAGTGTTAGCGCCTACACTAAAGAATTCTATCGTCTCAGCGCCCGCAACAATCTCAATGAGTCTAACAATTAGATTGTTGCTCTCTACATTGGCTATTTGAAGGATGACATCCAAGATAACTTGGAGTTGAATTCCATTTTGTCCTTGTCCCAGGCTGTGAATTTTGCCTTGAGGCCAAGATGCAGTTGAATCGACCATACATTTAACAGTAAGCGACACTTTTCTGATTCACCCATAACTGATGGCCAAAGTCATACCAATGCCAATGCAAAACCAGTGTACAAAAATAGCGCCCCGGCGGGACCAGCTCCATAGGTCACCGATAACAGATCAACCAACAAGACATGCTCCAATCAAGGAAAATCCCTATACCATATCGACTACTTTAAAATGCTTATGATGTTTTCAGCCCGGTCACAAATCCAACAAGTGTCTTAATCGTCAACAAGTATAACTGTTAAAAGGTGAATCAGAAACCCATCAAGCTGCCGTTGAAGGAGATGTTGAAGATGATTATGAAGAGCTTGAAGGTGATGACGGTGAGCCAGTGATGTGAATTTTAGAAAACAATATTATTAGCTCCGCATCAGACTTCGCCTTCGTAAAGAAACGCCATCTTCAGTACAAAATGCACGATCAGTGGCAATGTGTGTGATATTTTGATTGATAGCGGGTGCACATAAAATATCATTTCTCAATTGGCTGTTAATACATTGAAATTAAAGACTACGAAAAATCCAAAATCCTTATAAGATTAGCTGGGTGAAGCGGGCTATGGAAGTCCTTGTATATGAGATTTGTAGAGTTATTTTTTCCATTGGGAAACATTACACTTGTGAAGTGCTTTGTGACATTATTGACATGGATGTTTGTCTCATCATCCTTGGACATCCTTGGCAGTTTGACACTGGTTTTTTATATGATGGGCGTACAAACTCCTATTCCTTTGAATTGAAGAATAGAAAATTGCGGCTGCTCCCCAATTCTCACAGCACACCTTCACCAGCTCATGAGACTCGGCCATCTTTGAATATTGCTAATGGAAATTCCATTATGCAGTCTGGGCGTGAAGTCAAGGCTATATTGGTTGTGTTTTTAGCTGAGGAGAATTCTATGCTTCAGGCTTCTATGTGCCCAAAGGCACTACAACAATTGTTAGCATATTTTGAAGATATAGCTCCAATTGAGCTTCCACAAGAGCTGCCACCGTTAAGGACAATATAACACCAAATTGATTTGGTTCCAGATGCCACTTTACCTAATTTGCCGCATTATAAAATGAGTCCAACCGAACATAAAGCCATGCAGCAGATTGTTGATGAGCTAATTCGAAGACAAATGATTCAGCCCAGTTTAAGTCCATGTGTTGTACTCGCTTTGTTGGTGCCGAAAAAGGATGGTTCTTGCTGAATTTGTATCAACAGCAGGTCAATTAATAAAATCACCATTAAATACCGCTTCTCGGTCCCGAGACTAGAAGATATGCTTGATCATTTGACCGGTGCTACTGTGTTTTCTAAATTAGATCTTTGAAGCGGTTATCACCATATACGAATTATGTCGGGTGATGAGTGGAAGACCGCTTTCAAAACTAGAGACAGTCTATTTAAGTGGAAGGTAATGCCGTTTGATTTATGTAACGCACCTTCCGCATTTATGCGCCCGATGAATGAGGTTTTAAAACTGTTGCTTGGTAAGTGATGTGCTGTATACTTCGATGATATTTTGATTTTAGCTCATCACCAGAGGTCCATTGGAAACATTTAGCTGAAGTTTTTAAGTTGTTAAGAGGACACAAGCTATATTTAAAGAAGGAGAAATGTGAAATTGCTATGTCAACAGTGCATTTCTTGGGCTTTATAATATCTGCACAAGGTCTTAGCATGGATCCCCGCAAAGTAGCTGCCGTTCGTGATTGGCCTAGACCGTGCACCATTATCGAAGTTCGTAGTTTCCACGGGCTGGCTAATTTTTTGTTGACCCGTATCGGATAAAAAAAATAAAATAATATTTCGTACCTGAGAGCCGCATGTCCAGGAAGTCGGCTACACGTCGTTCGCACGTCTTCGACATTAATCCCACGATCGCCTCTGTCGCGTTAAGTATCGAAGAAACGAGAGAACCGCGCTCTCGATCTCTTGCTCTCTCTCGATTTCCCTCACAATCGCTCTCTCCCTCTCGACGCTGCCGACTACGCTCGTTCGACGACATTCCTTTCTCTGTGAGATCGGAAGTTACAACATTTTTTACGGAAGCAACAACGGGAGCTAACAACTGTGAAGATAACTCTCTCCCTTTCACAATACTTCCTCGGCTCCGTCGATGCTGTCTGACTTTGTTCGTTAGACGAATTTCCCTTCCAGTTCGGGAGTTACGACAAATTGATCAAAACCAACAACGGAGCTCGCTCAGGCTCCTTGTGGTCGCTCGGCTTCGCTCCTTCGACGTCCTTCGTGGCTGACCCGGCCCCGCTCCTCCGTGCTGTTCGACTCGCCTCGACGACTTTGCCTTCGGTCGGATCGGAAGCAACAACGAAAGCTCGCGGCTGTGAAGCTATTTTCCTCCCCTCACATTGCTTCTCCGGTTCCATTCGTGTTGTTCGACTCCGCTCCTTTGACGACCTTCCAGTTGGATCAGAAGTTACAGATTTTGATCGGAAGCAATCGCAGGAGCTCGCTGTTGTGAAGTTAACTTCCTACCTTTGGCGTGCTTCTTCAGTCCTTCATCGCCGGTCGACTTCGCTCATCCGACGACTTTACCTGCCTGTGAGATCGGAAGTTATGATATTTAATCGGGAGTAACGACGGGAGCACGCTGACAGTGAAGGTAACTTTCTACCCTTCACGCGCTACTTCAGCCAAATCCTGTAAATCCTCTAAACAGAGAAGGAGAGGGGGATTAATGGCTTAGAATAGATTAATTTTAATTAATTTAATTATAATCATTTTAATTTATTATAATGATTATAATTAATTACAGTTAATTTTAATTAAATAATTATAATTAATTACAATTAATTATAATTTATTTTAATTAAAGTTAATTTTAATTCATTATAATTAATATTTATTTTTAATTACAATTAACTATTATTAATTAATTATACTCTTGTAGCGTGGTGGGGACGGTCCTCGACCTCGACACCGACACCGCCAATGACACTGCTATGTAAGGTATAATTCCTAAAACTCAGATTCCTCATTCTCGTCGTTTGCGGTGGACCGGAGAACCACCTATACGCGCTCTTGTAACACGGTAGGAGGGAGCCCGATGCGAAGCCTACGACGAGGTGGGTAATCGCCTAAAATCCCATTTTCGACGTTTGCGGCGGACCGGAGAACCACCTATACGCGCTCTTGTAGCACGGTAGGAGGGAGCCCGGTGCGAAGCATACGGCGAGGTGGGTGAGCCCTATACATGCTCTTGTAGCGTGGTGGGGAGAGTCACTGCTGTTCTTGTACGGGTACTACTGAAGGCCCCATACACGCTCTTGTAGCGTGGTGGGATGAAATTCCTA